GAAGCGGCCGCGGCCGGACCTGCCGCTGTCGCCGCCGTGGAGGTCCTTGGACGAGAAGCCGAGCTTGCGCAGGAAGTCATCGCCGACGAAGGGCTCGCGCTCCATCTTGCCCGCCTGGACGGCCCACTGCTTGAGGCCCTGGAGGATCGACGACTTGGTCGTTCGCAGCTCGGGCACGCGGCCCATGTAGAAGCCGAGCTGCGAGCCGAAGACCTCGCGCACCATGTCCGGGTCCAGCTCGGCCAGGCTCTGCTCGAGCTCGTCGTTGAGTCGCTCGACCTCGTACCTGCCCGACAGCGGGCCCTTGAGCTTGAGCTGCTTCGGCAGTTCGCGAGCGCCGCGCTTGGCCCGGAATGCCCTCTTCTGCTCTTGCGTGAGCGGCGGCGCCTCAAACTCGTCGGGCGACTCGTCGAACTTCTCGCAGAGCTGCTGCAGCTCGCCCGTCATCTCGTCGACCGAAAGCTTCTGCACGGGCAGGTCGTCGAGCTGGAAGTGGAGGAAGCCCTGCTCCCAGTTGAGCAGCACAAGGTCGGCGCGGCCCTCGGCGCCGGCGCGACCCGTCCGGCCGATACGGTGGATGTACTGGTCCTTGTTGGACGGGATGCCGACCTGGATCACCCGCGAGGTTCCCGGGTAGTCGACGCCACGGGCGCTCACGTCGCTGGTGATGAGGATGCTGGCGCCGCTCTGGTCCTTGCGGAAGCGGTCGCTGACCTTGAAGCGCTGGTTCTGGTCCTTTTTGCTGTGGATCTCATAGAGCGCAGTGGAGCGACCGGCGGGCAGGATCTTCTGCGTGTCCTTTAGCACCTCGGCCAGCATCTGCGTCATCTTGGTGGTGGGCGCAAACACAATGACCTTGGACTTGCCCGGGTTGGCCAGCTGGTCGTGTGCGATCAGGCGGAGGACGTGCGGGATCTGCTCGTCGGCCGAGTTGAGGACGGTGCAGTACTGGGGAATGTGCTTGTGCACGTTGTCCTCGCCGGCCGGCACGCAGTCGATGAAGCGGTGGTCCTTTTCGAGGCTCGCGCGGGCAATGCTGCGGATCTCGGGCGAGACGGTGGCCGAGAAGAGCATCGTCTGGCGCTCGCCCTTGGGCGGCAGGAAGTCGAGAATGGCCTTGAGGTCGTCGCGGAAGCCCATCTCGAGAAGCGTGTCGGCCTCGTCGAGGACGAGCGTCTGGCACGCCGACATGGCCTCCTTCATCATGCCGACGTCCTTGAGCAGGTCAAGCAGGCGGCCGGGCGTGGCGACAATGATGTCGGGCCGACCGCGGCGCCAGTCGTTGATCTGGTGGTTGCGGCTGGCACCGCCGACGAGGAGCTGCACCTGCAGGTCGTCGTGGTGCATCAGCAGCTTCTGGGCCTCGGTGGCGATTTGGGTAGCCAGCTCTCGCGTGGGCGACAGAATCAGCGTGCCGACCGTGTTCTGGGTGAACTGCTTGGCGATGCCGACGCGTCCGTGCTTGTCGAGGGAGGCAAAGTCCAAGTCGGGGCGGTGGCGCTCGAGCATCTTGGTCCAGGCCGGGGAGAAGTGGCCGCGCTGGACGCCCGCAATGGCCTTGACGCGCGCCTCGATGGCGGGCACCAGGAAGGCGATCGTCTTTCCGGTTCCAGTCTTGGCCTTGACCAGCAGGTCACGGCCCCTGCCGTCCTCCATGGGCGCCGAATCCTTGGTCAGATTCTCGGCCAGCTCAGGCAGCAAGTGGAGCACCTTTTCCTGCACGAGCGACATGTCCTTGTAGCCGAACGGCTTGACCGTCAGCGCCTTCCACGTCGGGTAGGAGATGTGACCCTTCATCGAGTCGAAGGTGCTGTCCTTGACGCGAGGCGGCTTGTACGTGGGTTCTCTCGATTCCGGGCCGGACTGGTCGGCGGGCTGGAGCTCGGGCACCGCCGAGGCTTGTGCGCCCTCTTCGAGCTGCTGCTCGCGCTCCTGCTCACGAAGAGTCGTGTAGGTGGAAAACACTCGAGAGATGGATGCCTGTGTTGATGCAGAGGAGAGTAGCGAGGTGGCCCGGGGGCTGCAAACCGGGAGGGCGCGGCTTGTCGAAGCGATCGAGGATGCACGGATCTGGCTGAAGAGGCGCGACGACGAGCGCGACGACGACGAGAGGCACTCGGCGGCGACCGAGGCCTGGCGCAGCGGCAATCTCCGGATAGAAGCGAGCATATCGGGGAGGTGGAATGGGGGGGAGGAGAAGGAGAAGACAAGGTGTGGCGGCTGATGGGGAAGCCTAGCCGCGATGAATGAGGGAAAGGGAGAGCCCGACGGTGGCGGACGGGGAGCCGAAGGAGAGAGACGAAGCCAGCGTGTCCCCTGGTATATCGGCGACGGGGTCAAGAACGAAGCCGGGATGTTGTTGTTGGTGGTGGTGGTGGTGGTAGTCAAGGAAGGAAGGGGGGTCCAAGACGAAGAGGGTGCGCTTGGTTGGAATGGTGGAGCAGAGGCAGGTGGCGGAGGGTGCCATCCAGATTGACAGGCAGCCAACAAGGGGAAGCTGTCAGCTCAGCCACCGGGTGCGGCCGCCGCCGTCCAGGGCGAAGAAGAAAAAGAAAAAAAGCGAGGCAGGGCGAAAATCCAAAAATTCCAGGATTTCCTCGTGCTCGAGAGCCGGTGGAGCCGCGTGCCCGCCGAGTCGCGACGCAGCCAACAAAGCGTTGGTCAGCCCGCTCGCAGCCTGGCGTCAAGGCTGGACCCTGACCTGGAACCCGCCCTCGACAGGGTTTTTCGGAAGTCGGAGGGAAAACACCCCTCCAACCTCACGCCAGGCAGACACCCAGCCAAAGGGCCTCGGGCCACGGCTACTTCGGGTGTTGGTCCACGCTGGCTCGACCTTCCACCCCGACCGACACACGCGCTCACACCATCCTTTTCACCGACCTCACCACGACGGCCGACCGAACGCTAGCCTGATATTCAGTTCGCAGCATGGCGGCGGAACCGGCATCAGAGAAGCACAGCTCGCCTGCAAAGGCAACAGCGGCGGCCCAAGATGCACCACCGCTGACTGCAAAGGCACTCTCGCCCTCGCGGCCCACGCTCTATGCCATCTTGCTGGCCGCCTTTGCCCTCCGCATAGCCATCTTCGCCTACACCGACGTATCTGCCCAGCTGCAATCCAGACCCGAGCTCAGCACACCAGTCAACAGCTGGGGTTCGCTGCTGGAAGCCCACTACCTCCATCGCAACCCGCCCACCTCTTCCGCTGCCCGCCACGCCCGCCGCCCGCACCTCGAGCACGTCTCGGCCTACCACTCGGGGACCATACATCACTCTCCGCTGCTCCTCCCGCTGCTCAGCAACGCTCTATCGCGCCATCTTTCCGACCCGCGCGACCTCGTCGCACCTTTGCTGTGGTCCTTGGCAGATGTTGCCGCCGGCTATTTCGTCTTTCGCATCTGCCTCACTCGTGAGACGGCCGCCCTGGTCCGCAAGACTCACCTCTGGCCATGGGACCGGTCCCGAGCCAATAGAGCGGCTCTCATCTACCTCTTCAACCCATACACGCTGGGCGTCTGTCTCGCCCGGAGCACGGCTGCAATCGAGAACCTCGCGATCCTGGCCTCCGTGTACGCAGCAATGACTGGTGAGCTGCAGCGACGACACGGCACGCCGCTGCCTCAAAGGGCGCCACTGACTTTCATCTTTGAGACCCCGCGACCGCAGCGTCGGCCCTACTCATGAGCGTCTCGTGGGCCTTTGCTTCATTGTTGTCCCTCTACCCGGCGCTGCTGCTGCCGCTGCTTTGCCAGCTCTGCGTCAAACGTGCGGGCGAGGCGGAATACGAGAGCGAGATCTCGCACTTCGCCCAAAAGACGGAAGGCTCGCTGGACGTCAAGAGGGCCCGTCGACTGGGCTTCCTGGTTGATCGCATGCGAAAAGCCAAGGTGCGTTTGGGAGAACAAAGAGCGACGCACATCGTTGCGCAAACAAGGCAAGCTGACACTCGTGCCGGTCATGTCATCCTCTCCATCATCCGTTCAGCGCTGGGCGCTGGTCAAGCTGCTCGTCTTGTGCCCGGCCATCTTGGTCGCCGGTGTCGTCGCCTCCAGGGCTATCGCGCTCAACCCGGGATCGAAGCTACCGTTCCTCGAGGCCGTTGTCGAGAGCCTCGCTCGGCCTTGGGAAGAGGGCTGGGAATGGGCTGAGCGCGTCTACGGCGTCATGTGAGTGCGACTCCTCCTCAAGCCTCGTTCCGACTGCTCAGACACCATTGACCGGCAATCTATCGCCCCTCCTTACTTTTTTCAGCCTCCTGGTCACCGACCTGACGCCCAACCTCGGCCTATGGTGGTACTTCTTCATCGAGACCTTTGACCACTTCCGCACCTTTTTCTTGCTCACGTTCAACGTCCACGTGGCGGCCTATGTCGTGCCGGTGCTGATCAAGTATCGGTGAGTGTGGAGCGTGGGGAGGACGGTGCTTGGCACGAGGCGGCGATGCGCTGACGCTCGAGATGGCCGCCTCGCTCGCCACCGTTACGACTCGCAGCCAAGACCCGCTGTTCGGCCTGACGGTCATGCTCGGGATCATTGCAGTGTTCAAGAGCTATCCGACGGTCGGCGATCACGCTCTCTTCCTGTCGCTCTTCAGCCTGCACAGCCAGATCTTCGAATGTGAGTGCGCGATGGTGCGATCGGTCCGGTATCGAAGCAGGCGTATTGATGACCCGATCGAGGCCGCCTGGCTGCTCCTTGACCGCCTCGCTTACAGATCTACGATATCCGCTGGTCTCGACGCTGCTCTACGCGTACTGCACGCTGCTCTCGCCGGCCTTCCACCATCTCTGGCTCGTGGCGGGCTCGGGCAACGCCAACTTCTTCTACGCCATCACGCTGGTGTGGGCGCTCGGTGGCGGGATGCTGCTGCTCGACATGATATGGGCCTGGGGCCGCGATCGGTGGGAGCGCGAGAGGCCGCCGATCCGGTCGAAGAAGGCGGACAGGATCGCGGCGACGGCAGAGAGCGATGCGGACGCGGGCGCAGCCCTGACGGATGACGGCAAGGGCTCGTCTGTGGACCGCGCGTCCGCCGAGGTCACCGCCCTCAAAGAAGCTGCATCGGCGCGGAGGCGAGTTGTAGTGCAGATCTAGGGAAGGGGCGCGGGTGTTTTCTGTAATTGGCCCTTTGCTTCCGCGGTAGATCGAGCCTATTGGTTGGCCAGTAGTGCGCTTGGCTCTTCTGATGCTCTGCTAGCCCGTGAGATGTGGGCGCATGAGTTGTTTCCTCTGCCACATCGACCTCTTCACGTCGTGGCGAGACCGGTCGGCTGCGGAGTCGGTGGACCCGGCATCGCAAGGTCACCGCCTTCGCCGTCGTGACCAATGACCGATGTGTAGACGCCGGCGGTGACGGCTCCATGGTAGTATACGCGCTTTGCGACGTCCTGAACGGCCCAGTCGAGGCCGCGTACGAGGTTGTCTCCGGTGAAGGCGCTGCAGGGCTGGATGCGCCAGCTGTGCGATTTGCTGACCCGGTCGTGCTCGAGTCCGAGGGCGGCCTTGATCTCCTCGGAGCTCATTGCGCCGCTGAGGTCCTGCTTGTTGGCAAAGACGAGGATGGTGGCGCCGCTCAGCCTCTCTTCGCCGAGGAGGGCGTGCAGCTCGTCGCGGCAGTCCTGGATACGGCCGCGATCGCTGCTGTCGACGACCCAGACGACGCAGTCGGTCCGCTCAAAGTAGTTTTTCCAGTAGGGGCGCAGCGTCTTTTGGCCCCCGACGTCCCAGACGTTGAGGGTGTAGCCGTTGTGGACGAAGGTCTGTATGCTGAAGCCGAAGGTGGGCGAGATGGACTCGATGTCGTGCTGCGGCTGGTTGAGGAGGCGCTTGAGGATCGTCGTCTTGCCCGCATTGTCGAGGCCGAGGAAGAGGACGCGCAGCTCGAGCGAGCGCAGCTTGGTCTTGCGAATGATGGAGAGCAGGCCCATGGTGGTTGGCGATGCGATCGGAGAGCGGCGCTGACGTGGCAGCCGGCGGAATAGGCAGCGGGCAGGACCAAGGTGCGCCGAGTAGTCAGAGGCGAGATCGAGGAGCTGTCCTTCTCTCTGGCACGAGGGGTCCCTGGGCTGGCCTGTGCCGCGCTGCGCTCTGACCTGGCCTCTCTGGCGGGCTGGGGCTCTGGCTCGGCTCCGCAGAATGCGCTGGTTTGGTCCGACGGAGTTTGAGTTTGGGCTGCCCGGGCGTTGACCTGGCCGGCCGAGCCATCTGGCAGGCGGGTGAAAATGTGTGGAGGTTGCCGACGCACAGCCACACAGCCGGGCAGGCCGCCCCACCCACAGCAGGCTCGCGCACCGCCCGCCCCCACCGACCGAGATGCGGTCATGGCCCTGGCATGCCTCTGGGCCTCCGCCTGCCAGCCGCGCCACGCCGCCCGCCGGCCGCCCAGCTCCGAGGCAGATCCAAGCCATCCTAGCTTCTTCGTCCATCGCCACCATCACCTTCATCGCTCCTTCCCTCACCCTAACCTTATCCAATATTTGCCTTCCCTCCCTTCATCCATCCTCACCACACCCTACCCCTACGGAACCGCCAGAGACCATGCCCATCGACCTCAGGAAAGCCCTCGATACCGACAACCCCAAGTGGGACAAGCTCAAGGCAAACTGTGCGTCGCCCGGGCTGAGCTGGGCCAGCGCAAGGAAACGCGACAGCCGCTGACCTCTCCTACCTTTGGAACCCCCTCCCATGCCTCATGCCCGCTCGACGACGTGGAACAGACAAAAAGGTAGAGACTGGAGCATGGAGGGCGCTCGACCCCGTGGGACGATGGACCAACCGCACCGCGGGCAAGTTCGGCGCCGAGTCCTTCTGGCCCACCGAGATGGACCTCGAGTGCGACAAGGCCGCCCGCATCCTCCGCACCTTTGCCACAAAGGGCGCTCAGGTCGAGGTCGACGCCTCCCAGGCCGACGTCCTCACAGATAAGACCGCCGCCGTGCCCCCCACCCAACAGCCTCAGGTCGATGCCAAGGGCAAGAAGATCAAGGATCCGCACAAGTACGATCACAAAAAGACCCAGAAGGTGCTGCGCAGGATCAGCCCCAAGGTCCTCAGCCAGGCGCAGGGTCTGGCCATCTTTACCGTCTTCCGGTAAGTCGATCCGATCCGTCGTGGTCCTCCTGCCTCCATCGGACCACGTCGACTGAATCCCATCTCGTGGCACCGTTCCCTTCTTGCTCTGCCAGCACCGGCTTCGGCTTTTCGGGCGCAAGCGGCTCGGGCGTGGTGCTGTCCCGCCTCCCCGACGGAAGCTGGAGCGCACCCTCGGGCCTCCTCGTCCACACCATCGGATGGGGCTTCCTCATCGGCCTCGACATCTACGACGTCGTCATTGTCCTCCGCAGCCAGAAGGCGGTCGACGCGTTCAAAAACCCCAAGATCAGCCTCGGCGCTGAGCTCACCGTCGCTGCAGGGCCCGTCGGCGATGGAGCCATGGTTGAGACCGGGGTCGACCGTTCTGCCAGCTGGTCCTATATCAAGTCCAAGGGCTTCTATGCGGGCGTGCAGCTGGACGGCACCGTCGTGCTGAAGCGCGACGACGCAAATACGCGATTCTACGGCAGCCCTCTTCCGGTCAAGGACATTCTCGAGGGTCGACTGCAGGCGCCCGCACCTGCTGCATGCTTGCCGCTGTGGCAGACCATCTACGCCGCCGAGGGCCGTCCGCAGGTGATGGGCGTCGACCGTATCCCTCAGGGTGACATGTCCACGCCCGGTGATCTGGTCATGACCGAGGATGACTTCAAGCAGGCCAGCGTCGTCGCCGAGCATGGCGGCATGCCACACGGCGACTTGGCTTCGGGCGCGGGAGCGAGCGCCGTCGGATCGACGATGGCCCCGGGATACGATGTAAGCGTGGGCGCAGCGAGCGGTGCCCTTCCGACTCGATCTGACTCGAAGAGGGTGGTTCCGCCGCCTCCTGGGGCTGGCGCATCTGGCGCGGCTGCCCCCGCCCCCGCCCCCGCCCCCGCGCCCTATGGCGGAGAGCTGCCTCCCGACTACGAGTGAGTAGCTTGCCGGCTGCTCGCGACCACAGCCTGTCATTCACAAGGCCTGAGTGCTGACCCGTTTTGTTCTCCCCTGCCGTCGCGCTTGCCCCTATAGCTTCGCCAGCGCGCCCCTCAACGCGCAGGGCGGCAAGACGTTCAACGACGCGCCATCAGGCTACACCAATGTCCCCGCAGCGGCCGTGGCCTCGGGCGGCATGGGTGGCGCGGCCCCTCCGAACCCCTTCGCATCGCCCTCTGATGCCTCCGCCCCCGTTGGCGGTCACGAGACGGCCGAGCAGGAGAAGGAGCGTCTGCGCCAGCAGTACGCCCAGAACGATGCCCAGTACGACGCGCCGCCGGCCGGACCGGCCCCCTCGCAAAGCGGCGGCGCCACGAGTGCTGGCCTGCCCTCGAGCGTCGAGGCCCTGTACGACTTCGAGGGGCAAGAAGCAGGAGACCTGCCGTTCAAGGCAGGGGACGTGATCCAGGTCGTCGGCAAGGAGGACGAGAGCTGGTGGCGCGGCAGCCTCAAGGGCAGGCAGGGCATCTTCCCCAGCAACTATACCCGGCCGCTCTAATCTGGTACATGCTCGATCTCGACTGCATTTGCCTTGTCTCAAGGCTCTGGTCGAGGTCAAGCGCCTGTTACGGCTGTCTGTTCTTCTCCCTTAGGCCTGCTTTGGATCCTGCTTGTTGTTCATAGCCAGGGCGTGAACGAATGCGATACCGATGCTGATGCTCAGCTCCTTCGGGCCGGGCCACAAAAATAATGCCATGCCTGGCCATGCCTCCACCTTTTCCCGCTGCGAAAGGAAAAATCCGAGTTGCTGCACGCGACCTGCAGAAGAGAGGCGCACCCCGCGCTTTTGCCGGCCTGCTTGGCTGCGGGCGGAAGACGGGGAAGAGAGAGCTGCTCAGTTTGCCACCCGACGCCACCCGCTCTGGCCTGCTCCTTCTCTCCTCTTGTCCATCACCACCCGCCTCATTCCCTAGTTTGCCCTCGCCCTCCCTTGCTGGCTCATCGAGTCCAGCTCCACACTCTTTGCCGCACCGCTCATCGTCCTTGCGGCCCGATACCCTTGTCCCTTTCTCTCGTCGTCCCCTCTTAGCGTCATGTCAGGCGTCCGCGGCCCCACGTCGGCCCTCACCGAGTTCCTCCGCGAAAGGGGCATCACTGCTCGCAACACCAACCGCTTCAGGCGCAGAGACGCCGATCAAGCTGAGCAGCAGCAGCAAGCAGAGGCAGCGCAGGGGCAGCAGGATGCCCAGCCTGTGCAGCCCTCGCCCCGTGCCCGACCCCCTTCAGCCTCGCCCGCCCTCCGAAGGTCGGAGTCGGGCTCAGCCTCCCCCGCCACCGCCGTACGTCGTCGAGCTGCCGCGGGTGCCTCCATGCGCTTCGACGAGGAGGATGACTCGGACGACGACGACGACCCCGACGAGGAGGACGCCTATGTCCCTGATGCTCAAGATGCAGCTGGACCCAGCTCCTCGGGCAGAGGTGTCAAGCGTGGCGCAGCAAGGGCGACGAGGAGCGCTGCCAAGAAGGCGAAGAAGGGTGCAGGCGATGACGACGACGACGACTACGAAGACCCAGCTGGCGCCTTTGGCCTGCCTGAGGCAAGCAGCTCAAGGAGCAAGTTCAGCTACGCGGACAGGGCGCCCGGCAGCATCGCGTACTGCGGCGGCTGCAAGGCCAAATTCACCGTGACGCAGTACACCAAAGCCGGCCCCTCTGGCCCGCTCTGCCACCGCTGCGGACCCCTCTACAAGAGCGACGGGGCCAAGGCGGCGGACAAGGACGACGCATACCGGCCACCGGCGCCAAAGAAGAGGCAGGCCCGTCGGAAGTTCCAAAACATCCTCGACGCTGGTCACCGCACGGTGCCGACGCTGCAGAGCCTCTGCATCGCCATCATCAGCAACTACATCGAGGACATGGAGGCGCTGGGCAACATCGGCGACCAGAACCTCGACGCCATCAGCAAGAGCATCTCCAAGAACCGCAGCCTCAACCCGAGGACGTTGCAGCTCTTCCTGCTTCCGGACATCACCACGCTCTCACTCTACGACTGCAGCAAGCTCCACAGCGAGTCGCTCCAGACGATACCGACGTTTGCGCCCAGGCTCCGCCGCATCAACCTGCAGCTCTGCGGTCAGCTCGACAACAGCACCATCGACCTGTGGGCTGTCAAGCTGCCGGAACTGCGCGACGTCGAGCTATACGGCCCTTACCTCGTCCGCAAGGAGGCGTGGCACCGCTTCTTCCGCACCGTCGGCAAGAGGCTCGAGTCGTTCAAGATCCGCGAGTCGCCCCGCTTCGACATCGGCTGCGCCCGCGAGATGGTGGAGCACTGCCCCAACATCCGGGAGCTCGGCCTGGCGCAGATCGGACCGCTCGACGATGCCATGCTGCAGCCGCTCGAGACGTACAAGTCGCTCACCTACCTCGACATCTCGGACCCGGGTGTCTCTGCCCCCGGCATCCCGCCCAAGTCGCTCGAGGATGCGGGCGTCATCTCGCTGCTCAAGGCCGTGGGCGGCAATCTCGCCTTCCTCGACATTTCCAAGAACGCCGATCTGACCGACAAGGTCGTGCTCGAGGGCATCGCACCCAATTGCAAGCACCTGCAGACGCTGCGCATGGTCGGCCTGGAAAAGGTCACCTCGGAGGCCATGGTGACGCTGTTCAAGACCATGCCGCGCCACACCAGCGACGACGGCGAGGTGTCGGGCATTCGTCGCCTGTGCCTCGACCGCATGCTCGAGCTCGGCGACGAGGTACTGCCGGCGCTGCTCGAGCACAGCGGGCCAGATCTCGTGGAGCTGAGCCTCAACTCGGTCGACAAGCTGACGGGCAAAGGCCTCGCGCTGCTCGCCAAGTCCTGCCCCAACCTCGAGAAGCTCGACTTGGGCTTTTGCAGGAGCGTCGACGACGCCGTGCTCGATGAGATCTGCAATGGCTGCAAGAAGCTCCGGGTCGTCTACGTGTTTGGCTGCAACCGGGTGGTGAGTGGCGTAAATTGACGGCGTCGTGCTTGCAAAGTCTTCCCACGGTGCTCAATGTTGCACTTTTCCCTTGGCCTCGGTTCCACAGAGCGACTTTGCCAAGTCGGACAGGGTCAAGATCGTCGGCAAGGAGAGGTACGCCAAGTAGAGCGGCACGGCATGCGATACAGCTCAACGTGCGGCCACCAGGCGCGGCCATCACCGTCTGGTACAGCCGTCATCTGCCGCGGACACGGATTTGTTCATGGCACTGGCCACATCTACCAAAGAGGCGGCGATTCAGCGGTCATGGCGCTGCATCTGTACTGGTGCAAAGGGCACCCTTCGCTCGCAGGCTCAGGATCGGGTCGAGCGTATCAAGGCTCTCGCTCCTTCTCGGCCAAGTCTTCGCGCGCCCGCTCAGCGCCAGACATCACCGCGCCTCATCATCCGCATCGTCAAAGACGCCGTCGAAGACGTTCGCGTCGTCATCCTGAGTGTCCAGGGGAGGTCGGAGCGCCTCTTCGAGGAGCGAGGCGTACGCCTTGGACGTGGTGGATCCCGCCGCTGCCTCGACCTCTTTCGCCTGCGACATTGTCGTCGCCGCCGCCATCGTCGTCGTCGGGGACTCGAGCTGGCTCGGCTGCTGCGGTGCCTTGCTCAGGACCACGTTGTCGGTGGTGTTGCTGGCGCTCATGGTCGTCGCGGTGGGGGTGACGGTGGAGAGGTCGAGGATGCCCTGCACCTCTCTCTGCGATTCGATGTCGTTCGCACTTCCCGCATCCGGCGGTGTGACCTGCTCCGTCCTCGTCCTCTTTGCCAATCTCACATCGTCGCCCGCAGCCGCAGCGGGAGCGATACCGAGAGTGGGAGCGGGAATCGTGTCGGGAAAGTGTCGTTTGAGCGGATTGAACGGCTGCGCCGCCATCGAGCTCTGGGTGGTCCGAGGCGTCTGAGAGAACACCGCCGCCGTCGGCATCGTCGACGTCGCATCGAAGTCGGTGCGCACGTACGGGTCGTCGTACATCGCCGTCGGAGCGTGGTACGAGCTCGCGTTCTGGCCGTAGTAGGGCGGCGCATGGCGGTACCCGTGCGACGGGGCGACGTGAAACTGCCTGTCGATCCGCAACGATGACGACGTCGACGGCGGCGACGACGAGGAAGAGGCAAGAGGAGCCGCACGCGGTGCGACGCTGTAGCCCTCGATGGCCTCTTCCTCCTGCAGCCGCGCGACGGTATGCAGCATCTGCGGCGATACCTGGATCGCAGGCTGGAACGGGGCGGCCGCCGAATGCAGCTGCGTCCGTCGGGCTTTTGGCGCCGCCGCTGCCGCCGCTATCGCCTGGGGATCTCCCAGGTGCCTCGTCAACGCCGCCTCGACCGCGTCGGCGATCTGTTGCGTCATGGTCGGTTGGCTCTGCTTCGGCCTGACGACTTCCACGACGAGCTCTTGCACCTCGTCTTCGCGCTTGATGGCCTGCGAGCTCGACTTTGGCGGACGACGACGGCCGAGGCCGCGAACGTGTTTGCGTCCGCGTCCTCGAGATGATCCTGGTCGTTTCGATCGGGGTGGCGCCGCTCCCCCTCCCTCTTCTTCGTAGCTGTCGTCGGCGACAACGTCTACGTCATCATCGTCGTCATCGTCGTCTTCCTCGTCCGTCGTCAACGTGAGGTCTATGACGTCCTTGGGCGGGGGTGCCGGCTTGCGAGGACGCTGCGTCTTTGAAGCCTTCTTCCCGGTCACTTTGGGTCGGCCCGAAGCCACCTCGTGGCTAGCCTTGGCGGACGGCTCGCGCCTTGACGTCGTGGAGCGTATGGACGATGCCTGGGAAGCGTTTGGAGGCTCAGCCGCCCCCACGCGATCGTGCTCCTCTCGTGGCGCTTGGGCTGTGAGCCGACTGCTCGGTCGAAAGATAGGCTGTTTGCCAGCGGAGTGTGTTCGGTCGGCTGGTACTGGTGTGGGCGACGCTGTGCCATCCCTGTCAAAGTCCTCGGTGGCCGGACGACGGTGCTGCGGCGTCGGAATCTCGGTGTCTTTGTCTCTTGAGGCCGTCGCCGTTGTTGCTGAGGTCTGGGTGGATGCGACCCGTTTGCCGCCTCCGAGCGTGGATCCGCTCGACGTCGGGGCCGAAGTCGACGTTCCTCTCGGCCCGCCCTGGGCCTCGCCTGGGACGGTATCGTACCTCTCGATGGGCGAGGTGGTCTCCGCTGGCCCCTTGCCCGCTCGCGACGACTGGGCGCGGTCGTCCTTCCTGCCAGACTGGTGCAGTCTCGGTCCCCGCTCCTCTCGCCCACCAGCTTCTGCACTCGGTCCTTTGCGCCGCGCATAGCTCCTGCAAACGGCATCGTACCTCTCGCTCCTCTTTTCCCTGATTGTGCGCAGGTTCCATGTCTGCCTGGGATTGTCGACGTCCTCGAGCAACCTGTCAAACGCCTGCTGGAGGAACTTGAGCAGGCAGACGTGCACCACCCACTCGGCCTTGACCCTGTTGCCCTTGTCCTGCTTCCACGCGTCGTCGATCTCGTCGGCGGCATCGATGCGGTAGAGGTCGAGCAGGAAGGGTAGCGAGAGGACCTCGGCGACGGCCTCGTTGAGGTCGTCGGACCGCTTGACGGAAAAGGGCAGCGGTCCGGACGCCAGCTCGTAGTCGCGTTGGAGGAGGAGGAGCGCCGAGTACTGGACCACGCTGTCGAGACCGAAATAGTCGAGCTCGAGATCGTCGTAGTAGTGCGTGAAGTTGAGGCCGAGCAGGTGAAGCAGGTAGGCGTCGCGCGTCTTGGGCGAGACGAGGACCGACCACGTCGATGGTTCCGCCTCGGCCGGGCCCGACGATACCGGCGTCGACGACGACGTGACGGTGGGAGGGCGGCGGGAGAGCGAGTCGATCGTCGAGCGGAAGCGCGCCCAGTCGATGCGCCCATCCTCGTATCGCCACTCGCATTCGAGTCGAGGCGGTGCCGCCGGCGTCGTTGCCGTCGACCCTCTTGCACCATCGGCCGCAGGTCGGGTGGTCATGTCGCCGTGCGTGGCTGCCATGGGGGGTGCGCGTGCAGATGGTGGGGAGACGAGGGGTTGACGAAGGAGGGGATCTGATGCGCCCTTGTATCGGTGTGTCCGCTGGGGCAGTCCGCCTCGATGATGCGCATAATGTTGGCTGGGCAGGGAATGGCCTCGACGCCGACTGAGAGCGCGGTGGTAGGGAGGGACAAGCTCAGACGCAGGCGCAGGCCAGTGGGGAGACTGCGCGGGCAGCCCTGCGCAGGGCAGCCTGCCCGCTCAACAAAGGGACGACTTCTCCGGCTTGCCCATACTACTGCCCGCAGCGCCAAGCGCCGGGAGAGTCGGTTTGGGGCTCGACCAGATGATGAGCGATTGACCGCAGCTGATGCCGCCCTCCGCTCCGAATTGAAAGCGAGCCGCCCGCGCGGAACCTCGCCGCCCGCTCACATACAGATCATAATTGGCTCGGCCCCACCGGCAATGCAAAGCGACGCGCCCAACAGGCTGGCGGGAGCTTGTACAACCTCGGGCCTTGTCTCTGACGATGGCCCACCCCCTTGACAAGGGGCAAGCGCAGCGACGCAGGCAACGACGGCTGCTATCCCGTTGCTGCCGAGCTCGATCAAGACGCCGTGGAGCAGGCCGTCACACATTTCCGCGGACTGTGCCGTCAATGATGAATGCGATGAGTGAGAGATGCGACTACAAATACAATGCGAGACTCGGGATCCAGGGCATGGCTAGGGACAGATAGAGGCACGGCGAGTAAAGTGGTGGGCGGCCAGCGTGCGAGACAGAGCAACGGCGATGCACCCTTCAGCGTCGGGAAGGCGCACCGTCGACCTCGTCGGCGTCGTCGACGGGAGCCGGCTCGTAACCGCGCGGGTGGGTGACGCAGGCGGCGGGCGGGCTGACGATGCCGTTGAACAGGAAGGTGCCGTAGACAAGCAGGCCAAATCCAACGACCTGGAGGCCGCCGCTTAGCGGTCGGAAGACCTCCCAGCCCAGGACGAGCGAGACGATCCAGATGCCGAGTGTCCTGCAGGTGTCGATGGTGCTCCTCGCCGTGGCGCTGACGGTGCGGGTGACGCTCAGGCCGAAAAAGTTGAAAAAGGCAATGGAAAAGGCGATGGCGATCGAGCTGTAGAAGACGGCGGGAACGTGAATGATCTGGTGCCAGCCAGCCGCCATGTCAAAGTAGCCTCCGCGGCCCTCGGGGGTGCGCCCGATAAAGTAGTGCAGGAACGGCATGGCCACCAGCGTCGTCAGGGTGCCAAAGATGCCCTCATACCCGACGGCGAGCAGGGGCTCGACGGCGTAGCGCGACATGATCCTTTCCTCGAGCACAAATTGCGACGCGGTGAAGAGCTGGGCGAAGAGGATGAGGAGGACGCCGAGGAGCGTCTGGGCCGCCTCGGGCAGCTCGTCCTCGGACTCGACCTTGGGCTCCGACGACGAAAAGAGGGTGCCGCTCATGCCGACGACGCAGACGCCGAGCATGACGGTGACCAGGCTGAGCCACTGGAAAAGGAAGAGGTGCCTGCGGAGGAAGATGACACTGAAGACGCCGACCCAGAGGACGAGGGCGCCGCGCGTCATCTGGTAGATGCTGACGGGCGTGAAGAGGAGGCCGACGTTCATCAGGGTGGTGCCGCAGATGTCGCAGAAGGCGGGCATGAAGAAGAGGAAGATGGCGCGGCCGGAGAGGTCCTCCCCGGCGTGGTCGGCGGGGACGAGGTCGTCGTGGATGGCCGACTCGTCGGCCTCGCCCGGCTGGAGCGCTCTGGCGGCGATCTCGGGCGGGGGCACGGCCACGGTTGCAGGCTCGGCCGGAGCGTGGGTGGCGCCCGAGTGGACGTAGGAGCGGGTGGCATCGTAGGAGGCGGCCGACGAGTCGGCATTGAGGCGCGAGGTGGGCGAGTCGTTGTCGCCCTGGACGACGATGCCCGAGTCGGGCGGGTAGTGGAGGAGGAGGGGCTTTTTGAGCGCGGCGTCCCTGGATGCGTGGTAGCGGGAGTATGCGAGGCGTGCGAGGACGGGGAGGAGGCAGAGGCATTCTCCGAGGAACATCTGGAGCGTCTGCCAGACGGGCTGGGAGAACTCGATGCGCTGCTTTGGGTCGGTGGCGTCGCAGTTTCCGACGCACTGCATGTCTTGCCTGGCAAGAAGAGGGGAACCAAGGAAATGGGTCGGAGCGGTTAGGGAGAGCGGTCCAAAGAGGCTGGGCTAGGCAGCGCCCGTTACGCACCACTTGTTGAGGAGCGAGTTGCTGATGCCGGTGAGGAGCATGCCCGCCACCAGGAGCGGGACGGCAGAGCGGGTGACCATGGCGGGCGGTGGCCGTTGGTGTTTGGGTTGTGGGTGGATCGGCGGGTGAGTGTCCTGAGTCTGTAGTAGAGACGTGCTAGAGGGGGCGATGGTGGGAGGCAAGAGATGGGAACGAGGGTGGTGGTGGGGAGGGAGGGAGAGAGAGGGGGAGGCGCCGGGGAGGCCAGGGTCAGAGGAGCATCCAGGGTCCTTATCGGCTGGGCTGGTTACGTTGCTGGCTGGTTGCTGGCTGGCCTCGGCGCGGCGAGTGCGAGTGCGAGTCACGGAGCCTCGCCTCTCTCTGCTGGTCAGACGAGCTGGCTCCACTACTTTTTGGCATGCCAGCCCAACGAAAGGGGCTCTGCAGCGCCCGCCTGCTCGACGGAGCCAGTCCAGCCGAGCCGAGCCCAGCCAGGCAGGCAAGCACCAAAAAAGCGTCTCCGCCCGGCACCCATTCTTGATTTCCGGCCAAGTGACCGAGCAGCCTGGCCAACCCCCAATCAATTCCATTTCTTTCGTGCGACTCTGAGCTGGACCCGCCAGTTGCCCGCCGTCTCGGAAGCGAATCCGAGCTCAGCCCCACCCGCTCGTTCCTTCCAAGCCCGTACTCACCATCCGCTTCCACCTCATCATCACCACCACCACCACCGCCGCCGCCGCCATCGCCCTCGCCACGCCAGCCTACCCGCCCCGCATCATCTGCTGCCCGCCATCGTAGCACCCTGCCGCGATGGTGGTGCTCGACTACGACCACGCAGCCGGCTCCAGCCCCAGCCACACCTTTTCCGACTCGCCCTTCTTTTACGACCGCTCCGCCGCCAACGGCAGCGGACAGGCCCTCTTCCAGAATGCCAGCAACGTACAGCCGCACTCGAACCCGCACGTCAGCTACTACTTCCCCGCAGGCGTCGGCCACTACCACTACGGCGAGAGGCACCCCATGAAGCCCGCCCGCCTCACCCTCACAAACGGCCTCGTCCTCGCCTACGGCCTGCACAACCACATGCAGGTCTACACCCCCCGCGAGGCCACAAAGGACGAGCTCGAGGCTTTCCACGATTCCGACTACGTCGACTTCCTCAGCACCGTCACCCCCTCGACCCCGCCCTCGCCGGCCTTTACCCGCTTCAACTTTGCCGACGACTGCCCCGTCTTTGACGGCATGTACGACTTCTGCAAGTCGTACGCCGGCGCATCCCTCGCCGGTGCGCGCAAGCTCGCCGCCGGCCAGACCGACATCGCCATCAACTGGTCCGGCGGCCTCCACCACGCCAAAAAGTGCGAGGCCAGCGGCTTCTGCTATGTCAACGACATTGTCCTCGCCATCATGGAGCTCCTCCGCTACCACCCGCGCGTCCTCTACATCGACATCGACATCCACCACGGCGACGGCGTCCAGGAGGCCTTCTACAACTCCAACCGCGTCATGACTGTCTCGTTCCACAAGTACGGCAACGACTTCTTTCCGTGCACGGGCAACATCAACGAGATTGGCACGAGCCTCGGCAAGCACTTTTGCCTCAACGTGCCCCTCCAGGACGGCATCGACGACGCCGGCTACGTCAGCCTCTTCAAGAGCGTCATGGAGCCCTGCATCACCACCTTCCGCCCCGCTTCCATTGTCCTCCAGTGCGGCGCAGACAGCCTCGGCCTCGACCGGCTGGGCTGCTTCAACCTCTCGATTGCCGCCCACGGCGAGTGCGTACGCTTCATCAAGTCGTTTGGCCTGCCCCTCCTCGTCCTCGGCGGCGGCGGCTACACGATCCGCAACGTCGCCCGCTGCTGGGCCTACGAGACCTCGGTCCTCACCGGCTGCCAGATCCCCGACACGCTGCCCAACACGCCCTACGACGCCTTCTTTGCGCCATCCTACCGCCTCCACGAGGCCCTCCAGGCCGGCCGCGTCGAAAACCAGAACTCAAAGGCCAGCCTCGAGAAGATCCGCGTACAGATCCTCGAACAGCTGCGCTACCTCCACGGCGCCCCCAGCGTTCAGATGCAGGAGATCCCACCGGACCTCGCCGGCGGATGGCTCGAAGAGGAGATGCCCGGGTCCGGCGGCAAGGACGCCGACGGTTCCAAGACGTCGTAGAATGCCCGCCACGCCCATGGCCTAGCAGCCTGCCTTTCTCCTCCTCTCTGTTCGGACACATCGATACCCGCTTGGGCAAGCTCCGCCCGCTTCCGCTGCCCGCTGTACTCTTAGCCCTGTATTTCTATCAACCGCAGAAACATGCAAGCATCGTCGTTGCTCGACTGTTTTTCTCGACGCCACGATGGCTCTGGACGAGCCAGGGTGGTCGCCAACCTTGCTGATGGCAGTGCGAGGGGATGCTGAGTCAGAGACTGTGTCGAATACGGGAACTTGGCAGCTCAAGCCGAGGGTTGGGACCAGTCGACCTGGTCGGCCACATTCTGCTCTCCGCCGTCGACGCTGAACATGATGCGCAGTCGAAGTCGGATCTGGGCCTGGACCAGTCCAACGCACAGCAGAGGACGACACCGACGGAGACGTGACAAGGGAGGCCAGAAGTCAGCAATCCACGCGCCGCCTCTCGAGCTCTGTCCATTGCGTCCGCGGCCCCGCGCGCGCGTGCGCAACTCACCGACTGGGGCGCCATGACGCGCATGGCCTGCGTCTCCGTCTTGCCGGGGACGACGTCCGGGTTCGAGATGGCCTGCATCTGGAGCTTTTGCGACTTGGGCACCGCCGCCTGGAAGTTGACGCCGCGCACCGCCGCCATGCCCGTCGTGCTGAAGCGCGCCGTAATGTTGGTAATGTCTGGCCGCGCCGGGTTCGTCGTCAACGTCAACGTCACCTTGAGCCCCTTTTGCTGGTACGCCACGTGCGACTTGCCACCCGCCGCCGCTGCCGCTGCCGGTGCGATCGGTGATGTTACCGATGGGGACGAGGATGGTGGTGGAGACGTCGCTGCTGTTGCTGCTGCTGCTGGCATGGCCGCTGCCGCTCCGCTGCCGCTCCCGCCACCGAGCAGATCCAGGCCTCCGAAGGCGCCGCCAGCATTGGACGACATGGCTGGCGAGGCGGCAGACGGCGCCGGTGAAGACCCGCCTCCCATGCCCGAGTCGCCAAAGAGGCCAAGGATGTCGTTGACCGAGCTCTTCGGCTTCTGCTGCGGCTGTTGCGACGCTGCCGCTGCTGTCGTCGTCGTCGTCGTTGCGGCGCCCAAATCATCTGAGGCTCCAAATATGTCGGCCAGCAGATCCTGGGTGCTCTGCTGCGTCGTCGGCGGCGCCATCCCACCCGCCGCCGCAGCAGCGCCGCCGCTGCCCGGCATCTCGTCGCCCATGAGATCGAGCAGCGCGTCCTTGTCGGTGCGCGTCGAGCCGACCGGCTTGGCCTCGCTGACCGTGCCCAGCACCGTCTGCTTGATCTCGGGCGGCGGCATGCTCTCGAGGACGCCGTCGCGGATGTCGCGCCGCTGCAGCAGGTTGTAGTACTCGACGGAGCGCTGCTGGATCTCGACCTCGACGCTCTGCTCAAACGAGCCGATGATGTGCTCGATCCGCGACTGCGACGCCGCATCGTGCTGGAAGCGCGTGCAGAGCTTGGCAAACGCCGTCAAGACAAACTGCCGGATGTGCTCGGTGATGTAGGGCGAGTCGAGGACCGACGAGAGCAGGTCGACAACGTCCTTGGCCTGGACCTCGCGCACAAGCTCCTCGTCCTCAAAGTTGCCGCCCTGGATGAGGACCTCGCCAAACTCGCCAATGACCCAGACGGCCGCCAGCGTGAGGCTCTCCTGGGAAAAGTCGGCGTGGAGCGCAGAGAAGAGCTTCTGCACCGTGTACGCCTGCAGCTCCGGCGTGTGGCAGACGAGGCGGATGAAGGCCGAGAGGATCTCTTCTCGGACGTAGTTGCCGGCCTGCAGAAGCGGTGGCGGTGGGGGCAGTTGGCCAGTCGAGGGCGGGATCGCGTCGCGTCAGTCGGGTCGATCTCGATGAGGATCCTGGGGCGGCTTCGCGACTCACCAGCTTCAGCACCCGCAGCACCGTGTCGATGTGCCAGCGCTTGTTGGGTGCGAACTTTTCCGCGGCGAGGCAGATCTGCGTCGTCATGCTCAGCTTGAACTCGTTGTCGGCCACCTCGAGGAACGAGAGCAGCTCGCGGGTGAGGACGCGGACGTTGCTCTCGTTGATGAGCGCGTAGCTGAGCTCGAGCGCCCTGCGGCGGATCGAGATGTCGCCGTCGCGCAGGCAGTCGAGGATGATGTTGCGGTGGCGCTGCACCGCGTTGGTGTCCATGGCGACGACCTTGTTGAGCGTGTTGAGCGCCACGTAGCGGATGTTGTTGTCGCGGTTGCTGAGGAACTTGCCGAGGATGTTGATGGCCATGACGCGGAGGCCGTTGTCGGCCTCGATCTCGAGGATGGTCAGCACGGTCTCGTAGAGGATGCTGTTGCCGACGTTTTTGCTGGCCTCGGTGTTGGTCGCCACCTGGGCGAGGATGTCGTTCATGCTCTCCGACGCCTGCGGGTGGTCCTTGCCGAGGAGGCGAAGGAGGCGCAGCACCTTGACCTGGAGGAATGGGTCGGTGATGCCCGAGACGTCGTGCTCGGGCGAGTAGCCGGTGGTGACGAGCGCCTTGAGGTGGCGCACCAGCAGCGGCACCGCCTTGCGGTAGTCTTCGAGCGCCTCGGGGTCGGCGCGGCAGATTTCGATGGCCAGCGTGACGGCGCAGAGCAGCACGCCGTGGTTCTTGTCCGACAGGAGCTGCTTTGTCCGGTCGACAAAGTGGTCGAGCAGGTCGGGCACCTTGCGGACGATCCGCATGGCGCAGATGGCGGCCTTGCGCCGGATGTAGGTGTTGCTGCTGCCCATGAGCTTCTCGATCTCGTTGCAGAGGTCGCGCGACATTTCCTCGGACGCGATGTTGGCAAACGTGCAGAGCGCCAGGCCGACGACGTACATGTTGGAGTGGTTCATGTCGTTCTTGAGGCCGTTTGTGACGAGCGTCAGCACCTCGGTGTTTTCGTCGAGCAGCAGCATGATGCCGAGGTAGCCGAGTCGCTTGTCGGTGAAGCGGGGCGTGGCGACGAGCTTGAGGCACTCGATCTGCCCGAAATGGGCCGGGTACCCGAGCATGTGTATGTAGAGGAGCTTGGCGATGTTGTTGTGGCGGGCAAACGGGTCCTCGTCCTTGAAGGCGGTGCGGATCGCGGCCGACTCCTTCTGGATCAGCGATCGCTCGTCGGCCAGCGTCTTGCAGGACCGGATGGCCTTGATCAGCGCCTTGAGGTTGTACAGGCCGGCGCTGGCCATCAGGCCGCCCAGGCGCGGGTCGAGCGCAGCCACCTGCTGCTGCTTCTGGAAGAAGGTGGACATGGCGGCGGTGGGGGTCGTCGGCGGTCGTCGGGTAGCGGGTAGCGGGGAGCACTGGGCACTGGGCTTGCAGAAGAGGTGCGAGATGCTATGGCCGCGCAAAGGGTCGTGATGCCCTCCTGGGGCCGGCGAGTCGTGGGGTGATGGTCGAGTGGGCGAGTGAGTGAGAAGGAGCGAGAGCAGGGCGGTAATGGTCGACGGCAGTAGGAACCCGGCGGTCCGAAGTCGAGCTCAGAGTCGGTCTTGGAGGTGCAACCCCACCCTCGTGGCCCGGCCGTGCTGGCTGGCTGGCTGGCTTGAGCGCCGGCCGTCCGCCCGCCCGCCCTGCTGGACGTGGGGCAAGCTCCGATCACGCGGAGCCGAGCCTGTCCCGTCGTTTAGAAGAGATGCAGGTGACAAACTTTGTTGTGCGAATATAAACGTCATTTTCGAAGTACCTGGCATCGAAGGCAGTCTTAGTATAGTGGTTAGTACGAGTCGTTGTGGCTCTTCCACCCCGTTCCTTCGCCGGAGCGGTGACCCGACTAGACGGATGTTCGATTCCTCCAGACTGCATATCTTTTGGTCTTTTCCTGGTCCACCTCTTTTTTGTCATGCTTTTTCGACCGACATTCTGGGCCTTGATTGTTGTCTCCTGACGAGGAGCGTGGCTGGCCTGGAAGCCACCCACCGTCATACGTAACTAACGGAACACTGTGAGGATCATAGCGGCCTCGCTCATCTGCGCGCCGTGGGCCGAAGACGGCAGGATGCGCCGGCCGTTCGGCCTGACGATGCATAGGCCAGCGGACCGCAGTGCGCCGGGTGCCTCGCGGTGGCCGCGGGGGTCCGTCGCCCTCGGTGCTTCGGGCCGATGATGCAAAGGACATCCCTGCGGAAGGATAGGCACAGTAGTTAGTATGCGCGCGTCCATGGGCTGGGCCGCCTGGACGAGACGGAGTCGGAGTTGGGCTTGAACATCGATATCGCCATCACGATACGATACGGTAGGCAAGAGCGCACGCACTCTATGGACAGACGTCGTCTGACTGTCCGGGAACGGCGAGCAGAGTTGGGCCCTTGACGCCATGGCGCACGAAGAAAGACAAGCTAGGCAGGTACTGTAGGTAGGTCCTTAGGCACTTGCCGTTTCGGGCTCGAGTGCGGTTCCGCGCGGATCGTGCAAACGCACACAAAAGGGAGCCCATGATATGATGGCCGGCAGGCCGGCACGCCGTACGATGCGCAGCTGCCAGACGAGGCGTCGAGATGGGGAGAGGTCAGGGTCCTGGGCCGAATCTGGGATGCTCAGCCAGCTCGCTCGCGTACGCACGCAACGTCGAGCAAGAGGGAGGCCGAGAGGTGTCTCGCGAGATCTCGACGGGGTCCACATCTCGATGCCAGCGTGGATGAGCCCGCCCAAGCGTCGAGCAAGCAACCGGCGTTTACTGTAGCTGCCTATCGAGATCGCCCGAGCTGCTGCCACGACACGGTGCAATACGGTAAGCCGGTGCTGGTCATGTCCAAAAGGGGCGAGTCGGCTGTTTGAGCAGTTTTTAGAAACATGACAGGCGGCATCGGCAGCCGGTGTGGATCGATGCGAAAGCAGAAAACGAGGAGTTTGCCAGACGGATGCAGCTCGGGCCGCGGCCTCTGTTGGCGCGCTCTGGCGCGGATGGACCGTCAGCGCAGCGGCGAAACGAAACGGCACCGTCTCCGTCTGCACCCGTTTGCGGCAAACTGCGCGGGCAGGCCTGGCCTTTTGTGTGGAGGCGAGGATGGGCCCCGTGGCTGCCAACCCCTCGTTTTCCCCGCGCGCTCGCCGTTCCCTGCCTCTGCCCTTTGACGCTCGTCGCCGACGCCACCCTCCCGTGGACGGTCTCTTCTACCTGTATCAGCTTCTTGACTGGGCTGCACGTCGCAGAGGGCGAGGTTGGCTGTCGACGCCCCCAAGTCGACGGCCTTGGAGAGCGAGCAGCCGGGTGGGCGCCGATGATGACGGCCTACGCTGCTTGCCAGGCTGACTCTGCGGGAGCGCCCATTGGGATCCTGGCTGACGAGAGAGAGAGAGAGAGGAGCGAGAGAGATCAACCACCCGACTTTCTTGGCCCTCGATCTTCTTCCGACGGCGCAACAGCACCACTACTACGCCGTCGACTGCCCACTTTGCCAAGCGCTTGGCAGAGGCTGTGTCACGACCCGATCCTACCGATCCGGTTGGGTACGGTGCGGTACTGTACGGTACGTGTCGCGAGCGCACCTTGACGGTAATCACATCCTGAGAAAGAGAGCGCAGCGGCAAACGTGGTCCACAGAGCGATCGAGCGACGGCGAGGGTGCACGCAACAGAGAGGTTACTACGGTTGGCGGGCGTCGGGCGCAGGTGGCAAGCAGGAAGGGTCGACGGGCGGCCGAGCAGATGCTCCTGTTCCGGAGCTCCGCTGCCACACCTGCCACCTGGTGCCGTGTGCTCGGCAGGACTGGCAAAGCTGAGAAGAGCTGACCCTACTCCTGCTTACCCTGCGCAGCGCAGACGCCCGCTCGCCCCCTCTACCTGTCCTTCCAGCTTCCACCCGCGGCCCCCCTCTCCTCGCCATCCGAGCCTTCCTCCTTCTTCTCGTTGACCATCTACACCCTTCTGCCTCGTCGGACACGCCCCCCTGCGGCACCGCTTCTCTCGTTTCGCTCCGACATCCGTCCCGTTTCCCTCCCGACCTCGCACCAGACGACCCCTTGCGAGCTCACACTAGGCCCGGTCCATCCGCACAGCCTAGCAGCCCCTGCTCCGCACTCAAATTGGCGGCCTTGACAACGGGCCACTCGCCGGCGTCCACCTCCCCCGTCAACGCTCAGTCACTCTGTTCGCCGTCGCACCCTCTCTCGGACGACGATCTTCATCGCCTGCCTTTCGTCTCGGTCGCATCGTCCGACCTCTGGGACTCTACAACACGACCGTCCTGGCTCTTCGGAGGAACGACTCGCTGTTTCTATCTCTACGGACTAGACACCGGATCGGCCTCCCTTTGGTCTTGGCTGTTGCTACCACCAGCGCCTCCTCTGCATCTATTTGGCCGATCGCCTAGCCAACCCGCCAACCCGCCAACCCGCCAGCCCGCCGGCAAGCCATCCTTTCTTGATCGCCGAACCGCTCTCATCATCTTAGCCACGCCGCCGGCCGTCGCCCCGTCCCTCTCCTGCTACTCCTCGCCGACACTTTCTTAGCACCAGTCGCAGCATCATCCTTTCCTCGTCCGGGTAGCATGCTCAGAGCGCCGTCGACCTTCACCTCCCACCTCTGACGCCCGCCTCTGCCCCCCTGCCTCTGCCACGCTCGACCATGCCGTCCCGTTCGGCCGCCTTCGCTGCCGCCGGCATGGCCGTGCTGGCCGCTTACGCCTCGTCCGCCGTCGCACAGACCGTGACGCTGAACCCGGCGCTGAGCAGCTCGCAGGCCGCCTCACTCTCTCCCGTCATCAGCCCATCGTACGCAGGCCTGGGCATCGAGCCGTCGAACCTGCTCGCCTTCACCGGCACCACCTCAGTCAACCAGCTCACCTTCCAGCTGCTCAGCAACCTCGCCAACTACACGGGCGTGCCGCCGCACCTGCGCGTTGGAGGCAACTCGGGCGACAACATGCTCTACTCGGCCTCGGAGACTTCGTACTTCCTCCAGCCCAACCCGAGCTCGTCGGGCGCCGGCAACAGCGCCAAGACCGACGGCTTCCTCTTTGGACCCAACTACTTCCGCGCGCTCGACCGCCTGCCCAAGGGCACCCCCGTCACCTACGGCCTCAATCTGGCCTACACCGGCTCCGACTATGCCGACCGCATCGTGGCGCAGGCGCAGGCGGCGTTCGACAACCTCGACAACGTCACCCTCGTCGGCCTCGAGATCGGCAACGAGCCGGACCTCTATACGTCGGCGGGCTACCGGCCCTCGAGCTACACTGTCCAGCAGTTTGGCCAAGAGTGGGGCGACCGCGCCAGGATTCTCTACAACCGCGTGCTGGCGCCGCGCAACCTGCCCACCAACTTCTTTGAGCCGGCTACGACGGCGACGACGGCGACCAAGAACGGCCAGCCCTTCCGCATCTCGAACCTCGTCAACACGGGCGTCGCGGCCGACAACGGCGTCTATGTCGCCGGCTGGAACCAGCACGACTACTTCTACTACGTCGGGGTCAGCTCCTTTGAGCTCACCACCGACTACCTGCTCGACCTCTCGCACACCGTCAGCCAATTCAACGAGTGGACCAACCAGGCCGGGCAGGCGCTCGTCACGGGCAAGCCCTACTACCTGCGCGAGATGGGCAGCGTCGGTCCCGAGGGCATCAAGGGCATCAGCGACACGTTTGCCAACACGCTGTGGACGTTCAACTTCTTCTTCTTTGCCGCCACGCAGCAGATTTCGTCGGTGCAGATGCACGCCACCGACGCCTCGTACGGCTCGCCGTGGCAGCCGCGCACCATCAACGGCGTCTCGCCGCGCGTCCGCTCCTCGTACTACGCCTGGGCCGCCTTTGACCAGGTGGTTGGCGCATCGTGCAACACTCGCGTCGCACCCATCTCGATTGGCGGTACGCCGTCCAGCTACAACAACCGGCTCGGCGCCTACGCCTCGTACCGCGGCGGCACCCTCACCTCGCTCGTCATGATCAACACCCAGACGCTCTACACGGGCGCGACGGCGGGTACGATGACGTTCTCCTTCAAGCTGCCGAGCCTGGCGGGCCAGACCGTGTACCTGTCGACGCTCAACGCCACGGGCTCGGATGCCACCACCAACACGACGTGGAACGGCATCAGCTACGAGGTCAGCGGCAACGGGCAGCCCACGGTCGTCGATGGCTCGACGGTGGTGGTGACCATCGCCGGCGACGGCTCGCTCTCGGTGCCCGTGCGCGACAGCTCGGCCGTGGTGGCCAACATCGGCTTCAAGCTGGGCAACGAGCGGGTCAATGCGACGTCCTGCAACGTGCTGGCCGCCACGGCGCCCGAGGGGGGCGAGAACACGGCCAGCGGCACCACGGCGGCCGCGCCGGCGCCGACGTTCAAGTCGACGTCGGGCTTCCAGAACACGGGCGGCGGCCTCAGCACGGGCGCCATTGCGGGCATCGCTGCGGGAGGTGGCGCGGCGGTCCTCATCTTCCTGGCGCTCGTCATCTTCTTCTGCGTGCGCATGTGCCGCAAGAAGCGGGACCGCAAGAGCCGGTACTACACGACGCCGCCCTCGATGGCACCGCCGCCTCCGCCCCCGCCGATGGCGCCCTTCAACAGCCGGCCGGACCGCAGCCGCAGCCACGAGTACGCCCCGGTGCGCGGCGGCACCCCGCAGTCGTCGGGGTACAGCAGCCCGTACATGGGCTCGGGCGGCCTGCCTCCGCCGCGCTTTTCGGCGGGCTACCCGCCCATGACTGAAACCTCGAGCCGCAGCTCGTCGCGCAAGGGCCGGCCGTACTGATGCTGCGGTGCCACATCCAGCGACACGCCGGCACTCCACCAAGGACATTTTCTCTCTCTCTCCTCTTTCCTCGTCTTCCCCGGCCGCTCTCCATCTCGCCCGCCCAACATTTTGATCCGCACCGCCTCACTTCATCGTCGATCCTAGCTTTTGGCCGCGCTGCGTCGCTGGCGTGGCCGACGGCCGGAGGCTAGGACGCAAATCACTTTAGCAATCGCCCGCCATAGACACGTCGTCTGCCGCCATCAAAGGATCTGCACGACTCTCGCTCGCCGTTTCTGTGCCCTCAAGGGCCTCAAGACATCCGTCCGGACAATCCTGCGCCAACCGCCAGCCCCTCGTTCCCTGGCGTCGCGCCCCGCATTTGCATCAACACAGGGTCGTCGCCTCTGCACCGGTCCCACCCGTCACTCCGCAGCTCGTTTTTCCTCCTGCCCGCTTCCTCGTTTGTTTGATCTTTGGGCATCCGTCTCGACGAACCGTCGTCTTCTTTGCGTTTGACTTCGCTGCACATTCTTTCCCGCCATCTGCGTCTGGCCTAGCGACGCTGCTCGCCTTTCTCTCCCCTGTCTCTGGTTGTCTCCTTCTTGTCTTTCCATGTCGCTGCTTGCACTTCTGTATTCGTACACACCTTTGTCTGCGTCGAGCGCGTACCGGCCCGGCCAAGACGCCCGGAACTCGTCTTTGTTTGCGCTGTCGACATGCTGTACATGCTGTCCATCGTTGGCGGTGGCGGGTGTGGCCGTGGGTGAGACGGCGGCGACGACGGCGGCAACGATGGCTGCCATTATTTATTTTTGGTTTCCGTGGCCTGCCTCCACTCGTTTAAAGGCATGTGGCAGGACGGGGCCACGGGGCGGAGATGCGGGCCGCCGCTGCAACCTGCCTGCCAAAGTCCGGCGGACCTCTGAGTGGGCGCGGCGCGGCTGTGGGCAGGCTGGCGCAGCCAAGTGACGAGCTGCCTGCCTGCCTGCGCCCCGCTGCCCAAGCTGGACGGGCAGGTAGTTAGGCTGGCCCGCGCTCGGGGGGCCCTGCCTCCTGCAGCAGCCAACGTCAAGCCAAGCAGGCGACCCCGGCCGGCGTGGCTGTCGACCCTCTCACAACCACCCTCGGTCGGCCCCTCCGTTGCCTCGCCCTCCTCACACCGCCCTCCGACCTCGTCTTCTTCCCACCCTCTCTCACCCTTCATCGGACACCGCTCCGTGCGCACTCGTCTCTGCGCGCCATTGCCCGCCACCGCTCGCCACCGCCCGCCACTTCGATACCCACCCCCACGGCTTCCCTCGCTTCCTCTAACCCCGCCCACTCTCGATCGCGCCGCCCGCACCTTCCCATAACATCAGAGCCTCATCGATACAGCCGGGCCCATCCTCCTCGCCGTGCCTCGCCTCGCCACTGCTACCCGCCACACGCCACCATGGGCGCGCAAGACTGGTCCACGTCGCCTGTCACGGGCGAAAAGGTGGGCCCATCCTACATCCACGCATCCGACTTCCACTTCCGCGACACCCACGGCCGCGCCGTCCTCTTTCGCGGCATCAACCTCTCCGGCTCCAGCAAGGCTCCCCTCGGACAGCCCTCGCAGCGCGTCGACGGCTTCTGGGACGATGTCGAGGCCGGCGGCTCCAGCTTCGTCGGCCAGCCCCTCAACCTCGACGACGGGTCCGCCGATGTCCACCTCTCCCGCCTCCGCGCCTGGGGCTTCAACTGCATCCGATACGTCTTCACCTGGGAGGCCCTCGAGCACAGCGGGCCGCGCAAGTACGACTACGCATACATCGACTACACCGTCGACGTCCTGCGCAAGATTAAGAGCTACGGCTTCAAGGTCTTCATGGACCCGCACCAGGACCTCTTTTCCCGATTCACTGGCGGTTCCGGCGCTCCCTACTGGGTGCTCATCGCCTGCGGCATCAACCCGCGCAACCTCTCGGCAACCCAGGCCGCCTTCCTGCAGTGCGAGTGGCCTACCGCAGAGGACCCCAAGCCGATCGAGTACCCCGACATGCTCTGGGCCACAAACTACACCCGGCTCGGCGCCGCCACGCTCTCGGCCCTCTTCTTTGGCGGGCGCCAGTTTGCGCCCCTCTGCGTCATCGACGGCCAAAACATCCAGGACTGGCTCCAGGACCACTACCTCTCGGCCGTCGAGGAGCTCGCCAAGCGCATCGTGGCCGCCGGCGACCTGGTCGACGAGTGCGTCATCGGGTGGGACAGCATCAACGAGCCCAACCAGACCTACATCAGCCTCGAGGATCTCTCAAAGATCCCAAAGCACTGGATGCTGCGCAAGGGCCCCGTCCCCTCGCCCATTCAGAGCCTCCGCCTGGGCTCGGGTCAGCCGCAGACGGTCGAGAACTACGTCTTTGGCAGCCTCGGCCCCAAGCGCGCCGGCTCGGTCAGCATCGACCCAAAGGGCAAGACCATCTGGCTGACGCGGGAGCAGGACGACGTCCAGGGCGGCGCAAAGTGGGGCTGGCAGCGCTCCGAGTCGTGGCCGCTCGGCCAATGCCTGTGGGCGGCCCACGGCGTCTGGGACGTCGCGACGGGCGAGCTGCTGCGGCCCGACTACTTCCACCTTTACCAGAGCGACGCCGGGTCGATGCCGGCCGACTTTGTCGACGACTACTGGCTGCCGCACTGGCGCGCCTACGCCGGCCGGCTGCGCAAGATCCACCGCGAGGCCATCATGTTTATGCAGCCGCCCGTGTTTGAGCCGCCGCCGAGGTCGCTGACCGAAGACGACCTGCGGCGGCGGACGTGCGTGTCGTGCCACTTTTACGACGGCCTGACGCTCATCACCAAGCACTGGAACTGGTTCAACGCCGACGCCGTGGGCCTGCTGCGCGGCAAGTATGCCTCGGTGTTGCTGGCGGTGCGCGTGGGCAACCGGGCCATCCGCGACGTGATGCGCAAGCAGCTGGGCTACCTGCGCGCCGACACCGTCGACGGCATCGGCGCCTACCCGACCCTCATCGGCGAGATTGGCATCCCCTACGACCTCGACGGCAAGAAGACGTACTTTGGCGACGCAAAGGGCCGCGGCGTCGGCGACTACTCTGCCCAGACGCTCGCGCTCGACGCCTCGCTCAACGCGTGCGACGGCGACAACGTGCTCAACTACACGGCGTGGACCTACTGCCCGGACAACGTGCACAAGTGGGGCGACGGCTGGAACGGCGAGGACCTCAGCCTGTGGAGCCTCGACGACGTGCAGGAGGGCGCGACGCCGCCGCTGCTCAGCCTGTCGGCCAAGGGCCACGGGCGGACCAACTCGACGGACAAGGCGTCGTACGCGTCGCTGTCGTCGTCGCAGGTCTCGACGAGGTCGCCCATGAAGCTGTCCGACGGCCTCGACCCCTCGTCGTCTTCGGCGGCGGCGGCACTCGACATTGGCGCCCTCTCCAACGGCTCGCGGTCGATTGCGGCCTTTTGCCGTCCCTACCCGTTCGCGACGTGCGGCACGCCGGTCAACATCAACTTTGACATCAAGACGTCGGAATTCACCTACGTTATTGAGACGACGCGGCAGCATGTCGGACGCGGTGGCGGTGGCGGTGGGAACGACGACGATGACGACGAGGATGGAGGAGACGAGGAGGGGATGGCGACCGAGATCTACGTGCCGTACATGCACTATGCCGAGGCGAGGCCGGACACGCACCACGATGCGGGCGCGGCGCGGGCGCAGAACACGCTCTCGATTGACGTGGCCGTGTCTGCGGGGCGGTGGAAGACGAGGGGCCAGGTCCTGTTCTGGTACCTCTCTGCCGGCGACGTAAAGGAGGGCGACAAGCCGACGCGGCACCACATCAAGATCCGCCGCAGGACGGGCGCGTTTGAGGCGAACCGCCAGGTCGAGGCACGCAGTGGCTTCTGCACCATCCTCTGATCTCCCCTCCCCTCCCCTTTCCTCCCCGCGCTCCGCTCGTTCGTTCGTTCGGTCGACCTTCTCGCATCGTCTTTGGTGCTGCGTACCTCCCGTCGTCGTCGTCGTGGCTGCCGTCGTCCCAAGTAGATTCGTAGACATTCAGACTTGATCCCTCCCGGTTCCCCCACTTCCCCCCGCTTCGTCATTCAACGCGCCAACCTGTTCATACATGCATGCACGCACGTCCAACCAACGCATCTGACACCTCGATCCCGCGGCGTCTTTCACGCTCCGCCCCCACCCCTCCCCCCAACGTCTTCCCCTCCCTTGTGCGCACGTCGACCCCACACCCGCTGCAACACGCACAGACGGGAACGTCACGGAGCGGCGTGAGCCCCACGATGGCAAAGGAAGCGCCCCCACAAGGCCAACCCAGACCAGGCCAAGGAAAAGAATTGGGGATGGATTCCGACGACAAGGCCAGGACTCGAGAAAGCGACAAGCAACGAGCAACAAGAGCAACGACGACGGCGCAAAAGGAAACACACGAGCTGGGCGGGCTAGCCGCACCGAGCTTTGGGCGCGGAATGATGAAGACGAAAGAAAGAGGGGGACGGACGACAGAACGAGCAGAACAAGACGGAACGACGACGACGACGAAGGGGGGGCAGCACATGTGAGGCGTTGCGGGAGGAGAGGAAGGCCCGTTACAGCGGCTTATATGGCGGCGATGGCCAAATGATCCAAGGCCGCCAGAGAAAGTGTGGGACATGAGGGGGGAAGGGCAGGGAGGACGGAGAAACCGGCTCCGTCCAGCCGCGCTTCGGACCTGGCTTTCACCCGGCTCGACATCTTGCGACTTTGCGGCGGCAAATAGGGGTAGGGAAGTGGGGGCAACTTCGCTCTGGCAACCCCTGCCCGCCGACGCATCGACACCGATCGCGGCTACGGGGACCCAGTCCGCGCACCGCGGCAGCATCGAGCGACGGACGAGGCGCGAGCAGGGGCAAGGACCCGACCAGTCTAGGCGGCCTGGTTCTGGACAATGTTGCTGAGACCGTTGAAGAGCTCGTCGAACTTGTCCAGGTTGCCAGTGGGGACGGCGGTGGCGGCGACGCGCGCGGCCGAAGCGCTGGCGCGAGCCTCGGACTTGCTGGCGGCGGCGGCGCTCGACGAGGCGCGAGCGGCAGCCTTGGTGGCCGAGGCGCGGGCGGCCGACGAGGCGGAAGCCGCAGAGGCGCTCGCAGCGGCAGCGGAAGACTTGGACGCCTGCACCGAGGCGCGCGAGGCCGACTTCGAGGCGGACGCGGCGGCGCGCGACGAGGCAGCTTCGGCCTCCTTTTCGGCGGCGGCCTGGTCGGCGGCCGCCTTGGCCTCCTTGGCCTTCTGGGCCTCCTCCTCCTGCTGCTTCTGCTGCGCCGCGGCCTCCTCCTCCTTCTTCTTCTGCTGCTGCTTGGCCCACCAGTCGTTGTTGTCGTCGTTGTTGTTGTTGTTGTCCTTGTTCTTCTTCTTTCCGGTGACGGCGCTGACGACGTTGTCGACGACGTTTCCTCCTCCTCCGCCGCCCTCGGTCCAGGTGATGGAAAACTTGCCAACGCCGAGCGGGTTGAAGAACTGGAAGAGCGACTTGCTCATGTCGAGGGAGCCGAAGCCGCAGTTTCCGCCGCCTGTGGGGCAGGCGTCGGCGACGCGGGCCTGGGTCGACTTGCCGTTGGCCGAGATGGTGATCGTCTTTCCGCACCAGCTCGACTTCTGGTTGAGGCTGCCGTACTGGGGCTGGTTGATGGCGACGACAAAGTCGGACTCCTTGAGCATCTGACCGCACGCGCCGGCGTTGCCGGTCTCGACGTCGTACCAGGTGGCGTCGCCGTTGTAGGCGCGCTTGACGAGGTGCTGCATCTCGCGCTTCTGGTGGTGCCTTCGCAGGTTCGACGGGCTGGCATCGTCGTGGGAGCCGCTGGCGACGCCGACGGCCATTGCGGCGGCCAGGAGGGTGGTGAGCGCGACCTTCATCGTAGGCAATAAAGACGGCGGCGGGGGCGAAGGCGGGCGCGACGTGGGTGTCGGTCTATTGTCGTTGAAAGAAGCGCGAGACGGAACCAGTCGGTCGAAGCGCGCGCAGTCGATGCTTATGGGCGAGCGAGCACAGCAAGGTAGAGAGAGAGAGAGAGGGACGGCGAGCCGGCGACAAGGAGCGTAGGTGCGTCGAAAGAGAGTGTCGTGGAAAGAGCAGGGCGAGCAAGGAACGAGCTGTGCGGGTATCGCCGGAAAGGAGGGGAGAGGGCGCGACGGGTAGTGGAGAGCGAATGAAGGTGACGAGGGACGAGGGGGATGGACGGAGAGGAGGGAGGTGTAGCACGATGGAAGAAAGAGGCAGGGGAGGGGAGACAGGGGAGGGATGGAACAAGCAGGATCCACACAACAGGCAAGAGGGGGCAGCAGGCGAGGGCGAGGGCGAGGGCGAGGGCGAGGGCGAGGGCGAGGGCGATATGGGGAGCCAGGGACGAGGCCGAGCAGCAGCAGCAGCATGGCGACGGCAGGTGCGGCTGGCTGGGCTGCCTCTCCTTATGCCGTTTGCCGCCTGCTTGCCTGCCTGCCTGCTACACTCTGCTTGTTGCTTGCTGCTTGAGCGTGGCTGGCAGCGAGGAAGGGGAGAGCGGGAGCCTGGGTTCGGCCAACGCGCACACGACGAGCGGGTGCACCTCACCTCGCCGCCGCCTGCCTGGGCCAGCCGACCAGCCGACCAGCCCGCCAGGCCTAGCCTAGCCTAGCCTGTGGCCTCCGAGGCTTGGCACAACCAGGCTGCCGCACAACCATGCATGCATGCCCATTTGAAATTATTGATTTTCCCGTCTGGCCAGCTTCAAGCAAGTGGCCTGCCACTCTAGTTAGTCGACTTTAGTAGCAGAAATTCAATCGAGGTGAGGACAGTGAAGACCAGCGTCTAACCGAAATTCCAAGACGACGACCGCGAGGCGCTGGCGTCGATACAAACGCGGGCGGGCGTCGACCTCGTACAAGCCTACCGCCTGCCTGCCTGCCTCGTCGTGGTGGTGGTGGTGTGCACTTGCCTCGACGACCAGCCAGACCCCCTTTGGCCCCTATAGCGCCTGCAGCAGAGCCTTCGCTAGAAAAGGCGTTGGCGAGCTCCTCTCCTACATGACGACGACGACGACGACGACAGCAACAACAAAAGTGGCTCGCTCCAAGGGCCTAGGTCTGGCTCTGCCCCCTTCTTGGCCAGCCCCCCGTCTGCGGCCCCTTCACCTCGAGCCTGAGCCTTGCCTGCTCGAGGAGGTTTGGCTCAAGCCCGAGCGCGGTTCGCGGGCCGAAGAAGGAAGGCGGCGCGCGCATCGCGTTCACTCGCTCGAGGTAAGCCTGGCAGGCCTGACAGCAGGCCAGGCCGGTCGATGTGTAGATGGAGCGGCCTGCCTGCCTGCCTGCCTGCCTGGCCACCTGCGCCAGCGGCATGTTCCTTGTCGATCTTTGCAGGCGGATGCAGCTTACCCGAGCTCTCGGCGTCGACCGGCGCACCGGTCGCACGCCCGCGCGTCGAACCGCAGGCCACAGGCCTGCCAGTCCAGGAAGGTCGAGCAGCCTCGCGAACCATCGAGCTCGAACAGAGCGGGCTGCCTTCCCCGTTCCTACCTGGCCCGCCTGGTGCGACCAGGATCTCGCCAGCGCTCGCCGCACAAGCGCACGTACCCACGTCCAAGACTCTTCTCTGTCGAGCACATGGTCGCCGGTGCCCTCTTGCACTCCGCCTGGACGTGCCGCCACCCGCGAGGTTGAGCTGGCCGGCCACATTGGGGATCGCTCCTGTCGCAGCGCCCGCGGGTTCGACGACGCGCGGTCCGTCGATCATCTGGTCCCATCGACGAGGTGCGGCACTCTTATCTTACAGTAGCTCTCACTATCGTCAGTCGTCAGATTTGCTGAAGGCCGCCAGTCATCCTCCATCCTCCTCACACACGTCGAGGCAAGGAGGGCTCCGTGCTCCCGTTGAGAGGCTTTCAGCCACCTTTCGCGGCTGCTCGATCTCTTCAGGCCATGCCGGCAAGACTGGGATCAAGTGGCGCTTCGTCCGCATCGCCATACCCTAACAGGCAGTCGGTCGGCTCTCTCTGTCGATGAATCACGGAAGATCCAGTAGCGCGGTCCAGGTCGTCTGGCGAGGAGGCGTATCTCGATCCGCCCTGTGTTTGGCTTCGTCGGCATAAGTACCAACGGATCTGACATGGTCCATCCCGTCGACCCATCCAGGCACGCCCGGCCGTGGCTTGGTGTCGCGCGGTTCCCCGTCCCCCCTGATCGTATCGCTGGCCATGCGGCAACGCGCCCTGCCGAAGGAACGCTCTTCGGTCAGCTCCTGGCGTGCATATCCGGCCAGCCATGGGCTTGGCGAAGGCATGCTGGTCCAGCGAGTCCCGGCTGCGTGTGTCCGACGCTTTCACCAGGCTGTGCCATGGCCAACCACCCCTCGAATGCCGACTGCAAGTCCACCAACTCCTGGTCCAAGCACAGCAGCAACGCCGTCTCGGACAGTCTCGCCGTGACCACAGACTTGGCCCAATCAGCCGCCGCCAACCCCTGGCAAGGGCAGGAAAAAAGCAACGCCCAGCAAAACGTAATGACAAGAGTGGGATTCGAACCCACGCCCGAAGATAGCAGATTGCCCCTCGCTCAGTGCGAGGTATCTTCCTTAATGCTACGCCTTAGACCACTCGGCCATCTTGCCCCGCATGCTAATCTCAATCGGAAGTTGCATATATATTTAGTTTAATATTGCTGTAGAACCTTGACCTGGACGAACGCTGACGCGTGCCAGACCTCCTGGGCGCCGCTCGCCCGAGGGGGGCCCGCCCACCGCTCCGCCCGCATTTGGCGGGCGCGCACAAAGAGGGGGAGGCCCGCTGCGCTGCTGGCCTGGCCTGCCACGCCCCCGGCCTTTCCCCCACTCTGCGGCTCGGCGAGTGCTCGGGCAGCGGGCGAGCCAGCCATCATCTACACCAGGCTGGGCCGGAGATTTCCTGCGGCGGGATGTGTTGCTCTCTGGCTCAACCTGCCGACGCACCTGCGCTGCAATCCGGCCTTGCCTCCCGACCCTCATCCTCCATTCCACCCTACCCGCAGGCTCGTCTGGCGCTCCTCGGCTCAGGACGACCACCTCCTTCTATGGCCATCTCGTTAGGACATCGCAGACGCCGTCGAAACCACTTCGCCCGACCAGTCGGACCTCTCGCAACTGCAGCCTCCCATCCAGCTTCTTCGACCTGCAACTCGCATCAAAGTCTCGTGTCCAGCAGCGCATCGCCGCCAGCCCTGAGCCACACGGCTCCTCGGTCAGGCCGATACTAGGAAGACGCCGCCATCGTTTTTCGTGCTCGGCGCCGCAGACATTTGCACGCCGACAGCAAGTACGACGGACAACGGCACACACACGCATCGGATTGCAGGTCTCGCTGCGGTCCCATCTGCACGCCCGCGGCCCTCGGAGCGGCCGGATGTCGACCCATACGACGAGACCGTGCATCGCAGCTGCCGCGCTTCTAGTCTAAGAAGCGGATAGCCTCGGACCGGTGGCTAGCAGCTTCATCCGGCCCTAACTCGACAAGCTGGCCCTCCGCCGGACCAACCTCACATCGATTGAGAGGGCAGGGCGCATGGAGCGTACCTCACCCGCTGCGGAACCTTCGAACAAGGCCATAGGTGCCGCTGCGCTTACTGCGGACCGTGCCGCTCGCGCCGAGGTTCGAGCCTCGAGACCTGATCCCACTACCGCTACCAATGCCGATGACCGGCGCCTCGCCACGGCCACTTCGAGCACACCGCACGCGCACACACGCCGTCATCCGGATACAGGTGAGCATCGCGGTGCGCCAATCGGCCGCGAGCCTTGATCAGCCCTGTGAGGCTCTGTCGTTGACTTGACATCTATGACATGTGCGCCGACGCTTTCCCGACGGCGCTCTGACTCGGCAGCCATGGCGTTGACGTTTCCAAGCGCTCGTGGACCCGAGCATAGGTCCATGGACGCGCCCCCGACATCGGCCAAGCCCCGCTCTGGCTCCAGCTATTTTGAGCGGTACCCCGAGAGGAAGGCGCAGGGGCCGTACACGCCCAGGTCGACCCTCCTTCCGACGGCGGGAAGACGATCGTCGCCCAACGCGGATGCCGAAACGGGAGGTCCATCACCCCCGCTGAAGGACACAGTCCGCTTCCCTACGAGGACACACGAGGATGCCTCGCTCCAAACGCCACCTGCGGCCGGGCCATCGCGATCCCGACCACCTCCGCCTCGGGCCCAGCAGCGATCATCGCCCGGGGATCGCAAAAGGGTCGAAGCGTCGGCACAGCCACCGGTCGGACCCGAAAAAGGCGCGCCCGTGCTTGCGACGGTGCCAGCAGCCACTGCAGGCTTCGCCAGCCTCGCCAAGCGGATGCCGGCCGGACAAGAGGTCTCGAGCACGTACGCAGCGTCGTCGGCCGCCCTGGGCAAGTCCCGGGCGAAGCCGGACCGCTTGAGAATAAAGGCCGAGACAGTGCCTTCGATCGACGACATCATCCGGAGGAATGCCGATGCGCTGAAAGCCTCCCAGCCGAGCCGGTCGCCGTCGATGCCGCGCTCGGCGCCAAGCGGCGGGACAGGCATGACCCGCCAGACCACGCCGGGCGAGGTTCGCTTTCCTAGCTACGACTGGCGGAAACCTGCCTCTGCTCCGAGTGCACCGGCACGCAACGGCGTCGAGATCTGTGTCCACTCAAACGCGTCCGAGTCGTCGCTCGACTCGGTCGAGCAGGAGATCTGGGAAGGGATGAGGAGGTACGGCGCCATCGACCCGACATCGGACGGTGCCGACCCTGGCTCGCGGCGACGGTCTTTTTCAGAAGGAGTTCGCGGTGCTGGCCCTGGCGATGCGAGCGCCCCCTTCGCGCAGGTCCGGGCGTTCCAAAGTCTTGCCCAGCTCCACGTCTCACCAGTCGACGAGGCGGCACCGCCCCTGCCCGGATCGACGACGTTGGGTCAGGGGCTGCAAGAGCCTTTTGTCGAATCGAGGACCCAGAGCAAGCCACGGGCCGGGGCAAAGTCGAGCCTGACGGATCGCTTCAAGCCAGCAGACGGCGGCTCCCTGACCGAGAGCATGTCGATCCACAGCGGCCCGGGGCGTCCCTACCGGGTCTCTTACGCCGACGTCGGGGCGAGGGCGGGCAGTCCCGTGTTTGTGTTCCTCGGACTCGGCGCGGTACGGCACCTGGTCGGCCTCTACGACGAGCTGGCTGCGGCCCTTGGCCTGCGGCTCATCTGCATCGACCGCTGGGGGCTGGGACGCAGCGACGACGTGCCCATGGAGCGGCGAAGCATCCTTGCGTGGAGCGCGGTGGTCAACGAGGTCGCGGACCGCCTCGGCCTCGCCCGCTTCTCGCTCCTCGCCCACAGTGCAGGCGCGCCCTATGCCATGGCCACAGCTCTGGTCTTTGGCGAGCGTCTGGTCGGGCCGGTCCACCTGCTCAGCCCGTTTACGGGCGCCAGTGCCGAGAGTGGGTACCGCTGGTTGCGATACGTGCCGGACGGCGTGATCCGGACGGCCCAGGTGGCGGACTGGAAGCTGCAGGGATGGAAGCTGGCCAAGGCGGCCAACGGCGTCTCGCACGACACGCCCAAGTCGACGCGGGCATCCGAGACGTCTGCCGCAGGGACGCCAGCCAGCTTCGTCTCGTGCCAGACGGACTGGAATGCCTTTTCGCCGGCACGCGGCGAAGGAGCCACTGCGATGCGGCGGACCGAGTCCGACTCATCCCACGCTGGAGCGGCGGCGGCGTCCGGACTCGTTGCCTTGCCCTCGAGCACGAGCACCACCACGCTCGGACCCTCGCCCACCTCGACGCCGTCAGGCCAAGCAGGGACGAGCGCGGCAGCCACTGGCCCAACCCTCAACAAGAAGGCCTCGTTTTCCTTCCTCGGCGGCCTGTTGGGCGCACGGCAGGCCCAGTCCGAGTCGTCCTCGCCTACGTCCGATGCGGCACCGGCGACGGACGGGTCCGGTGCGGCGGCGTACCGCGGCAGGCCGGGCCGGCATCGTTACTCGCTGTCCCGCTCGGTCTCGATCAGCTCGACGACGCCGTCGTGCGCATCGCAGGAGAAGCTGACAATCGACGAGCGGTGCGAGTGGCTCGAACGGTCGCCGTCGGATGGTGGTCAGCGACTGCGCAAGCCCGTCGCGGAGCTTCCCCACTCGAGGTCGACCGGCACGCTCAGCAGCGAGGCCAGCCGGCGCCAGAGCCGTGCACCTTCGTCGAGCGGCGATTCGGCGTCGATCTACAGCACGCCCGAGCGCGGCCTGGTCATCGAACCCGACGCCGGGCTGGGGGTTGCGCTGCTGCGCGCATCGCACTCCGAGAGCCAGCGCGGCTCCGCCTCGGACCTCTCGCTCGTGCTGGGCAAGAAGCCATGGGGTTTCGACTTCACGGACGTCCGGCACCCGTGCCGCATCTGGCACGGGTCGAGGGACGAGAGGGTGAGCCTCGCCAGCGCGAAATGGATGGAGCGCTCCCTCGACGACTGCCGCCTCCACGTCGTCGAGGGCGCCGGCCACAACCTCATGACCAACACGGCCGTCATCTTTGAGGTCCTCGAGAGCATCAAGTCGTTTGCCACGCCGTCGTCGGTCGCCACCACCGCCGCAGCCGCCGGCTGAGACCCGCGCCCGTGGACCCTTTGCCCCCTTTTCTCTCCCTCGTACCATACCCTCGTCAGCCCCTCACACCCGCCCTTTTCCCGGAACGCCTCGTCAGTCCTTGCACCTCGCCTTGCTCGCAGGCCATGCCTCTCGATCCACCCTCGCATTGCCCTCTCCCCGACCCTTGTCCTTCCCTCATCATGTCTTATTCGGCTCTCCTAGCCCCTCCACCGTGCACTGCTCGCTCGTCTGGACAACGATACCCGCTCTCCCCCCCGCTCTCGGTGTGGCTCGAAACGCGCATGTCAGGGCTCCGTCGATCCATAAGGACGAGTGACCCCGGTGTTTCTTAATTTTTAAAAATTTCGGCTACTTATCACGCGAGGCAAGATGGCCGAGTGGTCTAAGGCGTAGCATTAAGGAAGATACCTCGCATTGAGCGAGGGGCAATCTGCTATCTTCGGGCGTGGGTTCGAATCCCACTCTTGTCAATACGTTTTGGTGGCCTTTGAGGCCGTCCATTTCTTTTTCGAGTTTCTCTCCGTGTTGCCGGGTGCAGCACCACAACGTCAACCCACCACTGAACTCCACTTTGGGCCCGCGGCGTCTCTTGCAGTTGAATTTCCACGGCCGGTCGGGCGGCAGGCGAGACAGGGCATGCACGCAACCCCGGTGACACAGCCTCCCGTTGAACTTGGCGGCGGCAAGCCAGCAGCAGCGGCAGCAGCAGCGGCCGCCTCAGCACAGCCTGCTTGCCCGCCCTCGCCCGCCACGCCGGCCTTGCGGCACCGCCGCTCTATGGCACCCGCAGCCGGGAAGCTTCCGTTGCCGCCTTCCTCACCACCATCACCGGCACCATCATCGTTGCCACTGCTTCCACTTCGCCTGCTGCATCGTCTCTATCTACGCTCCTTCGTGGTCCCAAGCGAAAGATCCCGCGACATACGACTTCCGGCAAACCTCCGCCACACAGGTTCTCAACCGCCGCTCGCACTCCCCCAAGGGAAAGCGACGCTCCAGCTTGACAACAACGAGCTTGCCTGACAGCAAGATGGGTCGTTCTAGAGGCATGGAGTTCTGCTGCTGCGTGAGTGCCGGTTGATCCGCCCCTGTCTGGAGGGTGAAGTTGGTGGCTCTTTCGCTGACCCACGATCGGCCCATCCCTGGGCCCGACCTACCCGACAGGCCGTGCCGCTGGTCAACGCCGGCGCCTATTTCTTGGTGCTCGAGTTCGCCTTTGTCGCGCTGGTGACGGCGATCCTGGCGCTGGCGCCTCCGCAGATTGTCGCCACGATGAACGTCATCCCGAGCTGGTCCAAGTCGCTCGTGGCGGCGCTGGGTTTCATCACCTTCTTCTGGCAGCCCCTCGGCCTCTTTGCCATTGCCAAGCAAAAGTCCGGCCTCTACCGCCTCTACATCCGCATCAACTTCCTCCTCACCTGCATCGTGCTTGCCTGCACCGCCGCCTTCCTCGCTGTCTCGGCGGCCCGCCACAATGAGGCGCTCGACGCCTGCACGGCCGTGTACGGCAACACGCCTGCTTCGAGCGGCACCGGCATCGCCGTCAGCCAGGCCACGAGCGCGCTCGACGGTTCCGGCCGCACGATCTGCAACGTGCTGACGTGGGCCCAGGTCGGCACCATGGGCGGCCTCATCGTCTTGATGGGCCTCACCCAGCTCTACATGTGCTTCGCCCAGCGCGCCTACGGCCAGCAGCAGCGAGAGGCGCGCGGCAACTTTGAAAAGTACCGCTACAGCCCGGCCAACAACGGCGGGCCGGACAGCATCCCGCTCGCCGCGCGCGACTCGGCCGTCTGGGAGCCGCGCGAGGACGAGTACGGTGCCGGCGCACACTACGGCCCCGGATACAGCCCCTACGGCCCGCCGGCGCACGGCATGGACCACCACTCGCCCTACGGCGACCGTGGCTCGCCCGAGACGCCCGAGGTCAAGGGGGGCTACGACGACGACTACCCCTCCTACCGCCCGCAGCCGGCTTCGAGGTTTTGAGCGCGGCCATGCTGCCGTGCCCGGGACGACGCCTCGTCCCGCTCCTGCGTCCGTCTCCATGGCCCTCTACGAGCATCTCGGCGACTGGATCGCCAACCGGCGTGTTCCGTTCGCTCTCCTCGGCACTCGGCCACGCTCCGAACATGTATCATAACCGCGTCTCCCTTTCCGAACCCGCTCCGCAACGACGACAAACGGACAATCTTGCCGCCCTTTCTTCTTCCAGATGACCAATCTACCTTGTCTGAATATCGACGTCGATTTGACCGTGCAGTCGCGGTGCCGTTGGACGACTGGACGTCGCGCGCCGTCAAAAGAACGCTGCCTCCCTTCCTGGCGTGCGGCGGCGGCGCCCGGATGCAGTAGTGGCGGAATGGCTCCCGAATTCGGTGCAAAAAGAAGCTCCCGTTTCCTCTGGAGGTACAGGAAGAGGGCAAAAGAAGATGCAGTCTGGAGGAATCGAACATCCGTCTAGTCGGGTCACCGCTCCGGCGAAGGAACGGGGTGGAAGAGCCACAACGACTCGTACTAACCACTATACTAAGACTGCCTTTGATGTCAAAACCCAAAAATATTGCGTATATAATGGTGCTACTTGTATCTGGTACCCGACAGGGGCTCGACGACGTGGCCGGCGAGCTTGGGACCCACGCGCTTGCTCCAGCCTGGCGAGGGCAGGGCGGACGAAGCGCGGCGTACGTGCGTGCGTGTGAGGCTAGCGACGCCGATGGGAGTCAGCAGGGATGTGCCCGCCCCTCGTCGTCGTCTGTCGAGCTTGGCACCGGGCTGAGCGGCGCACAGACATCGACGATGGCGGTCAGCACCGCAGCAGCCTGTGAGCGGATCGGATCGCCCGACGTGGCCTGGCCGCACGTTGCCAGAGTCGTGACCTGCCTTTTCGAGCAGCTGGAATAGGCGTAACGAGCGAGGGATCGGCGAAAGGCCGACCGACCAAAGCAGCGCGGGGCAGCCGGCAGCAGCAGCGTCACGTTGGGGTCGACCCCATAACGTTGGTTGGCACCCGGCTGCAGTTGAGCATCGAAGGGGAGGCAGGCCCGGGCCAGCCAGCCAGCGCGGAGGCAGCGGGGCCTGGCCTGGCCAGGTGGACCCTGCCTGACCTGCTTGCCCTGGCTGAGTCGCGCCTGGCAGAGACCAGTTAGAGTGCAGGCAGGCAGGCAGGCAGAACCTCCCCTGGCCGCCAAAGCGCGGGCGCACAACAGCGGCAGGCCCCCGTGTGGAGGAGCTAGGAGCGAGCTGCTGCCCTGCCGGCCTGGGACCTGCCTCTGCACCAGCCACCTCGTCTTTGGCTCTCCTCGCGGCCCGCCGTCGACCTTGTCGACCCCACCGCCAACGTCTCTGGCCTGCTCTCCTGATATAAGCTTCACCCTCCAAACCTTGGCACACCCGACCCGACCCGCCCCTTCACCTTTGTTCGCCTTCGCCCCCCTCCTGCCTTGCAGCTTCAACGGTATCCCCCTGCTGCCATCTCGACAAAGTCTTTCCGCCTACACGCTGCTGTCTGCTAGACACGCACTCTCCTACAACGCCTGCCTCTCCTTGCTCGTCCAACCCTGGTGCCGGTTTCAACAGCCCGGCACAGCCATCTGCGTCGCTTGCCCATCGCCTCTCCCTCCCCCTCGACGCGCCGTACCAACTCACCATGGCTCCATCCGCCGTCGCCTCGGCCGCCCACTCGATGGTCGACTCGATCAAGGCTGCAGTAAAGATGCCCGAGGCTCGATCTGCCGCCCCTACTACTGCCTCGTCCGACGGTCTCGGACACGTGCCCATCATTGACCTATACTCGGGCACCGCCGATAGCCTCTCGCCCGAATCGGCCAAGGACAAGCTCAGGCAAGACATCCTCGCCGGCCTCCGGGGCCTCGATCAGCCCATGATCCCCGGCAAGGAAAACGACGCCGAGGACCGCAGCTTCGCCTACAGGCGCACCCTGCCCACCGTTATCCTCTACGATGAGCAGGGCCTCCTCCTCTACGACAAGCTCACCACCGCGCCCGAGTACTACCTCTACAACGCCGAGCTCGAGGTGTTGCGCGAGTTTGGACCCGAGATTGCTCGCCGCATCTTCGGCTACCACACCCTGCCCGCTTCTCGGCCTATCCCAGAGTCCCCCAAGAAAGACGAGCGGCAGGAAGAGCCGCGCAAAGACGATGGCGGAGGGCGCACGCCCAGCAACGCGGGCCTCGCCAACGGCCACAAGGAAAAGTGGGGTGACCAGAGCGTGGGCAAGTTCAACGGCGGCGTCAACGCCGAAGAGGGCCTCGACGGTGACCGCGCCGTCGGAGCCGGATCCCTCGTCGAGCTCGGAGCGGGCTCGCTCCGCAAGACGATCCACCTCATCCGAGCCCTGGAGCTGCTGCCCCCGACCGCACGGGGCCCCAGCGTCAACTACTACGCCCTCGATCTCGACAAGGCCGAGCTCAACCGCACCTTGGACGAGCTCAGGACCAAGGAGGCTCGACAGGGCGACGAAGGAGGCTGGACCGTCCTCGACGGCAAGGTGGCGCTCCACGGCATGTGGGCCGACTACGACGCCGGCCTCGATTTCATCGGCCGGGGAGGCCTGGCCAAGACCCCCGGCGGCGACGAGGACGGCGGCACCGAGGGCCCGCGCTGCCTCATGTGGCTGGGCTCCAGCATTGGCAACTTCGACCGCAAGTCGGCCGCCGACTTTCTCTCCAAGACTGCCGCCAACAGCATGCGGCCGCAGGACACGATGCTCATCTCGATGGACCGTCGCAACAAGCCTGCCGACGTGGCGCTGGCCTACAACGACCCGGCCGGCCTCACCCGCGACTTTATCATGAACGGCATCGAGCATGCCGACCGCGTCCTCGGCGGCGGTGTGCTGGACAGGGCCAAGTTCGAGTACCACGACCGCTACAACAGCCGCGAGGGTCGCCACGAGTCCTACTACCGCTCCAAGGTGGATCAGGAGATCGCGGTGCCCGGCCACGAGGGCGAGCCGATCCGCATCGCCGCTGGTGAGCTGATCCACATGGAGAGCAGCTACAAGTACAGCGAGCGCGAGGCTCTCGACCTCTTCGACTACTCGGGACTGCGGGTCGTCCAGAAATGGACCGATCGCTCGGGACGCTACGACGTCTGGCTGGTCGAGAAGCCGCAGTTCCACTTTTCGAACTCGCGTGGCGCCCAGGCGGATGCCGGCGTAGCGGCCTCCGTCAACGGCGACGTCAACGGCGAACGGGCCGGATTCACGACCGACGACGGCTGGGCCAACAGCGGCGTCGACCAGCACGCCCAGCGTGCGGCGCTGCTGGGCTTGCCCGGGCCAAGGGACTGGGCGGTGATGTGGGAGGCCTGGGATACGGTAACGCTCAGCATGATCCCGCCCTCGATGCTTCACGAGAAGCCGATCGACCTGCGTCACATCTGCCTCTTCTACCTCGGCCACATCCCCGCCTTCCTCGACATCCACGTCTCGAGGCACCTCGACGAGCCACACACCAATGAGCGCTATTCGTCAATCTTTGAACGCGGCATCGACCCTCACATGGACGACGAGACGCAGTGCAACCCGCACAGCGAGGTGCCGACACGCCCAGAGGATTGGCCCACGCTCCAGGAGATCCTCGAGTACAAGGCCAAGGTGGCGGCGCGGGTGCAGCGGATCTACGACGGCGTGGCGGCCGGCACAGTGCAGATGGACCGCAGGCTCGCGCGCATGCTGTGGATGACGCTGGAGCACATCGCCCTCCACCTCGAGACGCTTCTGTACATGCTGAGCCAGAGCAGCAGCACCCTGCCGCCCGCCGGCTTCATCAAGCCGGACTGGGCCACGCTGAAGCGCGACTGGGACAACGACTACAGGCGCCGAGGCGGCGACCGTGCTCTGCAGCAGCTCATCAAGTTCGAGGCTGGCTCCGTCATCCTGGGCCACGACGACGACGACAGCCAGGACTTTGACATCAAGGCGACGCGGCCCACGTCGGACATTGCCGACCTCAATGCGCAGCTGGGCAACCCCGAGTTCGGCTGGGACAACGAGCACCCTCGTCGCAAGGTCGAGACGGGCGCGTTCAAGATTTCGGCCATGCCCATCACCAATGGCCAGTTCGCAGAGTTCCTTTCGGCCACAGGAAGCGCGGACGCACCGGCGTCGTGGGTCGAGGTGCCCGGTCGGCCGGACCGCCATGTCCGCACAGTCTACGGGCCGGTGGAGATGGACGTCGCAAAGCACTGGCCCGTCCAGGCGTCGGGAGCCCAGCTGGCCGCGTATGCCAGGTGGAAGGGAGGCAGGCTGCCCACGCAGCCCGAACTGCGGAGGTTCCTAGACGCGCCTCCCGAAGCGCTGGTGCTCGACCTGACCGTGCCGCCGTTTGGTGCGGACGCCGAGGCCGCGGATGACGCCAGCGTCATTGACCCGCCGGGCAAGCAGCCGCCCCCCGCACGCGGCTCGGCCGTCAAGTACGTGCCCAGGGAACAGCAGTCCGACGAGGACCTCAAATGGATGGCGGTGGCGCTGACAATGGCGCAAGAGGCAGCCGACGCCAAAGAAGTGCCGGTCGGAGGGGTCTTTGTTCGCAACGGCGAGATCATCGTCAAGGCCCGCAACCGCACCAACGAGCTGATGGACGTGAGTGGCCAGCCTGTCAATGACCCCATTGATACGATGAGGGACGAGACTCGCTGACTCGCTTGACCTCCCCTCGTGCCATTCCTTGCGCATTGTTGCTTGCCATGCAGGCGACTCGCCACGCCGAGCTCGAGGCGATCGACTACATCCTCTCCACTCACCCCCCCAAGAGCGACGACTTTCCCGTCGATCCCCACTCGTGCCTCCCCGGGGACAACCCGTTCAAGGACACGACGCTCTACGTGACCATTGAGCCGTGCCTCATGTGCGGCGCCGCCCTCCGCCAGGTCGGCATCCAGCGCGTCGTGTTCGGCGCCGGCAACGAGCGGTTCGGGGGCAACGGCAGCGTGCTGGGCCTGCACGACGACGATGCGCTGGTCAGCTCGCCCGGATACGAGTCAGTGGGCGGCTACTACCGCGACGAGGCCATCATGATGCTGCGCCGCTTCTACATCACCGAGAACCAGAACGCGCCCAAGCCGCAGAGCAAGGCTCGCCGCCTGCTCAAGACCGAGATCCAGCCGCCGGGCATCTCGATGCACGGGCCCGGTGTCGCGGCGGCGGCGCAGCAGCAGCAGCAGGACGGACAGAACGGCAGCCTGCCCACCTCCGCCACAAGCACGCCTTCCCCGAGACCTGGCAACGGGCGGCGAGGCTCGCAGAATCCGACGCAGGCGCAGGCGGCCCCGTGTGCCAACGTTGGTTTCCGCAACTGGCACCCGGTGCCGGCTTCGCTCCCGCGCTACGACTCGGACGGCACGCTGCTGCCCGGCCATAACGGCGGCGTGTGGGAGTGGACCAGCACGCCCTTTATGGGCTTCGACGGGTTCCGCCCCGCTGCCCTCTACCCAGGCTACAGCGCCGACTTCTTTGATGGCAAGCACAGCGTCGTACTCGGCGGCAGCTGGGCCACGGTCCCCTCGGTCGCTGGCCGTCGCTCGGTGGTCAACACCTACCAGACCACGTACCCGTACATCTTTGGCGGCGCCCGCGTCGTCTTTGACGAGTAGGAGCTGGACTCGCAGCGCAGCCCAGCTCGATGCGGCCCGGCCCCTCGGTCTGCGCACCACTCGGCCGCGTGACGACGGCACTCCAGTTTTGCTCTTCGTATGCTCTTTATTGCTCCGCCCTGACTCCTCTTCCGCCTCTGTACAAGTACCTACGTCTCCTACTGCGCAGAGCTTGCGCGCTGAGCACCACAGAGTGATGCAGCAACAACCAATGTCTCCGTGATGCCCGGCAGCGTCAGGCTTGGCGGGCGGAGCGAGGCTGGGTCGCCGATACGACCACGCTGCTGCAGCAAGCGAAGCCGGCAGCGAGGTACGGTCGTCTTTCGTCAGCTTCGGTCCACGGGAAGCAAGACATCGGATCTATCCGTGCCCGAAGGCGATGGGTGCTGCGGTCTCGAGGTTTTGTTGGACGGCTTCGGTCCTGTCACCCCCGCCCGTTTGGAACAGGGCGGGGCTGTTGGGGCCCCGCAGCGCGAGTCAGAGCCCCATAGCTAAGGCACCTGCCGGTAGCCTGCTTGCGTGATGCCGATGTTGTCCCGCTGTTGGCGAGGCTCGACGGAGAAGGCGGATCTTGGTTGCGGAGGATGGCGGCGTTATCCCCTCGTCGGCGTTAACGAGGGAGCAGCAAGCGGCAAGATCCACCCACACCGCCGCACGCACACCTGCCTCTTTTCGCCGACCAACCAAGTCAGGCTACATGTAGGGCCACTGAGCGCCCCGCCTCGTTTGTTGCCCGCCGGTCAGCTTGCACCTACCGTGCGGTGCCCCGCATAGAGACCAACGCTAGCTCGCGGCAGGTTTTAGGCTTGCTTCTAACACAGCGGCATGGACATGGGGACAAAAAGCCAGCGCACGACAACGAGCGAGGATCCCGACGCTGCGCGGATACGTAGCCACCGAAACCCGCTCGTGGACCCTCGGGGCCTGTGTCCCGGCAAAGAGGCTCGCGATTGTGGGGACGAGATCGAATAGGTCTCGCTCGCCTGGCAGCTGCGGCAGGAGGCGATGATGCGGTACGGTGCTCCCTGATCCCGAGAGCCTGGGCCGCTCTAGGCTACATACACTTCGCTCCTCCTCGCGTAGGGCCCATCTGAGGGCGGATACCGTGCTGCACCGAAAGGCGGAGACGCCGTGCGGCGTCGCTGCGGCTTTGTCCTGCCCCCAGATCCCCGACGTTTGACAACGCCTTCGACTTCCGTCATCCACGGCCAACGATGCCAGACTCCGACGCCTCACCACACCGACCGGCGGCGGACAAGAGCGGCGCAAAAAAAAGGTGTGCGTACGCAGAGCACTCGGCACGTCGTGGTCAACCCGCGAGGTCCGGCTTGCTTAGCCGCTCTCATGAGGCTAGGGTGGGGCTCGACTTTGCGCAGCCTTGGCTTGGCTGACGTCGCGCGCCAAGGTCAGATCTGGCCACCGCATGTCCAGGCGGCTACTTACGCTGCAGCGACTCGATCTGCTACAGACAGTGCGCCGCCTGCTGTTCGCGCAAGCACGTACGCCCTTTTCGCCAACGCCACGAAAGCAGGTGGCGCCACGGCACTTGCAATGGATTGGGGATCCCGGCATTCTGGTCGGTGGTGGACGTGTCGCTAGGACACCATTCCAAAGGAAAGGACCGTCCGGAACGCGGGGCAGCCGAGACGGGGGGGGCCAGGGGACAAGGGGCCGCAAGGGGGGGCAAGAGGGCGGAATGACCTGTTCAATCGGACGGTCGGGCGGTGGAGGAGAGACGGGCGGGCCGGCAGCCAAATACCTACCTAAACTCGATTTGCGTCGACGTCTAGCCGCTGCCAGCTCGAGACCAGAAAAGTCGCTTGCAGGAACGGATGTCGGTGCGTACGTCCGGTTCCACGCGCTGACTTCCCTGTCCTGTCCTGGACTTCTGTCCTGCCGCTTGCTTGTTGTGAACGCAGGTCGAAGAGGGGGAGCCGACTGACCGGCGTACAGACACACGCCACCCTGTCGATTCCTGCAGCGGATTCGGCGTCGTCCCCGCTTGAGATGGCACTCTACGCCTCGCACCGTGCCCATCCACTTTTGAGCGATGATTTACATGCTCCTCGTCTTGCTCTGATTGCCCCAAGGCGTCGACGAGCGGTGACGATATTTCGACAGGCACACGAACCAACCTATCCGGCACCATCGCCAAGTCGGAGCGGAGCGTCGGAGGTCGGTCCGGCATATTGACGACGCACATACAAAGGCTGCGCGTGGCCGCGGCATCATTTTTAGGAGGAAAAAATCCAACTCAGGAGCCAGACGGCCGGCTGGCTGGCCGACGCACCGACGCCGGCGAGGATGCAGCTGCTGCGAGAGATGGGCTGATGTTTTCGCCCTCGGCCTCGAATGTTGGGAGAGACGACTGAAGCGCTCGAGGCCTACCTAGGACGATCCTTTGAACCTCTCTATCGATGGTCGTGCAGCGCGAAAAGGTGCCTGCCTGCCTGCCTGCCTGCCTGCTTTCCTTTCGCTCTAGCCTGTGCTCTGTGAAGCCCGATGTGCTGGCTGGCTGGCTGGCTGGCTGGCTGGCTGGCTGGGGGAAGGCTGCTGGGCCCCGCCCTCGCTAAGCGGACTGGCCGATCTTCGCCGCCGCCGCGTCTTTGTTTGATGTCTAGCTGTGGGCCCGCCTCTAGCGAGGCGTCGGCTCAAGCCGAAGCAGGCCAGGCGATTTTGTTTTTTCTCGCTGCAAGCGCGACATGGGCTCCTCGCAAAAAACACCGCCGCCGCCGCCGCCGCCGATTCTCCACATCCCCGACCGCCGCGCGCCTTTGGCTCGTCGTCACCACCTTGGCTAGAGGGTCGGCAGGCCGTACGGTGCGACGCTAGCGACATCACCCTCCGTCACAGCGCCCAGGCGGCCACCATGCCCGTCTTTGCCGAGGAGATGGCTGGCCCGGCTCGTCGACGTACGTCTGTACAGCGGCCTCGTCGGGGAGCACAGGGCGGGCGCTGCCCTGGCCTCCTCCTGGCAGCTTTGGCCGCCGCCTACAGTGCAGGTACCCCCGCATGCATGCCTCTGGCCGCCTGCGCTGGCTGCCTTCTGGCTTGCCTGCTGGCCTGCTGCTTGCTTGCTCGCCCCCCAGCATCTACCCGCTGCCCGGCTGCCTGCCTTTGTTTTCATCGGGCAGTAGCCCCTTTCCTTGTGCGGCCGCGCCCGTCTTGCTTGTTTGCCTGCCTGCTTGTGCTTGGAAGCCGCCAAAAAGCAGGCTGCACAGGACATTCGCCGTACGCGATCTACCGTAGATGCCGGTATGTCGGTGCAGTCTTTGCTCCGACGGCAGGCTCAGGGAGGCAAGGGGAGGGTGTGCGTATAGGTACGTCGCTCGGACTGCGCGCGCGCGCGACGAGCGCGGCGAGCGGGCCAGCCTGACGCACATCCATCTAGAAGCGGCTTTCCTGGCTCGATGCCCATCAGACACGGTCCCCAGCCACCCTGAGGGCCTCTCCCCCCACGCTCGCCTCCCCCCTTGAGCTCCCTCTGTCTGTTGCCCCACCCTACCGTTCTCTTCGAGCTTGCTTGCTCGCTTTGGGTGCCGTGACGCCCGCCAAGCCGGAATCTGAGAGGTTGCGCTTCTGGGCCCATCGCCGCCCTTGTCCTCGCCTCGCCAGGTACCTCCGATCCTCGTCGCCGTCTCGTAGCTTGATCAGGATCCGCCCAGGTACTTAACCCACCGTGGCCACACCCATCTCCCCACACCTGTACCCCCCTTCCCCTCCTTCGTTGGATTTCATCCTTCATCGTCCGCGCTCGAGCTCTTTTTTTCCTCCTCCCGCTTTACCCGTCACCTCGACTTTACCAGCAGCACCAGCGGTTACCCCTCTACCACCACTCATCCGCCAGCAGCCATGTCCGAAGTCAAGCAGCAGGAGAACGGCGTCAACGTCTACCAGGGCGGTGCCGTCCCCATGCGCGCCCTCACCCCCGGTGGACACCCGCAGGACAACTCGCAGCCCGCCTTCCCCATCTACCACCGAAAGTTTGCCAACCCCGCCCCGCTTGGCCTCTTCGGCTTCGCCGCCACCACCTTCACCCTCTCGATGTACAACATCGCCGCGCGCGGCGTCGAGTCCCCCAACGTCGTCACCGGCCTTGCCCTTGGCTACGGTGGTCTCGCCCAGTTCCTCGCCGGCATGTGGGAGTTCGCCGCCGGTAACACGTTCGGTGCTACCGCGTTTGCTTCCTACGGTGGCTTCTGGTGAGTAGTCGATCAGCGTGCAGCAGTTGCCCGGCAGCCCCGGACGGACGCCCGCTTGCTGTGTGCGCTCCTACGCTCCTTCGTTGGTGGCATCGTGGCAGGCTTGGCTGACCAACTTTCGCCTGACTTGTCAACCTCCTTGGCTTCAAATCATCAGGTTCTCGTACGCCGTCATCCTGATTCCCTGGTTCGGTGTGGCCGAAAGCGCTGCCAGCCCTAGCGGTGTGGCCGAGTCGCAGCTCGCCGACGCCCTCGGAATCTACCTCGCCGCCTGGTTCATCTTTACTGCCATCATGCTCATCGCCTCGTTCCGCTCCTCGGTCGGACTGGTCTCGCTCTTCTTCTTCCTCGACCTCACCTTCCTGCTGCTCTTTATCGCCGAGTTCTCGGGCAAGACCGCCGTCAAGACTGCCGGCGGTGCCTTTGGCATCCTCACCGCTGCCATCGCCTGGTACGTCGGCGCCGCAGGTCTCCTGACGCCCGACACCAGCTTCTTCACGCTGCCCGTCATCGAGCTCTCCCGAAAGGACTAGGGTCGCCGCTCGCCGTTGCTATCCACGCCACCACGCTCCTTTTCCCATCGTCAACACTCACCCGCCGGTCAAAGCTCGGATCGACCTCGACCTGGCCCAGACCGGCCGGCGACCCCTGTACTACACACATTTCCAATCTCGATTTCCCTGATCTCGACCCTCTCTGGACTTCGACAGGCGTAGCTTCTGAGAGCTCCTCGTATCGAACGCTCGACGCTTCTGCCGCTGCTCCGGGATGCTCTGCCGGTACGAGATCCGGCCGGCAACATACCACATCCCGTCGCTCTGTCTCTCTACCCTATCCCTGCCGATGGGCCGACTAGACAAGACGAAGCCACCGTCCCTTGGCCTCTTCAGCTGTTGTAATTTCGTTTCTTATCACTCCTCTCCCTTGTTGTCGTTCCTACGAATGTTGTTCATCGCAATCGTCTCTGGTTACAACTACTGCCTCGTCCTGCGAGGGCGCTGGTGCATGGGCGTGGTGATCCTATCGAGTGAGGCGGGCTAACGAGCTACGCATCTGCATCGTTCAATAGAGGTCGTCCCGGCAGACTCAAGCGTAAAGGCAGGAACAGCCTCTCGTGCACAAGCAAGACTCTGTCCGCGAGAGCTTGAAATGAGATTGACCATGTTGCGCACCATTGACCTCGGCCCACAAAGGGCCCAGCATGCCTTGAGGGGGGACTGAATAGAGGAAGAGGGCAGCAAGGTGAGCCTGTCCAGCGCGACGGTGTTAGACGCGATTCCAGGTCGCGAGCGCGCGCTTCGAAAGCTGGTCTGCTGGCGCTGAGGGGCCCACGCTGATCCGGCGTCCACGCCCACTTTCTTCACGGCCGGCTGCACTGGGCACAGATTACGCACAGCCTGCAAAGCTGCAGGCCAACAGGGCGAGGTAGGGTATGTAGCGATGCGGTGCGGTGCGGTAGGCAGACAGGCAGGCAACCAGCAGCCAGCAGCCAGAGCTCGAGCTGCTCAGGGGGAAGCAGCGTACGTGCGTGCTCGCCAGCAAGCTGCGCCGCCCACTTTGGCAGGCGAAATTTTCCTCGAGCTCGTCGGCTGGTGCCGAGCGCGGCGCCTCCTGCCTCTCGGCAGGCAGGCCAGGAAGCCAGCAGCAGCAGCAGCTGGACGGCCGAGTTCATGGACGCGGCCGGCAGCAGCGCCGGGCAGGGCAGGGCGAGCTGGGCAGGGCAGGGTTTCAAAGGGCCTGGCCTGGCTGGCCTGGCTGGCCTGGCCAGGCATCTCGCGTCCGCCGGGGCCAACGCCGAGCCTTATCCACGGGCTGGCTGGCTAGGCTGGCTGGGCGTCGGCTCTGGGCGAGCACTGCCACCTTGGTTGCGTGCTGTGCATTCCCACTAGCTCGTTCACGACCCACCTACCCTGCCTGGCCTCTTCCGCTCCTCACCATCCCTTGACCGCGACGGCCTCTCTATCGGCTTCGCTCTCTGCCACCATTGACCCGAGCTAACGTTGCTGCGCAACGTCCAGCTTTGACGATCGCGACCTATCAAGCCTGCCAAGAGAAGACCTCTTGCTAGCCACCGGGAGATCCGACGCATCGACCTCGACCCGCCGCTGCCGGACTGCGTTGCTCCAACAGCCAAGCCTTCTTGGACTTTGAAGCAGCGCGACAATCCCTCGGCCTTCCCTTAGCTCCCAATCTCTTCCGCACGCTCAGCTTACCGCACGGCGCAGGCGCCTCTCTCGAGAGTCAGGATAGCTCAAACCCGGCACTCGCCCCCTGCCGCACCCCATCGCGGCCTCGACCCCGACGATGGCCAATCCATACTACCCGCCGGGTGGATCGCAGCGGCAGCGGGGCCAGAACGGTCAGCGGAACCCGCTCTCGATACCCTATCCCCAGGACCACCCCTACCTCGGCACCCCAACCAATGCCCACTTCTCGGATCCATATGCACCGGGCGGCTACGGCGACGGGCACGACCGTCCGTTCTACAACCCCTACGCCAACGTCTCGAACGTTCAGCTCGAACCGCAGAGCCACAATGCTTCCAGCGAAAACCTCGTGGGCGGGGTAAAGCAGAGCTTCAGCGAGAAGCGTCTCCAAGAAGTCGACCTTCACCCGTACCATACCGACGACGGCCTTCCCCTGCCCAGCCAGCCTTTTGCTCGAGGTTATGGCGGTGTCACCGCAGCGACCGGGCCTGGCCGGTCATCGCGAGACATTGAGCGGCCCGAATCGCCCTTTGACGGCGTCTACAAGGACCGACCCCCGGTCTGGGAGAAGCTCAACCCAGAACAGCGCGAGATCCTCAAACAGTTTCCGCCGGATCTCGACGACGCCAACGGCGGAAAGTCGGGGATGCAGGCGGTCAAGGACATGCTCAAGAACTGGAAGCAGTTCTTCCGGCTCAAGTATCTTCGTGAGTCTGCGCTCCCGCAAACGGCGGTGCTCCATCATTGAATCTAGGCTGACCTTCCGCATCTTCGTCCCACTCGCGAACAGACTGGTGGATCATTCTGCTCATCTGCGGCGCTGTCGTGGCCCTCGTCACCATCTACCACACTCAGATCGTCGACTGGCTGACGCCCATCTCCAAGAAGGCCAACTCGGTCTCGTGGGGCTGGACCATCCCGGTCGCCATCCTCTTTGTGCTCTGTGAGTTTTGGCACGCCCCTTGGATCCTACCAACAACGGCGGCACTGGGCCTCGGAGAGCTGACAGAGCCGCCTCCGCCCGACCTCCGCATGCTTGCAGCCTTTCCCCCGCTCTTCGGCCAGGAGATTGTCCTGGTCCTCGTCGGAATCGTGTATGGGCTCTGGCTTGGATTCGGCATCGCCAGTCTTGGCACGCTGCTCGGCGAGATCGGCAACTTCTACGCCTTCAAGTACTGCCTGCGAAGCACGGCGGCAAAGTACGAGCGGAAGAACATCTACTACGCCTGCATGGCCGAGATGGTCCGTGAGGGGGGCTTCTGGGTCATGTTCCTGGCCCGCCTCTCGGCGGTGCCAGGCCACTTTACCACGGCCGTCTTTGCCACCGTCGGCATGAACATCTGGATCTTCACCTTGGCCGCCGTGCTGTCGCTGCCCAAGCAGCTCATCATCGTCTACTTTGGTGTCGCCATCGAGCAGGCGGGGGGCAAGGGCGAGTCGACGGCGTCCAAGATCATCAAGTACGTCGTGCTCGCCATCACCGTCATCATCACCATCTGGACCGCCCACTGGCTCTACATGAGGATGGAGAAGGTCAGGCCGGACGTCCAGAGGAAGCTGCGGATGCGCCGCTACGACCTTCTTACGGACGCCCGAGGCTCCGAGTACACCGCACGCGGAGGTCCTTCGACTGCCGAGGCTCGGCCCGTCGAGTCGAATGGCGAGGACCGCGATACGTACGAACTCCGTCCACGGCAAGCGGGCCATGCGGGCTACTCACAGGCATCGCCGGCACAGTATGCTGGAGCCGAGACGTCCGGTCGCTACCATGGCGCCGACGAGGCCTACAACCGGGCCCCGGCCTCGTATGCTCCATCGCAGGCCCCCGCATCGCCCCAACAGAACCGAGCACCATCTGCCAACGCAGCTGGCGCGATCCAGTTCCACCGACCTCTGCGCAAGCAAACCCACGAAGACGCGCCCGCCACACCGCCCATCGATCCTGGTGGCTTCGACCACGCCTCGGATCTCTCGCAAGCCCGCGCAGAGCTGATGCTGTCCCCCGCCAGCCCCGGCGCTAGGGCCGCCAACCAAGGCGGTCGGCCAAACATCCGGCTCGACACGCAGTTGAACGCCAAATATCAGCACGCCTCCGAGCTGGGCTCGGTCTACATGCTCGGCTCGGAGGCTTCGACGGCTCCGATGCACCAGGGCAGCTTCCAGCCCGGCCAGATTGTGTCGCCCTCTTCTCTGACACCGCCCGGGCAGGACCCGGGTGCACCCGTCCCGGCGCTGCAAGCATCATACCATTCGCCACAAGCCGAGCACTTTTCCGAGAGGTCCCCACTGCGAGGCAACGAGGACCGTCTCTCGCCGACATCCCCCGGAGCGGACCATGCACCGGCTCACGCGCTGCACGGCGGCTCGCACGCCGACGCAGCTGGCAGCCAGCCGAACCACCGCCCGTACGGCGTCAGCCCTACCTCTACAGCTGCGTATGGCTACGAGCGAGATGCTCCGCCCGCGTACGCCAGCACGCCGTACCTCGCCGATCCATCGCAGCAGCTTCCGCCCCAGCAGCGAGTCTCGGACGAGGTGACGCGCTACCAGCTGCACGACTGAGGGGCGATGCGGATACCCCGCCCCGCCCTGCCATGCATCGCCGCCGTCCACCGCACCGCACCAGGCCATTCTTTCCGCCGCCTCTGTATCAGTATTCCATTTAGAGCGACCCGTCGACCACCGCCATGGCCGTCACCTGCCAGCACCGACATCACCGACAGCCGGGCCCCGCGCATCTTTTCAAGCCCGCCAGCATCCATTGTGGCCCCACACGATCCCTGCATCGTCGGACAATTCCTCTTTCTCTTTCCCGCCTTGCCGTCACGGTACAAGCTTCGAGTGGACCTGGCGTCCACGCATCACCACCACTCTCGTTACCGCGCGATCGACTGCGCTGCGCTGCCCTGCGCTGCCAGCTTCGCCGCCCTCTCGCTCATTTCTTCAATCATTGACCGTCGGCCCAGCCTGCCTCAAGGCTACATACCACGACGTCGACAGACGTCCTGTACACATCATTGCAGCCGCGAGGCATCTTCGCTCTCGCCGTCCCGCTTCTCGCGCCCCCTGTTGCTCGTCTTTCTCTTCCAACACAGCCTCCCTTGTATAGTTAGACGGTCGACTCTCTCTCTCTCCCTCTCGAACAGAGACCCGGGTGGGCCTGGGCCATCCATCCATTCAACCTCCGTTCCGTGTGCAACGTGACGTCGTCGTCGATCGTGATGGCGTCCTGGCAAGGGGGAGAGAGGGAGGGAGGGCAGACCACGTCGGCGGCGCGGCGCTGCGCTGTCGGGCAATCAGACGCCGACGTGGATGATGCCGCCCCAGCTCCTCCACATCCTCTCGACAGCGGCTCGACGACTCCAGTAACCCAGACCAGGCTGCTGGTCGACGAGGCTGGTACCGCGCTCCTCTTGCCTCTCGCTCTGCTCGCGTCGAGCCCGGGGCAGGTTGGAGGATTCGAGGTCGCGCACGTCGTGCAGGAACTGGCGCTGCAGCCGTTTGGCCAGGTGCTTGTTGCCCTTGGAAGCCGAGAGGAGGAGCGGGTAGGACGAGGAGCGCAGCAGCGACAGGTCCAGCAGCATCAGGCCGTGGTTGAGCGGCGGCAGCGTCGAGTGCGTCGATGAGGGCGAGGAGAGCAGGTGGTCGATTCGTCTACCGGGGGCGTTCGTCGGCGCGGTGGTCGTGGTACGAAAACGATCGTTGGTCACGTCAGCTCGGGCTGTACGATCGAGGCGCTGTAAATCAAGCATAGCATAGGAATGCCCTGGTACTCACCGCAACGCTTCCCACGCCCTGACCCTGAGGTTCTCGGCGTTGCGCCTGCCCCTCTTGGTCCCCGATCCACTGACCTTGCCCTTGAGCCACTGGACGCTGAGGTAGAGCACGCCGAGGGCGGGTGCGACGCCGACGGCGCCAAAGAGGAGCTGCTGGCTCTTGAGCAGCTTGTCGATGCCGCTCATGGCCACCTCGAGGTCGACCTTGGCCTTCTGGATCTGGATCAGCAGGCTCTGGATCAGCGACCCCTTGACGGCCGACTTGAGCGGGGAGCGCATCTCGTCCTCGTAGATTTTGAGGACGTAGGTCAGGTCGCCCTGGCGCACCCGCGACGCCACCGCGTCCAGCTCCGCGCCCGTGATGCCGTACTTTTCGCGCGTAAACGTCGACACCATCCTCTCGAGGCTCTCGAGGTCCGACTGGAGCGACTCGCGCGAGATGATGACGCCCGCGTCGTCGCGGCCGTGGCGCACCGTCTCGAGCAGCTGCACGCACGGCTCCCACACCCACCCGACCAGGAAGCCCCGCACCGTCTCCTTGGCCTCGTGCATCTTGGCCGCGATGCCGTCCCAGTTGTTGTTGAGGTAGCGCGACACGGCGAGCGCCGCAATCGGGTAGACGACCAGGCTCGGCCAATTCTGCGTCAGCGGCGAAGGCTGGCCGAACCGAGCAGGCGACAGGATGAGGCGGGTGCGGTCACGGCTGCGTGGCAACGTCTCCTGCAGCAGCGTGCGAAGGGCAGTCGTGAGCGCATCGGCCGACGAAGATGCCGCCTCGATGTCGATCTTGATCTCGTCGGAAGTAGAAGTGCCGCTCGAATCGTCGTGGTCGAGGGCGGATGCTAGACGGTGGACCTTGGCACCGAGGTCCTGCAGCAGGCGGCTCTCCACAGCCTTGGCACTGAGAGAGTCGAGCGACACCTCATCATCGTCGCTGTCGCCCGGAGCGGCCTGTTGAAGGGCCAGCTCGCCCATCTTTGCCGCCAGCAGGTCGCGCTCGTGCATCAGCCCCTGACGCTTGCACCGGGCCTCGTGCCGGATCATGTGGGTTGGGGAAAGCTTGAGTGCCGCAGAGCGCAGTGCCTTTGCCCGGCGCTTCCTGGCCTTGATGCTGGTAGCTTCGTCTTCGTCGTCGTCGACCGCCTGTGCCGCTCGTGCCTGGCCAAACGCCCGGTCCCTGGCCCGCTGTTTGTCCTGGGCCTGCTGCTGGACCAGCGCGAATGTGATGCTGCCCTCGCTCCTGAACTGGTACGGGAAGAGGATGCCGGTGACCATGTTGGGGGTGGCGAGGATGGTGCGCAGCGTGTTTCGCAGGGTGACGTCCCTCTCGGACGAGGGGCGAGACTTGTTCGCGCGCTTGTCTGAAGAGGTCGAGTGACGGGCGAGATCCATGGTGCCCCGCACTGTGTGGGAGGCGTTCTCGGCGGCCAGTTCGAGCGTAGCGCCGACGAGGGCGGCGATGCGATGAGGCAGCGTCTGAACGAGGTGAGCGAGGGTGCGGTAAGCCGACTCCTCGACCTCGGTCCAGAACCAGGCTTCGTCGTTGATCCTGCTCGCATCCTGGAGGAGGGCATCGAGGCCGAGGGCGTAGGCGGCGTAGGTGATCCTGGCCAGCGCAACGAGACGAAGCGTCTCGGCATTGTCCTGCGAGATGGGAGAAGGACCCTGGTCGAAGGCGGTGTTGGTGTCGCCCTGGCAAGCCTGATCGAGGCGGTCAAGGAGCCTGACGAGGGCCGAGTGGCTCGGGACGGCGGCCTTGTCGGTGATGGGGATGGCACGGACGATGTCGGCGGCCGCTTTTGACACGGCGGCGTTGGTGGTAGCCTGTGCGGTCTGGTTTGCGGTGCTGGCTGTGCCGAGGTCTGCCTGATCGTCGGAGGCGGGTGTGGACGGCAAGGCGAGACTGGCCTCGTATCGCTCGAGCTGGGGCGCAAAGCGCGAGAGGACATCTGCGGCAAAGGAGCTGCTTGCGGATGCGGCGGTCGACGAGGAAGCAGAGTCTTTGAAGCCCATTTCGACTGATGGTGCTGAGCGGCGGCGGCAGGTGGTGGTGATGATGATGATGGTGAAGACGAGGCGGAACGGGCGAGAGCGGTTGACAGGCGGCCCATTCTCGAGTTGCGGCCATCGCCAGCCTCCACACCCTTCACCCGCCGCGTTCGGCGACAAAGAGAGGTGACAGCAGCGTGCATGCCGCCGCGACCACCCCGCTCGCGGCTCAGACCGCGCTACGCCCTCACTCACTCATCTCAATCAACTGCTTGGAGCATGACATCGCACTCAGTCGTGCCACCAGAACACAACAGAGAAAGACAGCACTGTAGTGTTCATTTGGAGGAGGGAGGTGGGTTGGAAGGGGGAAGGGGGAAGGGGGAAGGTGACTAAACGGTACTGGGGAGCGAGGGTTTAGAGGGGCGAGCATAAGACGAGTTTAGAGGGAATGGGTCACATCGGCCATGGTCGACTCATAGCACAGCTTTGCCGGCCATCGAAACAAAGGGCTAATCTATTGGACCGGCGAGTCGCTGCTTGGTCGAGGCGCGGGCGGATACGGGCGCGCTGGCGGTGCCATGCAAACGCGGCCCTACTGGAGCTTGCCCTTGATGGTGCCCTTGGCCACGTTGCACGAGCCGGCGAACTGCTTGAGCAGGTCGGTGTACGCGGACTGGTCCTGGATCCTGCCGTTGTCCAGGACGCAGAGGAACTTGGACGAGTCGGTACCCGGCTGCCAGCCGTTGCAGAGGGCGTGGTTGATGGTAAACTCGGGGTAGATGTGCTCGCGCTTGGCACCCTCGCAGCGCAGCACCTCGGTCTTGAAGTCGGCGGCGGTGGCAAGCACCACGGTCGCCCTGTCGTCCGGAGTAGGCGTAAAGGTGGCGAACTGCAGCTCGCTCTGGCAGTGGTGCGAGAAGTCGTTGTAGCCGTTGGGGAACTGGCCAACGTCCGACACGCAGGTCCTGTCCTGGCCGGGTTCGCGAGTGTAGGAGCTGCAGACGCTCTGCTTGATGTAGTGCACAAACTGCTTCGAGGCACCGTAGCAGACGGCGGCGTCAAAGCGCTTGCCGTTCTCTGTCGGGCAACCAAGCAGGCAGAGTTACGGCGGGAGACGACGGTCGTCGCACAAGGGTCAGAAACAAGCTCGCCGGGCGGCACGACGGTCCACGGTTGCGTCCGCACGTGTCTACTCACCGACAGTGACGATGTGGACGTTGCGGTCGTGCTTGTCGGCCGTGGGCGCGGCAGTAGCAGCCGAGACGGCGAGGGCCGCAAGGATGAGAGACTTGGTGAATCCGAGCATCGTGAAAGGTTTGCAGAGAGGTAATTAGCGGTGCTATGAGAGCTGTAGGCAGAGAGATGGGTGTGAGAGAGAGAGATGGAGAGTGATGTGGGGTGAAGACCGGTCATCGACGAACAGCGAGCTTCCTTATATCTCCTCGAGTCTGCAGTGGGCAACGGGTCGCTCGCGGCCCATCCGACACGCTGGCGGATGGTGGCTGTTGGTGGATGAGCTCCCCCCGCAGCGTCTGCGATACGTGGCGCCTCGTCGTCCGTCGGAGGTCCGAAGCCTCGACGACAGTTCCCCTAGCCCCTTGTGATCAGCTTGGACCGTTGTCAGCTCGGGCCGGCGTCATCGGAAGGTGGGAGGCCTATGCAGTCATCGAGCCCGAGAGGCAAAAAGGGAGCAACTCGAGGTCATGTCGCGAGGCATGGCGATGATCCAAAGGATTCCCGACGACTGAAGGCCTCGGACGGATGAGGCTGACGCGTTGGTGGGTCGACTATGCGCAGCCACCGACTGAGAAAGGGGCACCCGTCTCACGAGATTGACCGGCGAGACGGGCGCCACCTCGTCCAGACTAAGACTGTCTTGCGGGTCACGCTCAACCCACCTCCGAGATGCACGGTGCGGAAAACTGAGTGCGTAGGCTCGGCCGGTGCACTCGCTTCGGTGCGACCGCGACCCACCTTTCGGAGGTCTGTACCTAGTTCATTCCCGGCGTTCCCATCCGGCCTGCATCAGCGATGGAGGAGTGACCGGTGGGGCGCAGACCCCCTGAGACTCTGGTGGCCAGGGCGTTCTCGGCGAGCACCTCGAACGGTTCGAAGCTGCCAGCTGGCGGCTTCTAGCAATCGGGAGCGGCGACGAGGAGAGCCCAGCGTGTATTTCTTGTCATCACCCGGAGCTCTCGGACCGGCGTGTCTCTTTCAGCAATGATGACCAGTGTGAAGCAAGTCGGCGGCGTTGCGTGTCTCTTCGGCCGACGGCGGTGAGACGAGGTTGCAACTCGAACCTTCGCTGCGCGACTTCGTGTGTTCCAACCAGCTTCGCGTTCATGCTCGCTCGCACGGACATTGCTGCCAGACGTGGCCAGTCTGCGAGCAATGCTCATCGAACGGGCGACGCTCTCGCAGTCAAACGGCAGTATTGGCTCGAAAAAGTCCATGGTATCAGATGGAGAGAGGGCTCGACGAACGACAAAGACGGCCTCTGCACACCCGCGGGGCGATGGGTGGCGGTACGAGTCAGTTTGGAGCCCGAGTCGGATGCTTATCATAGGCCATGACCCTAGGCTGCGACCCTCTAGCAGCACTGTAGCGAATCTACCAGGCGCTCTCCAAGTGGCCCTTGGTTCTGGTCGTTGAGTCGTACTCAGCCCCGGGGGGTCGAGACCTCGGGGTATCAGCCCCGCGTTGCCTGAACAGCTCAAACTGTTGACGAAAGCGTGAACGGCGCGCGATGGCAAAAACGCGGTATATACGAGGCCAGGCGGCAGGCAAGCTGATGTGATGGAGTTCCGGTGGCGCGTACGGCGAATAGGCCGCTGGGCGTCACATGAGGCTCGAGGTGTGACGCCGCTCGCTTCCGGTGCCACCTCGTCTAGCTTCCGTGCGTAGCTCCGCCTTCCATCGCGTCCAGCCTGAGACGCCCCCTCTGTGCAGATCACCGGTCAAGGCTTGCTCGCAAAGCTACGTACATAACGCTTCTGCAGCTAGTTACGTCGAACCGGGTCCTATGTGGTTGAAGAGGGTCGCGAGTACGTACATACGTAGGGCATCGCCTGGTACCAGGTCGGTCCGATGCAACGATGCTGCGATCCCTCGCTGCTATTGGATGCCATGTTCCTGGTCTATGTGTGGTCTGCCGTTGTCAATCTGTAGCCACCAACAGGCCAGGAGGTATGTACATGGTAGGGCCAAACAAAAGCATGGTGATGACGACGATGCGTACGTGCAAACCTGTAGACGGCTGGCACTTCCCGAGACACGGCGGCGGCGGCGGCCCGACCGGCGGCTCCGCATCGGAGATGCTGTCTAAGTTCGTCGAGCGGCTGCGCCTCATGACCCCTGCCTGCGCATTCGTCGATGCGGAACGAAAGAGGGCTCATCTCTCTCCTCCTGCCTTACACCAAGACGTAGACGGTCCGCAGGAAGTGTGGCTGCACCGTAGCTTCTCTCGCTCCGTCCGTAATGCGGAAAGCGGGGCGTTCATGCAGACGGGCATGTAGTCCCGGGACGATTTAATGACGTCCGAGATTCATCTGGGGAAGCAGGCAGGCTAGGTAGCCATTCACGTACGCCACCTGCCGTTCACGATGGGCTCGGTGCTGTACAGGTACGTACCATCGTGCCCCGAGACTCGGCCGCCAACGCCTGCCACGGATCCGGCGCCCTACAACACGTACGGCGCAGGTACATACAGGCAGGCTAGGTGACCTCGTCTTTGTCGCTGGGGCTCGGTCCTCTACCGGTATCACCTGCTTCCTCTGTGTTCTGCAACTCGGCCCTGAGTTTGGGTGGGTGAGACGACGTCGGACGCAAGCGTACCTGTACCCGTAAGCCTAGCCTGCAAACTAGTGTGCTGGCCGTCTCGCCGCCTCTCCTCGGCACCGGTATCCTGGCTGCACCATGGAGTCATACCAGACGTTCTCGGCCTAGCCTATCGAACCGTCGGATGTCCGTGACGGGACCCGCTGCCGGTGAGGAGACTAGACGCCAGCATCACAGTCACGCCAGGCACTACCGCACGCCCACAAACCCAAGAGCACGATGTGAAGGATGACAGGGGCAGCCAGCCTGTCCCCTGGGCATGTCTTTTCCCGTTCGTCGAGAGCGAGAGACCGAACGGCCAACCTCACTGTCTCTTCCTCGTAAACACATCGAGCGCGCTCCGCGGTTGGCCGTCGTCGCCGCCGTCTCCGCCCGCCGCCTGGCGCGCCTTTTCGGCTTCTCTCTCCGCCTTCCGCCGCTCCAGCTTGGCTTTGATGGCGAGCTGCCGGCAACGTCGAGACCGGAATGAAGTCGAGCTCGTCAGCCTCGGATCCTCGAAACGACCATCGCAAGCCCCGGCAGCGCAACGACCGGCCACTCACCTTGGTTGGGTCAATGACATTCTTCTGCTGCTTGCGCAGGTACTTTTTCATCGTGCTGTTCCGGCCGCGGGCCTTCTTGGCCTCCTTCTTCTTCCTGGGCTGGTCCGCCCCCGGCTTGACGGCGCCGGTCCCCTTCATCACGTCGAGCTCCTCGTCGGCGCCCTCGGCCATATCCTCGTCCCCGTCGTCCTCGGCGACGTGCGACGAGGGGGGGCACGAGACCCTCGTAGCCGCCCTTGTTGTCGAGCGCCAGCCGCTCCACGCGCGAGAGCCGCGCGTACGGCGTGCCGTCGGCCGCCTTGGCAATCTGACCTCGCGCGCCCGCCAGCCGCGCGGCGGCTCCTTGGGTCACCGACTCGGAGAGGTGGTCGTGCGACGAGGTGAGCGACCCGATGACGTCGGGGTCGACCGTGATCATCTGCGGCTGGATCTTGTCCAGCAGCGCGTGCACCTCCCTCTCCCTGCGCTTGTTCTTGGTCTCGAAGGGGTCCGCCTCGCTCGAGTCAAAGTTGGGCTCTCCCGCTCCCGGCACAATGAGGCTCGTGAATCCGCCGAGGTGGCCCACGCCAAGAACATCCTCAAACGGACACCAGCGCACCTGGAGCGGCTCGCTGCGCGGGAAGCCGTTGGTGATGTAGGGGCCCGGCGGCGCGTTGCCCAGCGGCGCATTGGTATCGTAGACGCTGACGTGTGCGCCCCACCCGACTCCGAGCAGGCCGCGCTGGCTGTACTGGACGTCGGTGGCCGGCTTGCGGCTGATCCACTCGCGCCTCGGCCCCCGGCCAAGCATCCGCGAGTCCCACACCTTGATGCTCCCGTCCAGCCCGCTCGTCACCATCTCGCGCCCGCCGTTGCGCGTGTCGATCGAGATGCCAGTCACCGGGCCCCGGTGCGCCAGCAGCTTGACCGCGGGCGTGCTCAGGTTGGGCGTCCACAGCGTCACCGTGCCGTTAGAATGGCCGAGATGGATGACGGCCGTCAGCGGGTTCTGTGCCATCGTGTTGCAGGCGCCGAGACCCGTCCGGTGCTGCACGACCAGGTTGCCGACCGAGGTGTCCTGGTACTTGAGCCAGCCGCCATTGCCGACCGTAGCGAGGAGGAAGTGGTAGGGCAGGAACTCCATTCGGTTGACCTCGTTGTGGTGCTTCATCTTGTGGATCTCGATGCCCTGCGAGTCGTAGATGAACGTGTACTTCTTCTGCGCCGCTGCGAAGAAGTTGGAGTTATGCAGCCACTTGACGTCGCGCACCGTTTCCTTGACCTGGATCTCGCACGACATCTTGCCGCTCTGCCAGTCGAAGGCGGCGAGGTGGCCCTTGCGACCGCCGAGCAGCAGATGCCGCCCATTCCGCGTGTAGTCGCACCGGTAAGGTCCAAGCCCCGTGCCGTTCTTGCCGCCGTCGAGGCGGAGCTCAAACGCCTTCCTTGCGGTCTCGATGCCGACCGACTCCTTGATCTCGCGCTGGGTGACCCGGTGCGTCCGCTCCAGGTCGCCCTCGGTCTCGATCATTCCCGCGCCCTCTCCTGGTGCAGAGGCGTGGAGGTACTCGTTGGCTAGCTTTGCGCTCTCGACGGCCCGCTTCTGCGAGAGGTGCTGCTTGGCCATCTGGGCGCGGAGCTTCTTGTCGCGGATCTGATCAAACTTCTTTGGCGCCTTGGCATCCTTGAGCGACGTCGGGTTGGCGAGGGCGAGCGTCTTTGGCGTGGCAGTGGAGCGGCCGATGGAGTTCGACTGCTTGTCGAGGGCTTCTTGGGAGTGATGCCCGGTGAGGCTCTTTGCCTCCTGCTTGCCCTTGCCCGCCGCCTTCTTGGACTTTTGCGGGCCAGCGCGGCCCGCAGGGTTGGAGGGGCCGGGATCCATGGTGGCGGCCGTTGTGCGAGGTGTCCAGGCGGCGGTGTGCTGGCGTTGCGATGGTGCGGACGATCCGAGGCCGAGGTTGCGGTGGTGGATGTAGGAGAGGACAAGGAGAGGTGGCGGGTGAGAGTCAAGGCAGTGAGGCAGTGAGGAGGGAGAGAGCAAGGGCGGCGGCAGCTTGCGAAGAAGGAAGTGAAGCTGCCAGCCCAGCCGGAAGCCGCCTCGCCTCGCCTCGCCTCGGTCTGAAAAAATTCAGGCGGCCCACCCAAAGCTCAAAAAATCTTGTATTGGCGAGGGCGGCGGATTTCTAATGGGTGGCCATGCAGGGTCGCGCTGCCATTTGAATCCTGGTCAAATCCGCGTGTTGGGCTTCTCCACTTTTCGCTGTTTGAGCGCCGCTCTCCCTGACCGCCTCTCGCCTGCTTGGCCTCTATCTGCATCCCCGTTCCCGACCTACCTCCTCCTCGACCTCATCGCATCCACCGTTCCAGGGGCTCTCCTTCGACCTTGCGCTTAAGACACCATGCCGGCCGCCTCATCATCAGCCAGGAAGGCGCCAACAGCAGCTCGCGGCAAGCCATCCAAGCAGCAGTCCGCCCCCGCCTTCGAGCAGGACTCTGACGACGACCAGGGCAGTCTCCATCTTTCCACAGACGACGACGAAGCAAGCGACAGCGGGGATGAGGAACAGGTCACAGATGACTCCGAAGACGAAGATGACCAGCGTTCAACATTCGGTAGGCAGAACGACGACGAGGACGACCAGGAGCGGAGGTTTGCGCAATTCGTCGACGAAGACGACCTCGACGACGACGACGACGATGAAGAGGACGACGACGGCAGCGAGGAAGATGATAGCGACAGCGAGTCAGACTCGGACGTGGGCTCGGACGAGGAAGCACAGGTCGCTGCATACACTCGCAAGCAGCAGGAGAAGCAGCTGAAAGAGCGTAAGTACCCGACCCTGCCGTTGCCCGGTCCCCACGCGGATGCCGAACCGCCTACTCAACCGCCCTCCTGGTGGTCTGCCACCAAACAACAGAGATGAAGAACATACCGTTCTCGGCGCTCGTCAAGGCGCGTCAGCAGCTCGGTGACGATTCGCAGGATTCCGACGCTGACGACAGTGCCAGCATCGGACTTTCGGACCTGGAGCCGGACGAGTTCGAAGCGGACCGGCAGAGACTCGCCGCCGGCAAGAAGGGCAAGAAGGCCATCAAGGGAAGAGCCGATGCTGCGGACGAGGACGACAACCTCGAGGCCAAGCGCAGGGAGGTCAAGGAACGACTGCGGCAGCTCAAGGGCAGGAACGGCGGTGACGCTGACGGCTCGGACGCAGAGCAAGAGGACCGGAGAGCAATCCGACGCCGGGATCGCGAGGAGCGGGAGCAGAAGGAGCTCGAAAAGCGCGCCAACAAGCACGCCCCGACCGAGATGTCGTCGAGGAAGCCCGTCTCGCGGCGGCGCAACGTCGTCGAGATAGCCTCGAGCAAGGTCCGGGATCCTCGCTTCGACTCGCTTTCGGGTGGCGCCACCAATTCCGACCTGTTCTCCAAGTCCTACTCGTTCCTGCCCGAGCTGCTCAAGAACGAGCTGCAGACGCTCAAGACGGTCCATGGAAAGCTGCGGAAGCAAGAGGCAAATCAGGCCGGTCCCAAGGCCAAGAGCGAGGTGGCGCTGGGCATCCGCGCCGAGCGGCAGAAGGTCGAGATGGCGCTGCGCCGGGCCGAGGGTCTTGCGTGCGAACGGGAGCGGCGCGACCGAGAGACCGAGCTGAAGCGCAAGCTCAAGCGGCAGAACAAGGAACGGGTGGAGCAGGGTCTCAAGCCGTTCTATGTCAAGAAATGTGAGTCACGTCGCTGTCCAGTGGCTCTACCTCTGACTTGGGAGGGTTCGCTGACCTCCCCTCTGAGTCCGTCGTCGCCCTCGATCCACTGCAGCCGAGCAACGCGCGATGCTGCTCAAGGACAAGTACGACCAGCTCGCGGGAGGCGACGGCGGCGACGCCGCGTCCAAGGACAAGCGCAAATCGCTCAAGAAGGCGCTCGAGAGGAGGAGGAAAAAGAACGTGCAGAAGGAGAGGAAGGATATGCCGGTGGGGATGTCGCTGGGGCTTGGAGGTGCAGCGGTGCCCAAGCGCAAGCGCGATGGCGACGCAAGCGCTGCGGCGGGCCCGAGTCGGACGCAGTCAGGTCAGAAGCCATCGAGGACCGACGGTCAGCCGGCGAAAAAGCGCGGTCGTCGGGGTTGAGAGGTTGGGCGAGCTTGCCGCAGTACCGATCCGGTCCTACCGGTACCTATCCGGGCTGCGACGGGGCGCCATCCGGCGATACGACATCTAAGCTTTTCACGCCTATCAACGTTGGTTTTATGAACGCTCGCCCATCCCGGCATCTTGTCCGTCTACCTCTGACTTTGGCTAGGTCCCTAAGCAGCGTCCGGTCTGGCCGCGAACGGGAAGGAAGCCTGAGTTCTTTCCGTCAAACCCGGCGACAGGCTCTGCCACGGTTTGGCTCGAGAAGGAGCCGACGGAGCGCCCCCGACAAGCTCTGGAGCACTCTTGTACTACGTGCCATAGGCTAGGGAACCGGCATGCGAGTACCGGGAACGCCCCGCTGCCAAGAACATGGCCATTGGACTCCGACGTCACCTCAGCGTGGGGACGAGGCCGGAAGGAATCGGCAGGGCAGAAGGAACATGCATGCAAGAAAGGGGTAGGATCGATGCTGCCAACGAATCAGCGAGAGGCGAGCCGGCGGTGAGGGCGAGCGTCTCGCGCCATGTGGGAAAGCAAGCATGTGCAGCGGTCGGCCTTCCCCGCGGGAGGAGGCCAAGGCAGCGTGCCATGTGTGGACCGGTGCGTTTCTGCGAGGGCCGTGGTGGACGGGGCATGAAGAAGCAAGCAGCCTCCCGGAACGCTCCCCGCGGGCAGCGAGGCTCCCCCACGGCCTGTCCGGTGCGGCGGCGGTGGCCAGGCTGGTGGGTGGTCAGCCGGTTGGGCGGGTGTTCCGCCTGGTGAAAACTCCCCGCGGGCGGCGACGCTCGCCTATGCACAACGGTTCTGCCGAACCAGGCTCCGCTCGCTCCCTCGACCCGGCGCCGCCTGCCTGTCTGGCAGCCAACGTCGGCCCCTTCGTGACAGGAGCAACCCGGCTGACCCGCCGCTGGGTTACAGCCGCCGGTCAATTTCTTGCTTGCTCTTCAGTCGTGCCTCTGCCTCTCTGCTCGGTGCTCGGTGTGGCAAACTGCCGCCGCTCCTTCGGTTCTTGCAGACGTAGCTTGCCCGCTGATTGCTCGCCCGGCATCGCAGGCGGTCACCGGTAACTCGATGCTTGCGCTTGCTGCTTCTCGTCTCGATCCTCCCTCTGTGGCCCCCTCGCCCAGTCACAGCTCTCGGCGCAACTTCCGACGGTCGAGGGCGATGGCGAGTGACACTACGCATGCTCGCAGCTCCTTCGATCCGGGGCCCCCGCTCGAGGGCTGCTGGGGAGCATGCATGTGCTCGGCTCGGCAGTTGTCCTTACTGCGACTCGCCACGATCCAGCTACAACAGATGTAGCCCGCCTCGACATCGAAGGACTGTGCGTACATACCTACACGTACGATGCCCTAGCGTCGTTGGCTGCAGGTGGGCCCCACACATCCGTGCTAGCGCGGCCGGCTTCCCCGCGCCCAACCCACTTCTTACCCCGGAGTACAAATAGCCCCCCCGCACCCGCTCCATTTCCCTTTCCTCCCTCATCCTCATATCCTCCTCCTCGGGACTCCTCTTCACTCTCCTTGGGACCTCCTTTCCGCTCTCTTCCATCTCTCACTCTACGGGTCAGAGGCCGTGTTCGCCTCTTTTCGTCCCCCTGGGTCTCGCCGCGCATCGGAAGACTGTGCCTGCCGTCCTCTTTGCACGACCTCGTGGCCACCTTCTGGCCCCTCGACTCGACTCCTCTCGACACCATGACGACCCAATCAGGCAAGGTGTCGACACCTTCGTCGACGGAGGAGCGGATCGACTACGATGCACACCTCGGCGCCGGCGATCAAAAGGCCAGCAAGCGCCTCGGGTTCGCCGCCATCAAGGAGGAGCTCGCCATCCACTACCGAGTCTACCTCCTCGCCCTCTCGACATGCATGGCTGGCATGCTTTTTGGGTGGGACACTGGCCTAATTGGCGGCATATTGGACTTCCCAGCGTTCCAAAGCGACTTCGGCCTTCGTGGAAAGGACAAGGAGCTCGCCAATCTCAAGGGCAACATCGTCTCGGTCCTCCAGGCAGGCTGCTTTATCGGCGCGGCCACCGGCCTCTACCTGCCGTCCAAGTACGGCCGGAAGCCGACCATGATCTTCGCCTCGATCATCTTCCTCATCGGCTCCATCATCCAGACCACCTGTCGCCTCAACGGCCAGTCGCACTCGTCCGCCCTCGTCCAGCTCTACATCGGTCGCGCCATCGGAGGCTTCGGCGTCGGTCTCTCGAGCGCCGTCGTCCCAACCTACCTCTCCGAGTGCGCACCCCGGAGCATCCGGGGGAGATGCGGCGGTCTATACCAGTTGCTCAACGTTACCGGCATCGCACTCGCATTCTTTTGCAACTATGGCATGGCTCAGAACTATCCCGACCAGAGCTCGTCCAACATGTGGCGGATCCCGTTTGCGCTGCAGATGCTGCCCGGCGCGCTTTTTACCGCAACAATCGTTTTCCAGCCCGAGTCGCCTCGGTGGCTCATTGAGCAGGATCGCGCCGCCGAGGGCGCTCAGGCCCTGTCTATTATCAATGCGCTGCCTGCCGAGCACCCCAACATCACCTCGATGGTCTCCGAGATCGAGGCCGACCTCGAGGGCAAGTCGAAGCTGTCTTTTGCCAAGCAGCTGCGCCTCTCCGTCGCCGACGGCGTCACCTTCTACCGTGTCATGACCGGCGCCATTCTCATGTTCTTTCAGCAGTGGACCGGTAAGTCGGCTTGAACGCCATGTCGCTCGCCCTTTGTGGAAAATGAGGTGCTGAGCATGGCCCTTTGCGTCTTTGCATCGCCTCCCACCCCACAGGTACCAATGCGATCAACGTGTTTGCCCCTCAGATCTTCAAGACGCTCGGCGTCAGCGGCCCTTCGGCTTCGCTGCTTGCGACGGGCGTCTACGGCATTGTCAAGATCGTCACTACCGCCCTGTTCCTGGTCGTTGCCATCGAGCAGCTCGGCAGGAAATGGTGCCTGATCCTCGGCGGCATCATCCAAATCTTCACCCTCTTCTGGATCGCAATCTACCAGGCCGTTCGCCCCGCGAGCGGGTCCGTGCCGGTCGACGGCGTCGGATACGTGACCCTCGCGATGATCTACATCTTTGTCGTCGGGTGAGTTTGGCGTTGCTTTGTGCATCTGCAAAGGCGGTCGCGACGGCATGCTGACACCTGGTCCTCCCTCTTCCGATTTTGCCAACCTTGCGACAGCTACGGACTTGGCTGGAGCTCCGTCACCTGGTCGGTCTCGGCCGAGGTCGCTCCCAACCACCTGCGCTCGCTTGCCATGTCCTACGCAACCATGTCGCAGTGGGGCTTCAACTTGGCCGTCGTTCGCATGACGCCGGTGGCGCTTGTCACCATCAAGTTCGGCACCTTCCTCATCTTTGCGTGCATCACGACGTGTGCCGTCATCTGGGCGGCAGTCTTCCTGCCCGAGACCGGGGGCGTGACGCTCGAGATGATGAGCAAGCTGTACGAGGGCAACATTGTCGCGCGGTCGCTCCAGGATCTTTTCCCCTCGAAGCGCCGCGTCTTCCGCGCCCGCCTCCTCGCCGAGAACGGCGGGACCGGCGACGACGGCGGCGTCATCCGCGAGGCTGGCCACAACGACGACTTCCCGCGCCTCGACAAGAGCGACTCTGCCACCACCGAGGTCTTTGATGCCGCCAAGTCCAAGAGCCAGGACAATGTCGTTCTCGGCAGCCGCGATGCTACAACCAACGACAAGAAGTAGGCTGAACCAGGACTCCGGACGCAGTGCCACCCCGTTTTCAGATTAAAACGTCACCGCGAATTCAGAACGACGACCATTGCATGTATCTGTATCTCCATACCCCCCGCCGAACCCTCTTCTCCACGCTCAATGCGATCTCTGTAACGTCTCTCGGGGTCCTATCGCCTCTCCTCGCAAAAGTCACGATTCATCGACTCTCATCTTCCTCCTGCGAATGGCAGCGCCCCTTGCGTCAGCGTGAGCTCGTCGTTGATGCGACCCTAAGGCCAACCATAGGCCGACAGGCAGTTCGCGTGGGCGCCCCTTTCTCGACCCTGACATGCGCAACCCTTCGTTCACCCTGGATCGGTACGGTTGACATGGTATCTTCGGGTGAGTCCAATGATCAACGAGACTATACATCAAGGGAGAGGGAGGTCGGGAGATGGGCATGATACAGCAGAGGATAAGTCGGTGCAGGGATAGGAGGAAAAGGGGGCTGTTCAGTCTACGCTATCACCGGCAAGGTGATGGGACCGAACGATGGAATGACGAAGTACGAAAAGAGGGGAGAGACGGGGCGGGAAGTGGGCGAGGAGCAAGGTATGACTCTAAAGAGTGACGAAGGTGGCGACGATGGCAGCGAGACCGAAGCCGAACGCCGACATGGTGAGCTGGGCACCCGAGTTCTCGCCCTGGCCGGCGTTCTGGTTGCCAGTCTGGCCGTTGCCGCCGTTCTGGCCGTTCTGGCCATTGCCGCCGTTTCCGCCGTTCTGGCCGTTGCCGTTGCCACCGTTCTGTCCGTTCTGCTCGCCTCCGTTGCCACCGTTGCCGTTGCCGCCGTTCTGGCCGTTGGCGCCAGCGTCACCGCCGTTGCCGTTGGAACCGTTCTGGCCGTTTCCGTTGGCGTCACCGCCGTTGCCGGAGCCAGCAGCGCCAGCGGCACCGGCAGCTCCAGCAGCACCAGCAGCACCGGCGGCACCGGCGGCACCGGCGATGTCGCCGAGGGTGAAGTTGCTAGCGTTGGGGCCGGTGTTCTGTGCGTTGAGGGCCTCGCCGTTGCTGCCGACGCCCGTCTCGCTCTGGCCGGTACCGGCGCCGGACTGGTTCTGGTCGGCCGACTTGTTGGCGTCGGAGCCGTCCTGGGCGGCGGGGACGTTGGTGCCCTGCGAGGTGATGGCATTGGTTCCGGTGACGGGGCCGGCGATCGACTTGGCGCGGTCACCGTCGATGGCGGCCTGGGCCGAGTCGGCTGCCTGCTTGGCGCGCGCCTCGTCGAGCTTGTTGGATGCGAGGACGGTGTCGATCTGGTGGATGACGCCGTTGGCGCAGATGATGTCGGTCTGGAGGATCTTGGCCGACTTGCCGTCGACGGTCACGGTGCCGGCGCCGTTGTCAAACTTGATGTCCTGTCCCGAGGTCGAGATGACGGCTCCCTGGTCGATCAGCAGGGGCGAGTAGAGGACGCGGTTGGCGACGACGTGCTGGCCGAGGACGGCGGGCAGGTCCGAAGCGTTGGGCTTCGAGGCAAGGAACGCCGCGATGGCCTTGTTCGAGGGAGCAAAGACGGTGATGCCGGAGAGCGAGTTGAGCTGCTGGGCCAGGCTGCCGTTGTTGACGCCGGCAACGGCCTGCAGGAGGCCGCCGTACTTGAGGTAGTCAAGCGTCTCGAGGAGCGAGCCGGGGACGGTGACGGCGTGGCTGATGGGCTGGATGGTGATGCTGTTGTAGTTGATGGGCGATCCGACGAAGCTGTCGTTGTTGACGGCCTCGGAAACGATGGAGCCCTGCTCGGTCTTGGCGAGGGCGAGGGCCTGACCGGCGCCGCCGGGCAGCTTCGAGTATTCCTGGTTGGTGAGGAGCGAGTGTCCGAGGGTGTGCAGGGGGAAGCTGTTGAACTGGTCGGCGTTGAACTCGCCGCGGAGGACGTGCTGGAGCAGCGTGGCCTCGAGGATGGAGCTGTTGCCCGTGACCCAGGTGGGCAGCGCCGTGACGGCGTCGTCGTTGGGCGCGAGGAAGTACTTTGCCGAGTCGTCGGCCATGATGGCGTCGGTCACGGCCGTGTTGTTGGCGAGCACGTCGGCGAGCTTGGTGAGGTTGTTGCTGCGCAGGTTGTCGAGCAGGCCGTTGGCGTCGCCGCCCTGGCGCAGCGCCAGCTCCTGGAACATGGGGCTGGCGAGGGTCGACGTGGCGGTGGCCAGGAAGGCCGCGGAGAGCGTAGCGTAGCGCATCTTGCTTGGCACCTGTGGTGGTGGTGTCGCGGAGAGAGAAAGAATGGAGCGGGTGGTGCTGCGATGCGAGCTAGGCAAGCGTTCAAGAGTTAGGGGTGAGGGTGGATTCTGAACAAGCAGGGGCAGACACACAGGACGGGCAGCTCTTATACCCTCCACGAGCAAGGACGAGGGACGCAGGCAGGACGAGGTCCCTTGGGGCCGGGTGGGCATCCAGCCTGGAGTGACGGGGCCCTCGAAGCTGTGCCGACGACGCTTCTTCCAATCGCTTGGCAGGCACGTCGCAAGAGAGCAACGGCTCTTACCAGGGTCATGGCGAGTCAAAGAGCATGAGAAAGGTCAGCCGCTCCTTGCTGTCACACCACTCCTGCTACTGCATGCTTGCCAAAGCCGAGCTGGGGTCGGTCGCGAGCGGGGGCCGCGGGAACGTCGATGGTCGGCCGGCCGGTGCAAAGTGAAGGGGCCATCGCAAGCGAGGGCATATGACGAGGTGCTGGTCCAGGATGGCGCGGGGGGAGGCGAGGAACGTTGGGGGCACGCCTTTGTCCCCTCGCTGCAGGCGGCCCCGGCATTGGCATGCTGGGTAGAGCTCGTAGCCAAAGCTGTCCCGCAGCGCGACGCGAAAAAGCCTGCCCGACCAAGGCCCGCAGCCTGGACCTCTGGCCCTCGGCGATGTCGTCGGTCGTCGGGCTCGACTTTGACGGGCTGTGCTCTTGCAGGCGGCCTTCGCCGGGGATGCACCCATCATGCCTGGTGCAGTATGTGAAGCAACGGAGCGACGTCTTCCCTCGAGCGACGCTGCTGTAGCATTCCCCCTTGCCGCGTCACCCTTTCGGCTCCTCATGCACAGTTCCGGTCGGGTTGCGAGGGGTCTGCAGGGCGAGAAGATCCGGCCTGCAGCGGGCCCAGGCCCCACGGAGGGCCAGCAGCAGGCGAGCAAGTGTAGCGGCGCTGCGCTGACTTGGCCCTGACTGTATCGCTCCCCCGCGTCGGCAGCGGCACACTTACGTCGCCGTCGCCGCCATCGTCGCTGAAGCCACCACCGCCGACGGTGGGAACTCATTGCCATCCCCCTCGGCGCGTCGCCGCTGAACTATCGGGACAGAGCCTCTAAGTAATCGTGGTGGCGCAAGCATCGCCATCGACGCCAACCATAACGGGCAAGCATGTTCCCTTTCTCGGTGTCGGTGTGACTTTAACGTAGGCCAAGGCGAGGTTCGGGAAGGCAGGAGGGCAGGAGGGCAGAGCGGGATCGAAGAGCAACCAGAGGCCCTAGACGACGAGCTGAGTTGAGAGCCGACGCACGTCGATCTCGCGCTGGGGTTTTGGCGATGACCCGTTTCTCGGGTTCAAGCGCTTGCGCTGCCGCCGCACATGTCAGTCTGCAGCCGGGCAGCAACGCCTGTTACGATCCTGGTTCCTACTGCCTGGTCGCACATGTGCCTAGGGCCTCTCTGCTAGGCGCACCTCTTCCGACATGCCCGGCTACAAACAGGTCGACGAAAACGACGGGAGCCGCTGCGGCTACGTGAGTCTGGAACCATCCATAAGCCATACGTACGCGCTCGGCCTGCACAATCCCGAGCATGCACGTTCGGTCGGCGACATGCAGTCGAAAGGCCGGACGTAGGATGGTGCAGGCAGAGCGGTTGCGGGGCACGGCTCGTCAATTGCAGCTTTCGGAGTCGAGCCTTGATTGACGATTCTTAGCTTGATTTACCGCTCCGCGCCCGAGTCCGAGGTACTGTAGGCGGCGAGCGTATCTCGGCGTGTCTCTGAATAAGAATGGCAGGCGTACCACTGCGCGATGGGACATGACAGGCGGATGAGTTTGAGACGTGCAAGCAAGGCAAGCAGGCAGGCAGGCAGCCTTGCCCATGACGGTCCACGCACGGCGAGGCGAGAACAAAGAGCTTTATTCAGGGTGCAAAGCGGACGAAGCTGCTCTGGCTGGCTCTGTCAAGTCAAAGCCGTCCGGTCGATGGCGCTAGCGTAGGATGATGCTGTCCACCATTCGGCAGTTGGTCTTCCGCCTCGAGAGCCAATCAATCCATCGTTAGCCGGTGCCCGGACTTGTGAGTACCGGCGTCGCTCGAATAGGCAAGAGGCTCTTTGGCTGTATTCGGCAGGTCTCAGCCAGAGAGCTGCTAACAGCCGTCGTGCAGCTCTGTAGCCTTAGGCTGGTGTCTGGGACACGTGCAGGAGATGCTTGGCTCTCTCCACTTGCTTGGCGAGTGATGCCATCTCTTCCTGCTGTAGCTCGACCCTTGGAAGACCTACGTCATGGCTCTTCGCCCCTCGTCCTCCCGATCTGGTCTCGATCTCCCCGACCACGATACACAGCGGCACCGTAGCATAGACGTCGAGGGTCGAATCAAAGCTTCATGGCACAGCTTGAATTTGCGCAAGGTGACGAGGTCCGGCTTCATAGCGTATGAGCTCGACGCAGACCTACCTATCACAGCAGCTTATGCGACGCAGTATGTACTCGGTGTCGTCGTCGTCGTCGTCGTCAAACTTCGTGCGCACTTGAAGGCAGCCAGCCCGACCATCATTCTCGAAGAACGAAGGCGGAGACAGCGCCTCGAGCCAAGCTGGGGGCGACGCAGACCCACGCGCCAGACACCTCGTCCGTATGCAGGCACTGCACTTCGTCAGATTCTCTTCACACCTCCTGATCGTCCGAGTCGAACCTCTCTCTCTGAAAGCAAACAAGCAGAAGTACGAAGGCGAAGTGGGAAGCCAGAGCCAGGCGTGGCGAGGGAGCCCGTGTGGACTGACTGGCTGATCGACGTGGATGGCGAAACTGATCGTCGCTGCAAGGGGTCGCGCCGAGCAAGAAAAAAGGCCAGGCACGGCAAAGAAGCGGCCGGTGGTGCTGGTGGTGGTGGTGGTGGTGCTCGCGTCGGTCCGTAACGAGCCCGTGTCCGAGTCCGAGCCTCGAGGCCCGCCTCAGGCACGATGTCTGGCCTGCGGGCTCTGCACGCAGCGCCTGGCGGTCATATACCCACGCTGCAATCAATGCGCGACCTCATCGTTGGCCCGTCCCTCACTCCAGGCTCGACTCCCTGCTTGTCCGACAGCGTGCCTGACCCTACCGCAATCCTCGTGCTCCAACTTCGACATGCGCGACCGTGCTCGGCCAGCGCAGAGACGGGCGACAATCATCGTCGACGGCGAGCATCTTTACGGTCACGACTGAGGAAGTATCGAAAGTTGTGATTCATTCAAGGCATTCGCTTTCCCGGCCCAAGGGCGAGGGTTCGAGGGACATTGGTACGATACTTTTCAAACGTGCGACATGGCGCGGTAAGGTGGGCGAGCGAAAAGGCGGAAGCCCATTTCGCAGGTTGGATTAGGCCTGCGCGGTGGCCTTCTCCTTTTCAGCGCCGTTCTCGACGTGGGCGCTGGTGCTGACGACGTTGGCCGCGGCGGCCTTGAGAGCCTGCCGCCTGGCCAGTCCGCGGTGGCCGCCCGAGATCCTGGCGAGCCAGGGCCACCTGCCGCGGCGGGCGAGTGCCTTCCACAGCTCGACTGTGGCCAGGAAGGTGATGGTCATGGCGAGCGAGATGCCCCAGCCCTTGCCGTCCATGGCGGCGTGTCGGAAGACGTCGGTGTTGAAGCCGGGGATGTAGAGACACAGCGGGATGGTGGCCATGCCGAACACGACCGACCACAGCAGCATCGGGTTCCTCCACAGATGCTTGGCCGGCCTCATGCTGAAGAACGACTTCTCCATGCTGATCAGCTCCCAGCAGATGAGCAGCAGCTGCAGCGTCAGCGTGGTAAAGACCGCCGAACGGGCCTGGAAGATGGGCTCGCACGACGTGTCCGACGAGTGGTTGCAGTCGAGCGCGATGCGGCCGTCGCCGATGCCGTAGATCATGATCAGGAAGGCAACCAGGCACGTCCAGCCCATCGTGACTCCGTAGACGAGCGTGTCGACGACGACGGCGCGGCTAAGCACGCCCGCCTTGAGGTCGTGCGGGGGACGGTCCATGATATCGTCCTCGGCCGGCTCGAGGCCAAGTCCGATGGCGGGCAGACTGGCCGTGACCATGTTGATCCACAGGATGCCTACCGGAGCGAGGGGAAAGACGGACTCCTCCTCCGCGTCCCTGACGGCAAGGCCGCACAGCAGGAGCAGCACCTCGGCCACGTTGGCAACGAGGAGGCCGATCAGGAAGCGCTGGATGTTGTCAAAGATGGCGCGGCCCTCACGGATGCCCTTGACGATCGAGTCGAACTTGTCGTCGGTGAGGATGAGGTCGGAGCTGTCCTTGGCCACGTCGGTACCCGTACCCATGCCGATGCCGACGGGGGCCTGCTTGAGCGAGGGGGCGTCGTTGATGCCGTCTCCAGTCATGGCGAGGTAGCGTCCGCGACGCTTGCCGGCCAGAATCATCTTGACCTTGGTCTGGGGCGAGCAGCGGGCAATGACGAGCGGCAGGTCCTCAAGCGCGTCAATCTCGGCGTCGGTCAGCGCATCGAAGCGGGCGGCCGTCATGATGGCGTCCTTGCCCTCGGTGCCGTCGACGATGGCCACCTCGCGAGCAATGGCGCGTGCCGTGGCCGGGTGGTCGCCTGTCAGCATGTGGACCACGATGCCGGCGCGCTGACAGGCCTCGACCGAGGCGCGGGTCTCGGCTCGCGGAGGGTCGTAGAGGCCGAGCAGGCCGATGAAGGTGAATTCGCGCTCGGCCGCCTGACGGGAGAGACCGTCGCCCCGCTTGGTGGCGACGTCGTTCTTGTCGAGCGGGATCGAGTCAGTGCTCGAGTTGCTGCTGCTGTTGGGCGAGACATCGGCGCGAGACTGCTCGGCCTTGTACTGAGCCGCGTCGAGGCGTCGCTCGGCGAAGGCGAGCACGCGAAGACCCTCGGAGGCCAGCTTCTCCATGTGATCTACGATCGACTTGCGGGTAGCGTCATCGAGCGCAGCCTCCTGTCCGTCCGCGCCCTCGGTCGTCCTGACGCTGGTGCAGCACTCGAGCACCCGCTCGACGGCACCCTTCATGTAGAGCTCGCGGTCTCCGTCCTGAGCCGGGACCTTGTACACGCTCGTCATGCGCTTGACGGTGCTGTCGAAGGGGAACTCGGCCTCGTGAGAGAAGCGAGGCGCCTCGCCGATGGTCAGCGAGTCGCGGCCGAGGCCAAGCTTGGTGGCGAAGACCTGAAGGGCGATCTCCGTGGGGTCGCCTCGAGCGCCCCACGTACCGTCGGCGGACTGTTCCAGCTCGGCGATGTTGCAGAGCGACGCAGCGATGGCGATGCTCTCGACGCGATCGGGCAGCCCGTCGTTCTCGAAGAAGGCCCGTTCATCGGCGCTGCCATCGTCGGAGAACACCCTGCCGACGGGTTCAAAGGCGGTGGCTCCGCTCTGCTCGACGCCGTAGGTCTGACTCCTTCCGGTGGCGTAGGTCCAGCACTTGCGAACGACCATCTTGCCCTGCGTGAGCGTGCCCGTCTTGTCGCTGCAGACGTCGGTGACGCCGCCGAGGGCCTCGAGCGCGTCCAGGCGACGGACGACGACGTTGGCCTCGGCCATCCGCTTGGCACCGACGCTGAACGTGATGGTGAGGACGGCAACGAGCGACTCGGGGATGACGCCGATGCCCAGGGCGATGGCATAAAGGATGACTTCGTTGGTGATGTCGAACTCAGCCACGCCAAAGACGATGATGGCGCAGACGACGGCGAGGAAGAGGAGGAGGTAGGCGAACTTGTTGAGCTTGATCTGGAGCGGCGTGCCGTCGCGGATGCCGAGGAACTTGGCGGTCGACTCCCAAGCGCGCTTGTACCAGGGCAGCGCGTGGACCTGGCCCTCCTTGCGGGCGAGAGCCTCGGCGATCTGGCCAATCTGAGTCTGCATGCCGGTGGCGACGACGACGCCGACACCGCGGCCCTTGGTGACAGTGGTGCTGGCGTAGCCGAGGTTAGTGCGGTCGGCTGGGCCGAGGTCGGGGGCGGTAAGCCTCTCGGTGGTCTTGATGACCGGCACCGACTCGCCGGTGAGGGGTGCCTCGTCGACCTCGAGGTTGGAAATGGTGATCAGGCGGACATCGGCGGGCAGCAGATCGCCCGCGCGGAAGTGAACGACGTCGCCGGGCACCAGCGCGGTCGAGGGCAGCACCTGGATGTTGGACGACCGCAGGACGTTGGCCGTCGGCGACGAGAGCGATCGCAGAGAGGCCATCGTCCGCTCAGCCTTGTACTCCTGGACGAAGCCGATGAGGACGTTGGTGACGATGACGGCCGTGACGACGGCGCCCTCGATCCAGTCCTTGACGGCGAACGAGAGGATCATGGCACCGACGAGGACGATGGTCAGGGCGTTGGCCACCTGGCGAAGAAAGATGGTCCAGGCGCTGACACTGGAGCGCTCCTTGAGCTGGTTGGCACCGTGCTTTTCGAGTCGGGCGGCCGCCTCGGACTCGGACAGGCCGGTGGTGATGTTGCTTTGAAACTGGGCGAGGACCTCGTCGGGTTTTAGTGAATGCGGTTGATGCAGACCAGTCGGGCCGGCGCCGGCGGCGGATCGCTGGCTAACGCCGTCATCGTGGGCATCGTGGCCGAAGACGTCGACGACCACCTGGTCAGGCTTGCGCTTGAGGAGGTCCGCCTGGCCAGAGTGGGGCAGGGGCTCGACGACGTTGGCATGGGTGATGTCGACGGCCCCCTTCTTGAGGTAGGTACTGCCATCGCCACCGGGAGCGACAGGTGCAGTGGCGTCGAGGAAGGGCGCGTTGCGGTCGGCAAGGGAAGACGAGAGCGAGGTGACGCTGCCGCTGGTGGCGAGCGAAGGAGTGGCATCAGAGCTGTCGAGGGTGTCGGAGCGCTGCTGGCGAGCCTGCGGGCGGTCAAGAGGCTCTTGGCGGTGGTGTTGATCTTGAGGATTGGGACGAGGGGAGTACCCACTACTAGGGGGTTCGTCGGCGTCGTCGGGCACCCCGGGCTGTGCAACGGCTTGTCGAGAAGCAGAACTGGCACCATCGGCTTGAACCATCAGTTGGATAGAGTGCGTAAGGTCGAAACGCGAGTGCGCGATAAGGGCCGATCGAACCTGGTCGAGGAGCGATTCAGCCACGCGGTGTTGGTGCGAGGACCGAGTGCGTGGGGAGGGCGTAGGTTTGCGTGTGCGCGTCACCTAGGCGGGCGTGTTGGTCGAAGAGCTGCTTATTGGTTCTGTCGACTTTACCAGCGGGAGGGTGGCGTAGACGAAGGAGGCGAGAAGGCTACAAGAGGTCGAAGGGTGAAGGGGAGGGTGGCGTGGACTGGTGGGCTATATACCAGCGAACGGGGCTTGGCCTACTCGACTCTCCCCCTCTCTCTGCGTCTGGCCGCCCCGCGCGGCAGGACAGGCGGGTCCCACCGTGCGCTTGCGCTACCGTATCTGCCTGGCCTGCGCCATGGCTGGGCGTCCTCGCTCGTCATCCCAGGTGGCCGGTGGTGTCGCCCGGTGGGCCGGCGCCGGACGGACGGGGCGAGCAACGCTCCGGCAGGGCAGGGCACGGCAGGAGCATCCGCCTTCCTGCTTGCGTGGCTCGCCTGGTCTGGCCAGCACCGCCATACGGACGCACCTGCCTGCGTTACGATATCGCAGGCTGGCAGGCAGGCAGGCACGCTGGGCGCGGGCTTGGCTGGCTGGCTGGCTGGGCGAGGTTGCGGTCGGTGGCCAAGAGGCCGTAACGATCCGGGGGGCAACCGCTGCCCTAGCCTCTTGGCCAGGTAGGCCAGGCCAGGCCCTAGCCTGTCGGCCCGCCCGACCGCCGCCTGCGCGCATGCAGGTTCTGTGCATGGATTTCTTGGCATCGAGCTCGCTGCTAAAATCGGAACTGGGCCGGCCGCAACTCGTGCCGGCCAAGGCCAGGCCTCCCCCGCGCCTTCAACCGCTCGATGGCTGAGGTCAAGCCAGCAGACCGGGCAGCTAGGCCAGACAGAACCAAGCCAAGCAAGCGTACATCTCCGTGCGTATGCTGGGCATGCGGGGAAGCCGGATCAACGATGACCGAACAAGCAGCGAGCAAGCGGCCAGCAAGAGGCGGCTGCCACGTCGTGTGCAAGGCCGCGGAACGGCAGGCTTCGTTGCGAGCTGCGCCGGAGCGGCGACACGTTCCTCGTCCTCGTCGTCCTGCCCCTGGGTCGCTCAGAAGATGTTCTGCCCGTTCCAGAGATCCGGCCAGGCCCGCCGAGCGGGCAGGGGCTTGACCACACGACCTCGACGGTACCTTCATCATCACCGACGTCGATGCTTTAGGCGGCCGTGCAAACACATCACAAAGGCCCCGTGGAGGCATCGATCGGCGATGAAGATAGGAAGCTTTGCTTGCGTGCTCTTCCACCTGGCAGGCTTGCTTGGTCTTGGACCCCCAAACGGCGATCCCAGCGACGTCTCTCGCCAAAAACAGCAGCAGGCAGGCACGCTCCCCCCGGCCTCAGGACGGCGACCAGCCAAGCTAAGCCCGGTGATGGGGCGGCTCTGCTGGCCACGCTGGGAATGCCAAGGAAACGCGGGCCCCAAGCGAACGGATGAGGTCATCTGCCAGGCGGAGACGTGCGCAAAGCAGGCGGTGCTGGATTGCCGGAGTGGCCGGCCGCGGCAGGAGCCAAGGCGAGGCGGGGCGGTGCGGCAATTTTGCGCGTGGGCTTTTCTCGGACGAGTGAGCGAGTTCGGAGCCGGCGACGAAGCGGACCCTCGCACTTCTCTCTCTCTCTCTCGGTCCCTCACCATTGTGGCAGGGACCGGGCCATCGCGGCGGTCGGAAGCCAACAGAGCTCAGAACCAGGATTTCCACTTAGAGGCTGCTTGTGTTCAGGATATGATGACGGCGCGACGGCGAAGGCTGGGAAGACTTGGGCGCCGACATTATCGTGTGAGCTTCCGCCCCGTCATGGCGGGCCGATGCGTACGCTCAACTTTGTGAAGCAATCGGGGGGTGTGACGGACAGGGACAAGAACAGATTGCGAGCTCGGCGAGATTGTCTGCCTGTGCGGCACCGGGGCGTCCGCCTGCCTTCTGTGTAGGTGCGTGGTCAAGGGTGGGGTTCGGCCGGTTCGTCCGTCGTCGCTATCCGTCGGTCGCTGTCCTCAAGGTCATCCGGGGCGTCCGAGGTGGCGCAGCAAAGATAGAGCCTACTGTGACTATACTCACCGTCCCGTCATCATTGTTGCATCGCAACGCATTCCTGCAGCCGCGATGGCAAGGCAGCCAGGCAGAAGTGTAGGGCCTCGATCCCTAACTGGCCCTCAGAGGAGCGGTCGTCTTCCCCACATAAGACCTCGGTGCGGCGAAGCGACGTCCTGCCCACCAACCCTCGTCTCTCCGTCACATCCCCTCCGCTATTGCCTCTTCCATCTCCCTGTGTCGCATCCTGGTCTCTTCGCCCGAACCACGCTCCTTGCAATCTACAGACCCGCCAGCTTCCAGCCGCCTTGATCTCCAACGAGGCCCGCACGCAGCAACTCCGTCTCGTCCACGATGAGACCGGCATTGATCCTCGTTTCGCTCCTCGCCTTCGTCTCCGCCATCTCTGCTGTGCCAATGGCCGTCGATCAGATGCCTCCGCCCGCGGGCGACACGGAGGAAGCTTCCACAGCGCTGGTCTCGACGCAGGACCATCACAGTGAGCCCGCCCCCGCTCCGCCCCGAGTTCTGCCCCACGCGCCTCGGCACGCCCTCTTCTCATGCGCCGGCCACCTCGTCTCCCTTCTCTACCCCCCTCCTCGCCACAGCTCTATCGAAACGACGTGTCGACCTCTACCGCGCCCAGTCATGGTTCGACCATCCTGTCACAGTGGCAATGGGCGTGACGTTGACTGCGCTGGGCGCGTTTGGCATAGCCGTGGGCCTCCAAAAGATGGGCCAGGACAAGGCATGCGAGTACGTGAAAAAGCAGCAACGATACCTCCAGCACAAGTGGGACGAGCGACACCCAGACGGCTTCGTCCCCGTCGGCGGACAGCTCCGCCCCATCAACGCCATCTGCCAGAAGAAGCTCATCGACCTCCACGACCAAGACGGCCCGACAAACTACTGAGGTGTCCCGCCAGTCAGCCGAAATCCAACTACCACTCCGTCTGCGCTTCGGCCTGCCGTCTGACCAGGTGGGTGATCTGCAGCTCTTCCTCGACGAGCTGCCGCACGAACTCGAGCGAGGTCCTGCACCCCTGCAGATCGCGCTCGAGCTTTGGTCGGTCCTCGTCCTGCAACGTCAGGATCGGTGTTGCCGGAAGCACCTTGGTGAGGACGCGCTCGGCCTCGTCGATCGCCTCGGTATGCTCGCGGTACGCGCGGGCGAGTCGGTCGCAGAGCGTGACGAGGAGCTCGTGCGCGTCCGCCTCGTTCTGCGGCGAGACGGTCTCCTCGTGTCCCGTCAGCGTCGCTTCCCAGTTGGCGAGCAGCCGCTCCCCTTCCGCATCAGTCTGCGGCGTGTAGCTGAGCAGCTTCGCTTGGCGTTTGCCTCCAGTCTTTGACCGATCCGGAGCGTGCGACGAGACCTTGGCGGCCGCGGCGCCTCTTTCCTTGTCGAGCCTGCGGGTCTTGTCTATGTGCTTGCCCTCGAGAGCAGGCGTCACCACCGGGCTCGCGACGGCAGCTTTCGGCAGCCGAAGCGCGAGCAGGCGCAGCGCGGGAACGAGTCGGTGGGAGGGATGCGCTGGCGCTGGATGGGGATGCAGCGTGTAGTCGCCCCAGTAGCCGCGGTCCTGGAGCAGCTCCATCTTGCGCTGTCCGGCCTCGCCCTGCTCGTCAAAGAGCCGTTCGACCTCTGCGTCGACGCTGACTTCGCAGTACCGATTGCCCTTCCACGTCGCCCCGTCGGAAGCGGCACCCTCGTCCTCGCGAGGCCGTGCATCCTCCTCGTCGGAAGGGCAGACCCCGGGCAGGACGAAGCCGTACTCGGACAGCAGCGAGGCGTTGGAGTGGGCGCCATAGGTGATGAGGCACTCGTCGCCCTTGCGCATGCCCTTGCGGCCGAGGTGAAGAGGGCGCGCAGAGGGGGGCGGGGCGTACAGCTCCAGGCCCCCCGCGGGGTTGAACTGCACCCGGCACTCGAGCGAGGGTTGCGAGGTGTGGTTGGCCATATCCAGGAAGGGCGCAAGGGTGAAGTTGTCCGAGTGGGCTTGCAGGCCGAGCGGGAAGAAGATGCAGCGGGAATTGACGCAGAGCCAAGCCCAGAGGAACTCGGCCAGGCGTATGCTGTGGCCTGTCGTTTTGGTCAGGTGGTCAGGGAGCGCCAGGATGGATGGATCTTGATGATGCACCTCCTCGATCCGCCTGAAGTCTCTGTCGAAGCGCTCGACTACGCGATCGAGCAGCCTTCGACTCTGCCGGGGGAGCGCCTTGAGCAGCTCTTCGTAAAATTGTAGCCTGCGGCCTATCAGGTTGGGCGCGTCCCCGAGTCCGAGTGAGAGTGCGCCATCGTCTGGTTCTGCTGATGTTGGCAGCCTGGTGTAGATGAGCCAGAACAGGGGGACGGTGTCGAAGCGCCGTGGCAGGGTCGCAGCGAAGTGGTTCAGGAAGCTCGCCTCGGGCCCGTCGTCGGAGCCTGATAAAGGCGTGGCAGCTTGGACGCGCTTCCTGATGTGCCACTTCTGAAGCACGAGGGATATCGCCTGCGGGGTTGAGAGCTTTGGAGGGCTGTCGCCTGCATTGGTTGCGCAGGTCTGCTGCTTGGAAGGGATGAGGTCGCGAGGGAGGTAGGGCGCGAGAGTGTTGGGATGGAGGAGCGAGCGTGGAGGGAGGGAGAGGAGGAGCTGTCCTGGGCGGATATCCTCCGTGAAGACGAGACCTCTGCCTGCGGGTACGGCCTCGGACACCTCGAGCGGCACCGACTGGCGCACCTGCTCTGGGGTGAGGCCTTGGGTCGATACGTCGGAGAGGAGGCGAAAGAGGACGTGGTTGAAGGCTTCGGCTTGGTCCTTGATGGGTGGCTGCATGTGGGCAACGCAGGGCTAGCTCAGCGAAGAGCTCCCTTTCGTTGTGGGTGTCAAGGGGTGTGGAACAGAGCAGGGCAAAGCGGCGGCGGTGGCGGAGGCGAAGCAAGATTGGTGACAGAGGAAGACAAGGTAGGGTAGGTCGAGGGCACGGCTGGTGGGAAGCGTTGGCGCTGCTCTGGCTGGCCCGCGCAGACTTCCGACTCCCGCGGGCGATGCTTTTTTTCGGAAAAAGGCAGCAGCTGCAGCCCCTCTTGGCCTCCACAGTTCAAGGTGCTTGCATGGGGGCGCACCTCTCAACGCGGGCGCGTCTGACCAGGGAGGGCCTGGCAGGCAGGGTGGGCAGGCAGGGCAGAGCTCCGGAGGCCAGGCCCAGATGAAACGAGAGGCTAGAGAGAGGCTAACTACCCCGCTCGCTGCCTGCCTTCGCCCCCTCGCCTTCTTCTGCGCTATCAAGAGGTGGGGGGTTGGCTTCATCTCTGCTTCATCACCGCCGACACTCGACCTCCTCATCTCGTTCCATTCCCTCTCTTCGCTCACCTCCTTCCTTCCCTCTGTCCTTCACGTTACACCGCCAGCACCGCTGCCCGTCATGGCCGACCAAGAGCTAGACTACGAAGCCGTCAGGCAAGAAAACATACGCAAGAATGCCGAACTCATGCTCAGCCTTGGCCTCGACAAGGTGAGCATTATCCCCGCCTGGGCAGCCAACATACCACCACGCTCCTCCGCTAACACCCTCCTTGCTTCTGCCGCACAGGACTCCGTGCGAATGCGCCCCCCTTCGCCCGAGAGAAGGCCCCCGGCGCCGCGCAAGCTCGGCGATGGCGACTACCCCGGCGGCAGCAGCTCCAGCCGCCGCATACTGCCGCCCCGCAAATCTTCCCGCATCGCTGCCGCAGCCCCTCGCTCCTACGTCGAAACCTTCAGAGGCTATGCGGACGGAGACCCGAGGCTCGTCAAAAAGGAGAAGCGCGAGAAGGTCTACCGCAAAGGCTCTAGAAAGAGCAAGCGATCCGAAGGCGACGCAGGCACCGGCAGGTACAGGGACTGGGGCAGCGACGACGACGACTACGACTCCGACGACTATGTGCAGCCACGGTCGCGGCCAGAAGACGACTTTGACAGCGGCGACGAGCGGCGCGCACGCATCTACTCGCCCTCGTACCGCGGCAAGCGCGACGGCTCCGAGACGTTTGTCGAGATCCCCGCCCGCAGCCAGCTCAAGAGGCTCCGGAACCCGCCGCTGCCAACGCCTCCTCCCAGCATCGACGAAGAGGACGGCATCAGCCCGGTGCGCGCTCCGTTGCCGGCAAGGGAAGAGGTCGAGCCGGGCAAAGGCAGGGGCGCGCTGCTGTTCGAGGAAGGGTATAGCCACTTTAGACCCAACGTCACGCCCGAAGAGATGCTGAGAGGGGGCGTCTTTGGCGGCACTGCATTCCGGTGAGTCGTGCCGTCTGCATCAGGGGCATGGGCTGGAAGAACGTCGCGCTGACGTAGGCTGGCCATGCTGCTGTCTGCCCCTTCCTTTCGAACCAACGCAGGCCGTACCACTCGTCGGTGTTGCGGCGTGACCTGGACGTGGACGCGGAGCTGGCCGAGCTGCCGACATCGTGGCTGGAGGGCCTGGATGTCGACGGGCTGCTGACCAGCTCGACGTACGACGCCAGCAAGAACCGCTTCGGCGTCAAGGCGGGCCAGTCGCTCGAGGACTGGGAGCAGGCGGGCTGGGTGCGAGCCCAGGATCCGCGAGGGTGGTTCCAGTGGTATTACCGGTTCTACCTGGGCCGGCGCAGCTCGGACGATTCGCGGCAGATCAGCCGATGGCTTAAGGCGTGCGGGCCGGCGGGGAGGTTCAAGAAGATGCTGGTGCAGAAGGTGGCGGCCGCCGGCGGCGCCTGGGACGACGGCGAGGTCAACCCCGTGGTGCGCCAGACGCTGTGGCAGTGGGGCTACGACCTGAGCCAGGCCGACTACCGAGCCTACCTCTGAGCCGGTATCGTGAGGGACCGCCAGCAGGCAGGCATGGGTGACGCGGCGGGCATGCCGTCGATGGCTACCACAACGCGGAAGTCGGCATCTGGTTGGCGCCGGGGGGGCAGGAAATCAGGCCAGCAGGGCGCGTCGGTGGAGATGTCCGTGGAGGAAAGGCTCGCAGGCGAGCACTTCGCCATCTTCACCTTTTCCCCCCTGACTCTGGCTCCTTTTGTGCGCACCTGCTCGATTTCGACTGCCGATGACAAAAATGACAGCCGGCTGCGTTACCGCGTATCAGGCCGGCCGCACTGCCGGTCCATGTTGCTGTGCCTTCCGTCTCGGTGCCTGGGTGAGCTTCTCGACGACGACGACGTGGGCGTCACCGATGGTCGCAGCGCGAGGCCGGGGGTTGCTCGTTGGTAAGCGGCAGTCTGATTGCTTGGTGGCAGGGCCGGTCTGGGGCTGCTGCAGCTCTGGTATCCGATGCCGCGGCGCAATCTTAGCCGAAGAGGGGTATCGCCGGCAGCGTGGCCCTCGCTGCCTATGCAATCTGGCAATGGCCTGATCCTGACGGAAGCCAGGAGTCGGGGCTGGCACCGAGCAGCTCGAGGTGAGCGCCACCCTGGCTTGCTTGCTTGCTTGCTTCAACCCCCACCACCATCTCACACCGGTCACCACCCGCTGACCAGCTCCTCCCGTCGGACCAGCCTGCCTATCTTCCGGCACCGAGTCGCTCCGATTAGGCTTTAGAGTTTGTCGTCGCCGCCACCACCGCCGTGTCGATCCGCCCTTCAACAATGTCGAGCGCCAACTATTCTCGCTCGCACCCGTACCCGCCAGACGCCAATGCGCTGCTCGAAGCGACGCGGCGTCACGCCATCAGCCACCCGGTCTCGACCCTGCTCGTCACGCTGGCCGCTCTGGCCGGGTCGTACCTCTTGGCGCTCATCTACTTTCCCAAGACGTCGGCGTGGTCCAACCTGCCCGGGCCAAAGCGGCACTCGTGGTGGCTCGGCAACCGCAACAATGCTCGGATCGGGCAGGGCAAGAACGAGGGCAAGCCGCGCCCGCCCCTCATGACGCGCGAGGGCGACGACCTGCTCGACGTACCCGACGTGGCCAACGCCGCCCTCCTCGAGGACTTTGAGTCGGACAACGTCATCCTCCCGCGCCCGCTTGGTGGCGAGCTCCTCGTCACCCGCGACCCGGCCGTAATGAACCATATCCTCTCCGACAGCCACGGATACCAGCGCAGCGCAGCCGGTACCAAGGCCACCAAGATCATTGTCGGTGACGGCATCGTGGCCGTCTTTGGAGATGAGCACAAGAAGCAGCGCAAGGTGAGCACGGCCTGGCGAGCGAAGTCAATCCCCCCCCCCCCCCTCGCCAGCCACTTCTGACCCGCATCGGCTTCTCCGCCACTTTTCTTGCCCTTGCTGCGCTCAGATGGTGGGACCGGCATTCAGCGTCGACCACCTGCGTGCGCTGGTGCCCACCTTCTGGGACCTCACCAACGCCATGGTCGACCAGATGGAAAAGGACCTCGACTACGAGGCCAAGTTTGGAAAGGACGCCAAGGACGCCGTCAAGTGGTTTGGACGTGCGACGCTCGACATCATCGGCAAGACGGGCTTCGACTACGACTTCGAGGGTGAGTCTGCCGGCGTTGATCGGATGGGTGGACAAAGCGAGACTTGGCGCCATACTGACAGCTCGCCGTGCTTATCTCCTTCCCCACCGCACAGCCGTAGCGCAGGGGCCCAACGGCATGTCGGTGCGCTCCGCCTTCCACGCCGCCATGACGTCGACGATGAACATTGGCGCCTTTGACGCCATCGTCGGCGGCGTCATCTTCTTTGTCGTCCCCTCGCTCCACTTTCTGCCGGTGACGGACAATGTGCGCAAGATGCTCGAGATGCGCAGCGAGCTGATCCGGACCTCGCAGAAGATTGTCCAGATCAAGGCCAAGCAGATCCGCGAGGAGCTGGCGCACGCGGGCGACGAGACGTTTTCGGGACGCAAGGACATCCTGCACCTGTGCATGCGCGCCAACATGTCTCCGGACATCAAGGAGGCCGACCGCCTCTCTGACGAGACGCTGGCCGGCCAGATTGTCACGTTCCTGTTTGCCGGCCACGAGACGACGGCGACGACGTTGAGCTGGTGCCTCTACTTTCTCGCCATGAACGCGGGCCTGCAGGACGAGCTGCGCCAGTCGATCCACGACGCCCTCAAGCAGACGTCGACCGCCGTCGACGACCTGCCCTCGCTCGGGTGGAACGAGATCAACTCTGCGCCCTTCAAAAAGGTCGAAAACGCCCTCGTCGAGACGCTGCGCCTGCGTCCTCCGGTCTCGACGACGTTCCGCACGGCGTTCCGCAACGACCAGATCCCCACGACGACGCCCGTGCGCACCAGGGATGGGCGGATGCAGTCGACGATCCCCATCGAGAATGGCGCCGAGATTGCCCTGTCGATCTCGGGCAACTGCCTGGACGCAAAGTACTTTGGACCCGACACGCACATCTACGACCCGTCGCGGTGGGACAACCTGCCCGCCGCCCACGCCCAGGCGCGCATGCCGCCGCCGTGGGGCTTCTACGTCTTCAACGGCGGACCCAAGAGCTGCATCGGCAACCGCTTCGCCATGACCGAGATGAAGGTCATCCTCATCAAGGTCCTCCTCACGTGGCGCATCGAGCCCGTCGAGGGCATCAAGCTCAAGAGCGTCCCCGCCGTCGTCCAGCGCCCCGCCGTCGTCGGCAGGGAAAAGGAGGGAAGCCAGCTGCCCCTCCGCTTCGTTAGGATCTGAGGCCGCGGCTGCTGCCGTCGATCCGTCGTCGTTTGTTATTTTGAGTAGATGCGCCCGGAGGGGTCGGGTTTCTATCGCAAGTCATGGAACCGTGTTGCACTCGCATCTTCGGCCTAGTGGGACGCGATTGGCGGGCCGCACGCGGAGCGCCGGGAGGTGCTTTGGCAGAGGGAGAAATCCAAGACGAGCTGGTGGCATGGGCGAGATGGTGCCCTGGCTCTCTCTCTTTTCGAATTGGTGGCAGAAAGACGTTGGATGGTGGTACAGACAGGTTGGAGAGGCAAGGTAAAAGGCAAGGCAAGAAGGTAAACGAGACTGTGCGGATGCTGGTTGAAGATGAAAGGTCGGAACGCAGCCGTCTAGGCGTTGGCGGTGCGGGTGAGGTTGAGGTCCTTGAGCTGACCGGCTGCGAGGTCGTAGAGCCACCTGTCGATGCAGCGTGGGTAGCAAACGCAGACACGGGGGGCGGCGACGGGCGAGACGTCAGCAAGCGGCGGGCGAGGCGATGGAAATCGGCAAGGGGGACACAGCAACGCACCCGTGCACCTGGACCTTTTTCATGACCTTGCCGCTGAGGGGCGACGTCTCCTCTTTCCAGTTGCTCTGGATCGTGGCCGACTTGACGACGTTGTCGACCTGCTCGCGCACGCTCTCGCGCGTGACGAGGGCGTTGAGTTCGGCGCCCGTCACGCCCGGGTTGGCCTGGGCGACGCGGTAGGCGAGCTTGGTGAGGGGCGTCAGGTGGCGGAAGAGGGGCGTCGCCGCCGCCTCGTCTGGCGGCGGGCCGTTGGAGCTGCCGTTGATGGCGGCAATCACGCCTCCGCACGACGTGTGGCCCACGACGACGACTGGCCGGGAGGGGGGTCGATTCAGTAAGGAGCGGTGCCAGCCAGGGGCCGTATTGGTGTCATCGTGAGCTTGCGTCCTTTTGTCGCCTCCAGGCCGGCGGCACAACTCACCATGCTCGACGCCGAGGGCCTGGACGGCAAACTCGAGGACGCTGTTTGCGTTGTCGTCGTCGGGCCGGAACTGGTTGGCAATGTTGCGCGTGACAAAGATCTCGCCCGGGTCGGCACCGCAGATGACGCTCTCGGGGATGCGCGAGTCTGCGCAGCCGACCCAGAGGACCTTGGGCGACTGGCTCTTGCTCAGCTCCTCGAGGAGGGCGGGGCGCGTCTCCTTTGTCTTGCTCGACCAGGCGACGTTGCGCTCGAGGAGGTGCTGCACCATGGCGTCCTCGTCGTTGCGCTGCGAGTAGAGCTGGAAGAGCTTGGTGAAGCGCGGTTCGCGGTACGGGCGGCTCGCGACGGCGGTCGTCGAGAGGGGCTGCTGTCGAGGCGGTTGCAGAGAGACGACGGCGGCTGCGGCAGCGGCGGCAGGGGCGACGCGGAGGAGGTGCGAGGGTCGAGCGAGGGCGAGCGAGGGTCTGATGGAGGTATGTACAGGGAGGGATCGGAGCGGGTAGGCTGCCAACCGGGTCATTCAGATGCGAGAGGTAGGGATAGCGGGGAGGGGAGAGGCAGCGTGCGCGGACGACGAGAGCGCGTGTCTATATAGGCACACGACACGGGGAGGCGGCGGCGAGGAGGGCGGCGAGAGCGACGAGAGAAACCGAGGTGGGGCGCAAAGAGCGCTAGTTGGCGGTGCTATGCGAGGCAGATTGGCAAGGAAGAATGGACGACGGGGACAAGAAGGAGGCCACGTTGCGTTGGGAAAGACAGAACAGAGGAGAGATAAGAGGGCGGGGCGAGGAGCGAGGATGGCGAGGCGGAGCTGCCGGGCCGTCGAGGAGGGGGGAGGGGGCCAACGAAGGAAGGCACGACGGATTCGGCAAGGACCGGCCAAACAGGCTAGGCTAGGCTTTGGCGGGGTCCACCGACGACGACGAGCAGGAGCGAGAGCAGAGGGCGAGGAGCAGGAAGGAAGCAGGAAGGAAGCAGGCAGGTTGCGGAGCGGAGCGGTTGACTCGACCTCGACGGCGAATGGTCGTCGTGCGGGCCAGAAGGCGAGCCGATCGAGTCGGTCTGTGGGGCAAGCCCAGCCTGGCCAGCCTCGACCCACGCAACGGTGCATGCTCGAGCAGCCTCGTTCTTCCAAAAGCCGAAGCCAAAAAGCGCCTGGCCTTTGCTGCCGGCCTAGCCTGTGCCTGCCCTCGCTCGCTGGCTCGCTCAACTTTTTTTCAACTTCCCAGCCTACAGTAGCCCTGCCAAGCAAGCACCAAGCAAGGCCCTTGGGTTGGGGAGCCAGGCCGCGGTGAATTCAATCGACAATCGCGCCGCGCACGGCTTCTGCTTTCTCGGCTCTCCCTCGCCTGCTTGCCTCCACCCCTGCCTGCCTGCCCGCCTGCCCGCCAGCCCGCGCCTGCATTTGGGCCTTTTTCAAATGGATCTGGCGAGACGCCCTGGCTGCCTTGGCTGGCTTGGTCGCGAGATCCGATGGCGCGACCATGCTGATGGGTTGATAACGAACCGCGCCAAGATCGACTCGACTCGACTCGACTCGACTCGACCTTTCAATGCCCCGGCCGGCCTCATGCGTCCTCGTCGTTTTTTGGGGGGCGCCGCCGTCGTCGTCGTCTCGCTCGCTCGCTCTGCCTCCATCGCTGGCAGTCGTAGGTTCACACTACACTGCCATGCTACAGCATCGCAGCATAGCATCGCGGCTTCTTCGAATCGGTCAAACGTCGCAGGCCATCACACACCGAGTCTGGCTCAGAGCAGTGCACACTGCGCCCACACGAGTAAGAGTGAGGCAGCTCCGTGTTGGAGCCAGGCTCATGCCACGCACAGACCACACTGCTCAGTTGTGACGGACCGCTAAAGCCGGACATGCCACCGGATCCTTCCGCGGCTCGCCTCGGCTGCTTCCGTCCAGAGATGGCTCCGGCTTGGCAGCGATACCGCCAGGCTAGGCTATCCAGGTCACTACTCGGCGCACCGCAGTCGTCGAGGAGCCGTCGTACGCATCATCGTCAAGGTCAATCAAATACAAGGTCCGTGGAGTGGAATGAAAATGCGTACATCGCCAGCCGGCAGAATGAAAGCAAAGAGGAGCGCAGGCAAATGGTCGGGCCGACCAGGGTCATATGCGTTGCGTCTTGGTGTCGAGGCTGCTCGTGGCCGCGGGCCGAGCCGTCCTTAGGGCTGGCCCGCCGGCAGACTGAAGTCGAGCAGCGGCTGGCTCATGCGCCGGCTGCGTCGGTCACCGCCGCCGCCGCCGCCGCCGCCCGCGCCTTGGCTCAGCCTCCTCCGGTCCGTCTCGCTCAGCTCCCGCTTCTTGGGCGTCTGCGCTTGGAACGGGTTGGTCGGGCTCATGGCACCGCGCTGCTGCGATCGCGATCGTGACGGCGAGACTGCCGCCGCCACCGCAGCGGCAGCCTTGGTGCCCTCGACGGGGCCCTGGGCCGACGTTGGCGACGAGGCTAGGTGAGATGGAGGCTGCGAGCTACGCCCCTTTGACGGGTCCGCTTGCGGCACCTTGGAAACCGACCGCCTCCATTCGGCGGCACGGTCCAGGCTCTGGACGCTCGATCGCTGCTCACCGACGGCCTGCAGCAGCGAAGCGCTGAGGCGTCGCGATGCCCGCTTGTTGGCGTCGGGCGAGGCAGCGCCCTCGCGGCCGCCTCCCGCTCCACCGTTCGTCAGCGCAGCCAACGCCTGCTCCCGCTCGCGCTCCTTTTCCCGCTCCATCATCCTCCGCTTCTCTGCGCGCTGCTTCTTCTCGTACTCCTCGCGCACCGCCTGCAGCATCTCGGCCTCCTTCACCGAGTCCGTAGCCGGCTTCTGCAGAGCAGCCAGCTTGGCCCGATGACGCGCGTCCAGCTCGCCAATCGTCATCGACTTGCGAGGCGTCTTGCCCTCGCTCGCCCGCTTGCTGGCACTCGGCTGCACCTCGGCCCCCGGGTTCGTCCACGGCGAGCTGGTCGAGTCGTTGCGGCGCGCTGCAATCGAGCGTCGCGCTGCGAGCACCGCGGCCGGGGGACCTTCGTCAATCGACTTGGTGAGCACGCGAGAGTGGTGGCCCTTGTGCGTCGCCGAGTTGGCCCGAGGTCGGCTCTTGTTGTCGTGCTCGTAGCTCTGGTCGACGCGGTGCAGCATCCCACCACCGGACATCCTCCTCTCGGCAAGAGGCGCGTTGGCGTACGTCTGCTCCACTCGGCTCCTTGGTAGTGTGTCGTAGATGGCGGGAATCTGGGGCACCGGAGGGCTGGCAGCCCTGAGGTGAGCATCGACCGGCACGGCGGGCTGCAGAGCCGCGCTCGATGCGGTCAAGGAAGGTTGCCTCGACGGCAGCCACGACGGGTTGTCGGACATGGAACGCGACATCGGCTGCGACTGCGACTGCGACGCCCAGCCGCCGAAACCACCAGGATGGCTGATGCCCGAAGAATCGCCAGGGTTGCTCGACGAAGGCGACATCTCGTGCGAGGCAGACACGCCGTTGGAGCTCGTGGGAGGGCCCTGCGGCAACATGGGCGACTCACCGGGGCTCTTGCTGAGGAAAGAGGCGGCGCCGCTCATGATGGCGGCCGTCGATTGCGTGCGCTGGCGGAACGACTGGGTCACCGGGGCCTGGCTCTGGTTGGTCAGGGCACGCGACAGTTCGAGGGACTGGGCGGCACCGTGGCCGACGCTGCTGGGGGCCGATGGCTCGAAACGATGCGAGGATGCAATCGGCGAAGCGTGCATGCTGCTCGCGCTTTTCGCGCCGCCCGAGCCAGACCGGAGCATCTCGATCGACTTGCGAATGTTGGAGATCTCCTCTAGCAGCTTTGACGGGTCCTCTTCGGCGGCTCCTCCGGCCGGCTGCGCCACCGGCGGAGCGAAAGAGCCTACCGACGAGGGCGCGTCGATGCCGTCGAGCTGCAGCTGCGGCGGCGCATCGCCAGGCGCAACCGGCTTCTCGTGTCCGCGCTGGAGGTACGACATGAAGCTCGAATTGCGCCTGCGGTCGCGCTGCGGCTCCTCGGCAAAGGGAGAGCCATTGTCCTTGCGGAGACTCGAGCCTCCGGGCGAGTCGGTGCGGTCGAGACCGTTGTACGACAGCGGCGTGGCGTCAGCACCACTGCTGAAGAAGCTCATCATCGAGCCCTTGCGCTCGTGGGCCTGCATCGTTGCGCCAGAGAAGACAGAGTTGGCGTCCTTTTCGATATCTCGCGCCGTCGCCTGCCTCGCGGACGTCTTCTTGTAGCCGTGGCGCTGCTCCCACTCCTCGAGGTCTCGCTTGGCCGTCCTGGCGATCTGGCGGGCCGCTCGCTCGGCCTTGGTCCTCATGCGCCTCTCCTCGTCCGACTTTCTGAGCACCGCCATGCTGTGCCGAAGGTCCGACCACAGCCGGAGCTGGAAGGCCGTGCCCATGATGACGAGCGCGCCGAGCACGCCGAGCTCGATCTGCATGCCCTGCACCAGCGGGAAGCGGCCATTGGAAAAGGTGGGCGGGTACTTTGGCTCAAAGAGCCAGTCGAAGCCGAGGTTGCGGATGTAGAACTCCTTGAGGCCCATGCGCGTGTAGCAGTCGATGGCCAGCGTCACGGCTGTCGCGCCCGTGATGGCCGTGGAGAGGGCGAGGACGAGCGAGTGGATGCGTTCGGCGCAGCTGAGAGCGAAGAAGATGGCGAAGAGCGGCACGTAGAGGACGTAGCGCAGGCCCAGCGAGCCGATCAGGCCACCCGAACGGACCGACTGGAGGAACAGGCCCAGCATGAAGCCGCCCAGCCCGGAGGCCAGGAGCGCCGCGCTGCGCCAGAAGACGATGCAGAGGATACCGCCCACGGCTCCCGCGATGATGGTGGCCAGCAGGAAGAGGCCGCGCACCGCCTGTGTGGGTGGGTTGACGGCGCTTTCGACGCCCGCCTTGAGGATGATGCAGATGGTGATCAGGCCGAGGGAGTAGTAGCCGGCGATGAAGTAGCTCGACCAGCGGTTGCGATGGCCATAGAATGTCATCGGCAGTCCGGTGATGAGCAGCAGGGCACCGAGGACGCCAAAGGCCGGGTCGATTTCGGTGTTCAGCGGCAGCTTCTGGGATGTCGAAGAGGCGGCAGCGGCAGGAGCCGTGGCAGAGGGGGCAGCCGACGAGGTGCTCGAGGCGGACACGGTTGCCGCCGAGCTGGAAGCGGGGGGCAGCGTCGTCACGACGGGAATAAAGTAGACGCTACCGCTCCGAGAAGCCGACCTGGTAAGGCTCGAGGGCAGAGCTTGGCCTCGCGAGAGGGTGGTGGTCGAGGTGAACGTGCTGAGAGCGGGTGGCGCCGAAGACGAAGGGGATGCGCTCGGCGTTGGCGTGGTGCTGGCCGGCGGCCTCGTTGAGCTGGAGGGCGATTGCTGCTGGCAGAGCGCGGCAGCAGCCAGGAGCAACGTCGCGAGCGACGCTCTCGCCGCCCAGGACGAGAAGACGAGCTTCATGTTGGTTGCGGCAGGAGCGAGCGAGGTGACTGCTATTGCGAGCTTGACGGGACCGTCTAGACGTGTAATTAGCGGCTGCCGCGTTCGACCGTAAAGCTCGAAGGTTGGAGCTGCTCGTCTGGACGTTGAAGGAGTAGGACGGTGGCGAGACGTTGCAGGAGAGAGAAGCGGGAAGTAACGATAGTTCCGCTCTGGGGAGGAGAGAGATGGAGGGGGCGAAGGGCTCGAGGGAGGGCAGGAAGAAAAGGATACCGAAGCCAGCCGCCTGGATCGACCTCCTGCTGGGAGCAAGGCGCGCGGAGGAGGGAGGAGGGGAGAGCCGCAAGCAAGCAAGCCGGCACACGAGCCCAGGCGAGACGGCGAGCAAGACGATGGTGGAACCAAGGTGGACGAGGCGGCGGCGGCGGTGGTGGTGGTGGGAGTTGGCCTTGATGAAGAAGCGAGGGGGCGGCGGCGGGGGGCGTTGGCGGCGGCGGCGGCCTGGGCGCTGAGGTTGGTCAGCGCCGTATTGGTCTGGCAGCAAGCAGGCGGGAGGCAGGTCGAGACGTGGCAGGCTGGCAGGATGAGGAGCAGGCAGGCAAGGAGGGCGAGCGTCGAAGCTCCTCTTGCTCCATCCACGGGCAGGCAGGCGGTTCATGACCGCTTTTGGGCGCGGCCAGGCCAGGCCAGGCCCAGCAGGTTAGGTTGTACGTGGGCGGGCGGGCGGCGGGCAGGGGCAGCCAGGCCGGGCGCGGGCGGCGGCGGAGGCGACAGCGACAGCAAAAGGGTGTAGAGAAGAAAAATGCGCCAAACCTGGGTCATCTGGCCACGCTGTGTGTGCCCGCTCCCCGTTGCTTGCTTCATGTTGGCCGTCCCCTGGTTCCGTCTTGAGCAGCGGCAGGTCTTTTTGCTTTTGACTTGCAAGCTTGCGGGCATTGTTGCCTGCTTTGCTGGCTTGCTGGCTTTCTTGCTGCTTTGCTTTGGGACCAAGAAGCAAAAGAAGGCGGACCGTCCGCACCATCGCTCCGAGGGCAGGCCAGGCCGGACCCAAGCGCCAACGCGCCGGCCGGTCGTAGCGGTAGCAGGCGGTACCTGCGCTCGAGCTACACCTTGGTCGCGAGCAGTCGACCCCTCCCATCGCCAGGCTTCAAGCCCTGCGTACTGGATGAAGTCCACCTGGATCAGGCGCACTGATCCCCTTCCGACTCAACCACGGTAGCCGGCCGGCTCAGCCCTCTTGCGGGCAGTGGCTTCCATAGCGGCCCGGCGGAGCTCGACGAGGCAGCAGCGAACAATAATACACGCGCGGTCAACCTACTCTTCTACTGATCTACACAGGGGTACGCAACGGACACCCTCGAGAGGGGAGGACGGTTCGAGCACCTTCTTCTGCTTGAGCCTGGCCGGCGCTGCACGCAGGGCAAGGTTGAAGAGGGCAAGGGCAGGCAGCGTAGCCGTCCGTCGCCATCGACCGGCCACCACCACCGTCGGCATCGTCGGGGGGGCTGTACCCAGAATCGGGACCTACCCGTTGCAGCCGTCGAATGATGCATCTATGCAGCCGACCCGCGGACTGGCTGGCTGGCAGACGTCGGGATCAGGCGGCCGTCAGGCCGGTCGACCGGCCAGGTGTTCTCGACCCTCGCTGGCCTTACTCTACCTGGCAGGCGGGTCATCGACGTTGCGCGCCCCGCCATCCGTGTCACCTTGTGTGATCGCCGGCAACTTCGCTTCCGCTCCCCATTGAACAACGCTTATGGGCTACTAGCAGCTGCATGTGATGAACGGAAAGATGGTGGCTGCGGCGACAGGTACGCCATTGAGCTCAAAGGCGTAACAACCGTACCACGTATGGCGTCGTTGGCGCAACGCGAAGTGGTGAGTGGGCCTGGCTTTGCGTGCGCGCCGCGGGTGGCAAATGAAGCGACGGCGACGGCGACGGCGACGGTGTTGCGAGGCAGGCAGGTTTCGGCAAGGAGGTCACCCGGGTTTCTGTCAAAGAGGCGCCTCGCGCTATGTACCGCCTCGGTCTGGCACCTAGCCAAGCAGGCGTGTACGACAGGCTAGGCTAAGGAGAGAGGCGAGGCGAGGCGAGGCCAGGGTCAGTCGGGTTCGGTGCCAGCGGCCATGCGGCAAACTTGCTCGATCTGCCTCTGCTGTACCACGCCAGCCTGCCAGCCTAGCCTGTTTGCTCAGCCGCGCCCGGCCTGCTTCGATCTGTTGCTTGACATCTCCGCCTTGCCAGGCTTCGCCTCCGGCCCTCGGCTGTCCCGCGCTACATATAGACACATAGGCTGGCGAGGCCATCATTTCGTCGCCGCCGTCGTCCAATCAGCAGCAGCCGGAGCGGCCGGCCTTCAATCTAACGTGCGCCCGCCGCAGCATCGACACTCTTGCGACGCCACCTTGCGCCACGGTGGGACCCTAACACTAGGTCGCCAGTTTCCTTTTGAAAGAGCAAGCGGTAGACTTCGACAAGCTACGGTACAGCTCATACCGTCGTTCCAGAGTAGAGCTGCGGTGGCGAGAGCGAGGATTGCTGCCGCAGCAGTAGCGAGCAACGCTCGCTCCTAGGCGACGCTTGACCGCGCGGTCCTTCGTCGCGCGCAAAAGCGACCCGGTGTCTCACCTCTGGGGACCAAGACAAGCAAGCAAGATCGAGGTGGACCCCGTCCCTCTTGCGCGGCAATGAGATAGATTGAGGGCTTAACCAAGGTTCCTGCTGGTGCGGCCCTCTCCTCCAGTATCGAGGTCGCGCGCTACCTGCTTGCTTGTCTGCTTCTCTTCTCGTTCTTGCGGTCTCGAATCGAGATCCTGTAGATCCCCGCCGAGGCCCCGTGCGTATCGACCGAGCGCACCAACAGTACCTCGTTCGATGGGCAACCTGATGATCTCCCTGTGGTACTGGCAACAGGAGAACCAGCGCAGCTGGATTTGTCTGTCGTGCGATCCATAGCAGAGCTGAGTCTTAAAACGCAGAGCAGGCGGACGAGCGGATACCGACGGAAAACATGTCTCTGCGGACGTCCCGAGGCGCGATGGCCGCCTGGAACCGTCCGTCCGTCCTAGTCTGCTTGAACTTCTAACGTCGTGTGGGTTGGGCGTGCCTCCTGATCCTTCTAGATCACGTCGCAGCTGCTTTCCATGCATGCACCTCCTGTGCTCGTGATCATATCGAAGCCTGTCTTGCTGTATCTTGGCTCCGTGCCTGTCGCTCGGTCAACGATGCAACGAGGAAGGTATGCAGGGGTGCCGTGCCGCGCCGTGTCGTACCGTAGTATGTATCCTGGTCGAGGCATCCGGGTCCTAGCGTACCAGCCTCGTCATACCCTGCTCGGCCTACCGACCGGACGACCGAAGGTGGGTGAGATGAAACGAGGACGACGTCCGGATGTGATCGCCCTCCTGGCTGCCGACAATACGGAGGGGTGGAGATGGCGGAGCTGATCGCGACGTGGGCCGTCCATCGGATGAGGTGGGTCGGCGGCCCCCCTCCCCGCCAACCTTCCACCCCGGCAGACCAGACAACCACCTGCACCTGCAACGGTAGCAGCCATGCGAGGTGGAAGCTGCGCGGAGAGACGGTGGTCCAGACCCGCCTTCCCCTGCGTCCATCTCACTTTTGTCGAGAGCATGTGCAGCCAGCATGATGGCGGCAAGCACAAAACGAGGCCAGACTGGGCTCGAGCCAGCTACCTCGTGCCCATCGGACCGACACCGAATCGTCGCGTTTATTCGACACGAAATCCAACCTCGACGGCCCCGTCCGTCTCGCTCCGGTTCCGAAAAGACAGGAATGCCAGCGCTCGACCATCTTGATCCGACCGAACCTTTCGAGTGACACAGACTCGGCGGATCGCCACACACATGCGCTCACAGACCCGACCTGCGAATCGAAATCGAAGGCTGCGATGCCAGCTTCCATCGAGCTCTGGAGTGTGTCGGAGAAAGCGAGGGAGAGGGGCAGAGGCTCGGTGCGAGCGACCGATCTATACTACAAAGGAGGGATGGTCCGGCCAGGGAAGCGCGACGCAGAAGCGAACAGCGGGTAGCGACGGCAGCCGCTCGACGCGGGACAGGGCAGCGATGGCCATCGCCTTGCGACCGACGTGACCTAGCCCGGGAAGATCCCGAAGGCATTTTGGGGAGCAGTGAAGCTGGCTTGCTGCCTGCAAAGACCCGACGCCTCTGCTCGGTTGCCGCTGACACGGCATAATTTGTTTTGGTGCGGCGCCTTCGTCTGCGCCCTCCGCCGCAAGTTCCCCGCGGAGCAGCTGCCCCTGCTCCTGCCCCCGCCTCGGCCCAACGGTGACACGGAGACCCATCAGGCGGCGCCGGTCCTGGCGGCGTGGAGCTGGACAGCGCCGACGGCGGCCGTCTCGGCGAGGCGCCTCGCCGAGCTGTCGAGCTGTCCGAGGAGCAATGTCGTCTCGAGACGGCTGGGCTCGGCGGGGATCTTGAAGAGTCGGTTGACGTCCTCGATGGGGAGCGGGGCGAGCCCCTGGGCCTCTCGCGAAGCGTTCTCGGCCTTCTTCCGCGCGAGGTAGGCCTCGGCCTTGGCCTTCTCCCTTGCCAGCTGTCGCGCCTGGAAGCCGACGTTGCCCGCCTCGGCGGCGTGCTCCTCGAGGATCTCGAGCGTCGCCTCGAGCGAAGATGCGAGGACGGGCTCGAGGGCGAGGTTGAGAGACGTGTGCGAGGGCCCGAGGGCGGCGGTGGGCGGGTTGACGAGCAGCTCCGACGTCGAGGGAGGCACAATTGACGGCGCGGGGGCTGAGGGGGTGGAGATGCTGCTGAGGAAGGCGTCGAGGAGCGCAGTGTTTCGGAGCGCGACGGGGATCTCGACGAGGACGTTGGCAAAGGTGAGCTTGTGGTCGATGAGGCTCTGAGTGTGGAACTTGCCAGCCCGGTGGGCCTCGATAAACGACGGCGAGAGGCGGTAGGCCTTGACCGAGGTGTTGCCCTGGGCCGACTGGGCGAGGTCGTGGACGATGAGGACGCCCTTGCCCTTGCCGCTGGCGCCCTCACGCTCCATCAGGCCGGCGATGGCGGCGAGGCCGTCGACGACCGACGAGTTGAGGAAGGCACCCAGGAAGCAGCCCTGGTAGAGGCCGACGGGGTTGGCGTCGGCGTTGACGTCGCGCAGCAGTCGGACCATGTCGCTCGTGTACCGCGTGGCTGCAGGAGGCGGACCGACGACGAAAGAGAGGGCGAGGCGAGGCGACAATGTCAGTATGCTCGAGCCATGGGATGGAGGTGGTGCCTCTTGCTGCGGTTGACGCCATGGGGGATGGAGAATACCGTGCCTCCACTCGACAAGGAGGCAGTACGGGCAAAGGGGAGGGCGAGCCCTACTTACCGTTCCTGCTGGCGCGGTCGTCGTCCTCGTCCCTGTCGCCTCCTCGCCCGGGGTTGGGGAGGGCAAATACGTTGGAGACCTCGAGGGTTCCGCCGAGGTCCATGCCGAGAAGGGTGCCGGAAGCGGCGGCGGGGTGGGCGTCCCTGCAGTGCTTGACAATCTTTGTGAGTGCGAGGCCGTCGAGGCGGACCGAGGTGATCTCATCCGAGTCGAGTTCGAGGGCCTCGAGGGCGGCGCGGTCGAGCTCCGACTGACGCTTGTCGGCGGGGGCGGGCTTGGCCTCGAGGGCGGCGCTGGCGGTCTTTGCCGACATGATGGCGGCGGCGGCGGCGGCGGCGGTTATCGGTGGTGCTGATGAGTGCAAGCCGGCGGCGGTGTGCGAGATGACGGCGTCGGCAAGGCAAAAGTGCGAGTGTGGGCCGAGGATCGAAGTCGAAATGCGGAGGATGAAGGGTATCGATGGCGGTCCAAGGTGATGATGGTGGCCAGTCGCGGTTGGAGGTGTTGGCTGCTGGCCTGGGCTGGGCTGGCTGGCTGGGCTGCGCGGCGAGAAGCAAGCAAGGCTGGGGCAGGCAGGCAGGCGGGCGGGCGGGCAGGCAGGCAGGCAGGGTTGCGCACAATTTTCTTCCTCGCCTGGCGGCGTGCTGTCCTCCCCTAGCCTGGCAGCAACTCGAGAATTCAGAAGCCAGAGAAGGGGTCCTCGCATTTTCGGAAGCGACGATCCAAGGCCAGCGTGGGATGTTGCTTCACTCGGCCGTAGGCACTCTGCTCGCGCGGCACCCGGCACCCGGCACCCGGCGGGCCACCGACCGCACGACGCTCCTCCACACGGCCAGCCTGGCACGTTTTGGTTGGCACGTTTGCCCGACGCTGCCCTTCCTTCCACCTCCCTCGCCTTCGAGCGTCTCGACCTCATTCCTACCTCTCGATCCCCTTGAATGTCAACCACCCCTTTCCCTGCAGCCACACTATCCGTTCTTGGCTCTGCTCCTAGATCGCGCCAGACCTTGCCTCCTTCTCTTCGGCTCGATCCCAGCTGACGGCAGGACGACCGGCCTCGCGCACCATGGCGGCCAACTTTCTCGCCAGGGCCCATGTCGTGGTGAGCCCGTCCTGATCCAGGATCAGCGCGCCGCCCTCATGCTGAAAACGCTGTCCGTGCATATCCTACCCCGCTCGACAGCCTCTCGGCATCGTGGCCATCTACACCGGCTTCCTGTGCGCCATGTTCACGCCCTTGATCCAGAAGCAGTGCGTGGCGGCTGCGCATCTCTCTCTCTCTCTCGCCGTACACGCCGTCACTGACAACAACGACCGGCTGCGCTGCTGCTTGAGCCCGCGACAGCTTCCTCTTCCTACACAAGATCCCGTTCCCTCTCTTTGTGAGGTCGCCTGCATGTTGACCGGCGAACAAGGACCGCGCGGGCAAGCTGGCTGACTGAATGCGCTTTGATCCCATCGTCCAGGCCGACTTTGACCATCCCGAACGCTACGGTCTGGCCCGTGGGTGACACTCTCCGCTGCATTCCCAGCCAATTCGAGCTCACCGACACCTGCCTGCCTTGGCCCGTCCCACATGCAGCCTTCAAGACGCGCAACTTTCGTCTGACGACAGCCGACAACGTCTCCATTGGTGAGCTGCCGGCGTCCGCTTCGTGATAAGCAGAGCACCGTGCTCAATGGCTACACCCTTCTGTATCTCTCTCTAGGCGCCTGGCACATCCTTCCGTGAGTGCCGCTCCCGGCAGAGCGGACGATCGGGCCCCGCACGCGACTTGACGCTAGTACGCCAACCTCTTTCGCCGTCGACAGCGAGGCATTCTATCAAGCGCAGGACACCCACGATGGGCCAATCGCGGATGACCTCTTCGACGACGCGCTGAAGCAGTATCCGACGATCATCTGTGAGTCACATTCTCTGCGTGTCGAGAGCCGGAGCGCCGAAGCTGAGCAAAGCCAGAGCACGTCCCGCGCGCCAGACCTGCACGGCAACGCGGCCAACCGCGCCGCACCCTTCCGGATCCGCGCCTACTCGTCGCTCTCGACCCGGCTCGCGGTCAACGTGATCGCCATCGACTACCGGGGGTTCGGCGACTCGGATGGCGATCCGAGCGAACGCGGCGTAGTGCTGGACGCACGCGCCGCCTTTGACTTTGTCCGTACCCGCAGCGGGCACACCGACGGCAGCGGCATCGTCGTCTTCGGACAGAGCCTGGGCAGCGGGGTGGCAGCCGCCGTCACGCACGAGCTGCACGAGCAGGGCACGCCGCCCCAGGCCGTGGTCCTGATGGCCGCCTACTCGTCGATCAACGCCGTGATTAGCAACTTTAGGATCGCCGGCCTCTTGCCCGTCCTCGCGCCGCTCAAGCTCATTCCCGGTGCACAGCGTGAGTCCCTCAGGCCCGGCATCTTTGACCTTGGCGCGCAGCGGTCGTTGACGTCCCCGTCGCCGCGTCCCTCGGCCCCGTCCTGCACGCGGTCGCACGCAGACCTGGTGGAAAAGTACCAGGTGACAAAGTTCGCAACCGACCAACGTCTTCCGCGCCTCCTTCTGCCGCTACCCGATCTCCAAGCGGCCGTGTCCGAAACGGCCAGCGACGAGGGACCTTCTAAAGGCGTCGGCAGTGGCGACGGGAGCGAGGGAAGCACGACGTCGAGGAAGCCGCACATTGTCATTCTGCACGCCGACGACGATGCCATTATCCCCGTCTCGCACAGCCGGGTGCTGTGGGACGCCCTCGTCTCTTCGCACACGCAGCACCACGGCGCCCCGCCCGCCGTGCGGACCAGGACCATCGAGCGCTTCGCAGAGGTGCACCAGTTTCACCTCGATCCGATACCCCCCTCTTTCTCATCGTCGTCGTCATCAAATGGGGATGCGACCGGGGCCAAGGCGACGTATATCCGCACTCTGCACGGCGGACATGACCATCTTACCGAAGGAGCCGTAGATCAACTCGGCCTCGCTGCTGGCCTCCTGCCGCGCCGAGCGTGAGGGGCCAACTTCCACCGACATCGATCTAGATGCCAGACCTGACGAGCTCGCCAACTCCGCAACCGCCGTCGAGCTTCAGGGACGTAGTCGGATCGCCCGCAACGCCTGCACCTGCCTGGTATCGGCGCTCGATGGGGTTGCAAGGTGGCGATAGGTGCAAGGTGACCATGGAATACACTCTGATGCGAGAAATGCGGGGGAAAAAGGGCCGTGCTATCCTGTGAGTGTTTGGAGACCTGGCTGACCTGCTCGGCGACGCGACCGCGTCCGGCCCGGCCGCCGATGGGGTATATGTTATGAGGCGGCGAGGTCCGACCCTGATCCGTCGAGGTTGGCTCCGCTTCCGGTTCCCCTCGTCCGCGCGCCGCCCGCGCCGCGAGACCGACGTTCTTCGCCCCGTCGTCCGGTCCTCCCCTCAACTCTTCACGTCTGGTATGCCGCCAGCGCGTAGAGGCCGCTCTCTCTGCCCAGCAGACCGTAGCCGAGCAGCACCTCCATCTTCCTGCTGTGCCAGCCCGTGTCTCCCGATACGTGGCCGTTGGCGTCCGAGAGGGCCTGCAGCGCCCTGCGACGCGGATGGTCTGGCGGCAGGTCGCGTATCACCTCTTCCCTCGGCTCGAGCTTGGCGTCGGCCGGGAACGTCGAGACGGGGTGCCGCGAGCGCGAGCGCGAGTGCGATGCCCCGGACGTCGAGTGCGCTCGGCGTAGCGAGGGCAGCACCGGCCTCTTGCCCAGCAGCGAGCGCGATCGCGACATCATGTCGTCGTCGCCGCCGCCGCCGCCGCCGCCGCCACCGCGCAGGCCACCTCGATCCGCCCCACGAGACGAGGCCAGCGCGCCGTACGTGCCATGCGGGTCGTCGAGCGCATCGGGATCGGGTCCAGCCGCCGTGTCGACCACCCAGCCTCTCCGACCGGCGCCCCAGATGACACGCCAGGCTCCGAAGCCGCCCCGCACGGTCCGCAGCGAAGACTCCGAGAGGCCGACCACGCGCAGGTTGGTGGCGGGGCGCGGCCGCGGCGTGTTTGGGTCGACGGCGGTGCCCGACTTGAACCCCATCATGGCGAGCTGCTGCGAGATGGGGATCGGCGGGACGCTGGTGCAGGGCCCTAGCAGGATCGTCTGCAGCTGAACCGCGTTGATGCCGATGCCGCTGTGCGAACCCAGAACGCCCGGCGCGTTGGCGAGCGGCAGCGTGGCCGTGCACGATTCGGCAAGCTCGAGCACCTGGACGTTGGGCGCCTTGTCCCGCAGCAGCCTGCTGACCGCCGCCAGCGATATCGTCGGACAGTGGGCGAGACCGAGGTCGAGCAGGGCCGGCTGCGGCGTGACGGCGGCGAGGATGTCGTCGGTGAGCACGCATCCTCCCATGTCGAGGTAGCGCATCCGACCCGAGCGGAAGCATGGCGCCGTGGTGACAATGCAGCGGAGGTCGTGAGGGTCCAAGCAAGTCGGGAACGAGATCGTGCCGGCAAGGGAGAGCTCGATGAGCTCGTCCGTCGCCGGCGAGTCGACGAGAAGCTCGGTGATTGACTCCGAAGTGAGCCGCCGGCAAAAGGCGAGCGAGAGGCTCTCGAGGCGAAGGTCGCTCGCGGCGCCGAGCGCTCGAAGGAGCGCCGGATCGGCCTTGGTGCGCGAGAGATCCAGGTGGGTCAACCTCGGGAAGGCCATGACGAAGGGGTTGAGCAGCTCGTTGGGCAGCGTGACGCCAGACAGGCCTAGACGCTGCAAGGAGGGGAAAGTGGTCGCCCTCGCAGGATGCCTCGTGGGGCCGTCGCCCCTCCTGCGTGTCGAGACGGAACGCGCTGCATCGACGGCGCCTGCGCCCGCGGTCCGCGGTTCGGCGGTCCGGCCTCTTCCCCTCCGCTCCTCCTCGTCGTCACCGCCGTCATCGTCGTCGTCGTCCATGTCCGACTCCTCCAGGACGGTGTCGGTGAGTCGGCCGCTGAACTTGCGCAGATGCTCGTTGACAAACTGCTCCATGGCCTGCTCAAACTTTTTGGATATGCACTCGCACAGGTCGAGGCTCTGGAGCATCTTGTGTGAGCGGGCGGCGTGCCGTTCGACCGAGACGCCGCGCAGCCGGGTGGGCTTGCTGTCCTCGCCATCGCGGAAGAGGAGGGCCTCGAGGACGTCGTTGCTCAGCGCGCTGTCCATGGTCTCGCTGGCGCCAAACGCCACGAGCCCCTCTGCGGCCGTGACGAGCGCCAAGAGGCGGGCGGGGGTGACGAAGCGGCGCTCCATGCCTTCGCCAATGGTCCTCCGCATGCCCTGGGTGCGGAAGTTGGAAAAGTCGAGCAGCCGCACCCACTGGTGGACCGTGCTGGCCTCGTCGTCGTACTGGCGCAGCGTGACGTGGTACCTGGGCTGCTCGGCCGACGACGTCACGTCCTCTGTCCAGATCAGCTCCACCTCGCCGTCGTCGTCGGCGTTGATGCGGACCATGTCGCGCTGGCGGCGAGGCGCAGGCGAATCGGCCGCCTGAGTCTGCCTGTACCCGGGCGCTGGGCTCTGGTTGCGGCTCGAGGGCGGGCTCATGAGCGAGAGGCGGCTGGTGCCCGAGGCTGAGACGACGAGGCGGTGTCCGGAGGCGTGGGCGAAGCCGGCGGCGGCGACCATGTTGACAAAGGATGCCGGGTCGGTGGGATCGAGGTTGACGGTGCCGGTCTGGGCATAGGTCTCGTAGGCGCTGGCGAGGTGGGCCGCGCCGAGGGTGCGGAGGAGCAGGCTGAAGCTGTAGGGGAGGGTGATCTGGACGCGCCTAAAGAGGAGGACCCGGGCCTCGTAGTAGAATGCGCGGTTGACGAGGCATAGCGAGTAGAGGGTCCTCCTCACGTCGGACTGGGTGGAGGAGACGCGGCGGCCATCGTGGTGTGCCGAGGGGAGGCCGTGCGGGTCGATGTTGCGGTAGGCCGACTTTGGGATGGCATCGAGCCAGATGAGGGCGATAATCTCGCGCAGGATCTCGGGGGGCAGGTCAGAGATGGTGAGCGGGCTATCGCGCTCCATGGCGCGCTGAGCGCCGAGCAGAAGCAGCGAGCGGGAGGGCGGTCGGGCGGGCGGTCGGACAGGGTTGACGCTGCTGCGGCGGTAGCAAGGGGTAGGGGCCTTTTGTTGGAATCGAAAGAGGTGGTCGCCGCTGTCGTGGGCAGGTGGTGGCGAGCAGGTAGAGCAGAGCAGCTGGCGATACCGGCAGGTCGATGGTGAGAGCGATGGAGCGGGGTCGAAGCACGGCAGAGAGGCAAGAGAGATTAGATTGGTGGGATGAGGTTGGCTGACAAGAGGAAGCAAGGCGGAGCGAGGAGGACCAGCAATGACGGGCGGGGCTGTCACACTTAGGGCTCGCTTGGCTGCGCCCGGGCCGCCTGCCGCCAAATCCAAAAAAAAGATAAGCAGCGCGCTTGCCAGCCAGCCCGGCGTCGACCTCTGTGCATCCGTGCGTCGCCGGGCAGCCCGCTCCTCCACAACTCGCCTCGCGTCCAACGGAGCCAGGGCGTGGCGTGGCTTTGCTTGCTTTTGCCAGCGCGGGGCCACGCGCTCCGCCCACTTCCGGATGCCGAGCCTTGGTCCACCTCGCAACCAGCCTCCTCTCTCTCGCCTCGCCTCAACTCTGGCTGAGCCCTGCGGTGCCCGTCCTCCTCTAGAGCAGGCTCTGCTGTAGACGGACTTACATTGCCATCAGCGCGAGGCTCTGGCTGGGAGCGAGCCAAGCATGTCGCCAGCTGCAACCATCCTGCCATCAGACCTCGTATTGGTGGCCTGCTGGGCAGCCACCTGCTGTACGTAGTTCGCCCATGGCTGGAGGGCAGGTAGGCAGCCAGCCAAGCCCGGCGAAACGAGAGCACCGCTCTGGCTCAGCCATCTGAGCCTGCCCGCCGCCGCCGCCGCCGAAATTCGAGGCCCGTCCTGCGAACGTCTCGCGCGAGTGAAATCCCCCAACAGAGAAAATTCGAAAAACTTCAAAAATCGCCAGAGGAGCCAGACCAACCTCGGCCGAAGCGCAGATCGACTTCGATCACTTGCCAAAATTCCGAGCAAGCCCTGCCTCGAAGCCGCTGCCCGCATCCTGGCGCTGGCGCTGGCGCGGGGCCGGGCATGGGTTTGGCCAGCTAGCCGGCCCAAGTCGCTTCCGCCAGCCAGCCAGCCAGCCAAGCCTGTGAGGTGGTGTGGGAAGGCAGTCAAGTGCAGCTCGACCGCCGCCCGGCCCAGTGCTGCCCCAGCCGGGCCCAGCCCAGCCCAGCCCAGCCCAGCCCAGCCCAGCGCAGCCAGGCAACGCCAGACGTCTGCTCGTCACCCGTCCCCGACCTCCATCGTTCCACCCTCCTAACCCCTTACGGTCCCTCTCATCAAGAATCCGCAAAAGTAAGTTGGCGCACCACCCGCTCGGCCCGAATCGCTGCCACGGCGTCCAACGAGACATCGCCAACGACATCGACATTCCGCCACCACCCGCCAGTCGTAACACTGCCGCATCGCGCCCTACCGACCCCCAACCGACGAACCGATACAAAGGTCAGCTTGCTCCGATCGACCTGAGCTACCTTTCGACCCTGGACCCATGCCGCTTCCGCCTTCATCGGCCTCGGAAATGCTGGCCTTAGAGCCTGCCGGACGGACTGCAGAGAAGCCTTGCTTCCTGCTGCCAGCGCGACTTTGCTGGTCCTCGGACGACCTTGTCTATGGCGACACCTATGCGGCAGATTCACTTCATCGGGATAGGCAGACCATCGCACCGACGGCGTCTGACCTGATGCAAGGTCCTGCCGACCGAATCAGCAGGGAACAGGCAGCCGGCTTCGACCTTCCTCGCACCGTCCGGCTTTATCGCTGCTGGGATCGTATACGGCACCCCGAACATAGAACCGCCAGCCCCGACTTCGATCAGCGACGTCTCTGAACGCCGAGGCTCGGCATTCATCATCACGAACTTCTCTGGACAGGTGGACTTACGCTCCGTACTGTTGCTGCTCGCTCTGATTTGCTGCAGATGGCTCCCACCGACAAGGCACAGAAGGGCAGGAAGACCCGATCGGCTCTTAGTGAGTCTCCTTGACCTTCTTTGGACAGACACGGGATGCGCGTGCACCTGGCCGAATCTTGAAGCTGACCATGCCCTCCCAACTTTGCGCTTGCCACCCTGACAGACGACGTCGTCACTGTTAGTACCACTCGACTTCATCTTTTACGGCGGTCCCCGCCGTATGTCGCATCGGGCCACGGGGACGGGCCGGCGATGCTGGGCCACGGAGGGCAGAGCCGGTGGTGGAATGACTCGGGAGGTCATGGCCTGGACGAGCCGGGCAGGATAGGTCATCTTGCGGACCTGGGTCTGTTCTGCCCGGAGGACTTAGTGGCAGGCCGCCCGGGCAAATTGGCAGACGCGGAGGAATGGACATCATCGCCTGCGTCTGCGACGACAGGCTTGTCCAGCCATGATAGGAGGAGGAAAGCAGGGCGTTCCGATGCAGGCACCTGGCAGGGCATAATGGTGCCAAGGACGGATGGACTGGCGGAGCAGCCCACGTAAAGGGAAAGGGACACAGGGCCACGCCACCATGGCGAGTACTCTGGTGACGGCCGCGCTGACCTTGCATCCCTCCTCTTCGCCCCTGCCGCCGCCCACACACACAGAGGGAGTACACCATCCACCTCCACAGGCGCGTCCACGATGTCGCCTTCAAGAAGCGCGCTCCCAAGGCCGTCAAGGCCGTCATCGAGTTCGCTCAGAAGACGATGGGCACCAAGGACGTCCGCATCGACCCCAAGCTGAACCAGGAGATCTGGAAGTTCGGTGTCAAGGACTTCCCCAGGCGACTGCGCGTGCGCCTCGAGCGCAAGAGGAACGACGACGAGGGTGCCAAGGAGAAGCTCTACACATACGCCGTCCCGATCCTCGGCCTCGGCAACGCCAAGGGCCTTCAAACCACTGTCATCGACCAGGAGTAAGCGTCTCACCCGCGCTCTCTCTCTTTCGTCGTCTTCGCCGCGACCCTGCACTCTCCCAACATCATCCCGGCCGGCGACGGCGACGAGGGCGACGATGAGGGTCGACCGACATAGGAAGCCCGTCCAAAAATGAGTGAGGCGTCCTCGACGGGCACGGCACGGGGAGTTCCGCTCTTTTTCCTCCTCTGCCCCCGCCCTGTCCGGGGTCGGCTTGCTTTTGTACCCATACGCACACACGTGGCCCTCGACCTCGACCTATGTCATCCCCATGCATTCGTGTTCAAGTCACAGCCCATTCCCAGAGCCCCGCTGTTGCGTGATCTCGCTCGCTGTTTGCGGCTGGGCCAGGAAGGCCGACGCGGTTGGAAGAAGCAGGACGCTGTCGTGCCGGCGGCGCACGAGACGAGGTCAGACTGTCAGCCAGGCCGTCTCTGTGCGCGCAGATGTGTTTGAAGTCTGGCCTGCTCGACAGGCCAAGTTGGTGGCCTCGAAACCACCTCGCAGCCGGCGTCGCGAGCGGCAGCTGGATCGCTTTCTGCCGTCGAAGTTGTCCTCCGGGGCCACCACGCGGCGCCGAGCGACTAACTAATGCGTCTGCAGGCGGCGCCGGTGCGGGTTCTTTGTTTGGGTGAGGCGTCTGCTTGACATCGGTCGATGCGTCGAGAGTTTTGTATTTGGAATTGCGCGTCCAGGCCAGGGCCCTTGTTTCTTTTTTTAAATTGCGCCCAGCTTGGTGGTCAAAGGCCAGAGGCTGGAGGGCCTAGGCAGGCCAGGCCTAGGCTCGGCCTGGCCAGAGCTGGGCTGGCACGCTGGCCTGGCTGGTTTGGCTGGCTGGCTTGATGAGCCGGCCGGCCGGTCGGCTCGGTCGTCGCCCTGCCTGCGCCTCGCTCTCCCCTACCCTCGCCTCTCTCCCTCTATCAGCGTGGCCCCTCTGAACTCCCTTGCTTGACCCTATTACTCGCTTGCGCGGCACTCCGTTCCATCCTGCCACCGATCCCCTCCACGCCCGCCCTCACGCCCCCGTCCATCTTCGACCCCTCTCCCCTTCGACCGCCCTCCATCCACCCTCGATACCTTCGCTGCCCCTGCACGACTCTCGTTTGCTCGCCATCGCCATCGCTGCCGAACATACCACAGCTCCGATCCTCCGCGCGTCGGCATCCACGGCGCACGCTAGCCAACAAGGGACTCGAACTTCGAAGCCTCACGCCCAACTCCGACCTCTCTCCGACGACCTGAGCCGCCCCATTGCTTCAAGGACGACACACCTTATCAACTGGAGCACTAGGAGGCCGCACACCAGCATCTCAGTGCGAGCTTCCCCTGGGCGCCTTTGAGCACACGCACGCACCCACCCACGCTCACACACGCGTCTTGCCATCTAGCGCACCTTGCGACCTCACCGCACCAGCGTCTGCCCACCATGTCCGCCGTCTACTCGATCTACACCTCGCCCAACCATGCGCCCATCCCCAACCACCTGCCGACGCTGATCGTCACCCCCTACGGCCAGCCCCACCACACCCTCTACTCGTACATCCACACCAATTTCAACAAGGAGACCTACCTGCTTACCCCTTCGCCTCAGGGCGACCTCTGCGTCGCCAAGATGGTGCCCCCTCCCGGCTCGCGCGGCCCTGGCGGCCCCGGCTCGTCCGATGGCGGGCACTCGGCGGCAAACAACGACCGGACGGTGCGGTGCGAGGCATCGCGTAACCTGCGATGGTCGATTACCAACACCGGCATCAACGCCCCCGTCTACAAGCTGACGCTGCCCAACCCAGATGCGCCGGGCAACGAGCAGCCCCTCTTCCAAATATCCAAGCCCAACCCCAACGCGACGTGGTGGACCATGTTTTATTTCACCTACGCCGGCCACCTCATCCCGCCCAAGCGGATCGAGTTTGGCAAGATCCAGAAGAATGCCGCGGCGGGCAGCGGCGGCGGCGGAGGCACGAGGGTCAGCATCACGGGCAAGTCGGCCGAGGAAAAGGCCGTCTGGCAGACGCTGGGCGAGGGCAACGAGGACATGGTCGAGTGGATCGTGCTCTGCGCGGCGCTCAACGTGCTCGACGACGAGATCATCAAGGCGGCTCAGAAGAGCGAGACTCACGCCGCGCCGAGCGGTGCCAAGGCCATCCCTTCGAGCCGGCCGTCGGCGGGCAACGGTGGCCCCAGGAGTCCGGCGGGCGGACCCAAGATGGGCATGCCGATGCCGATGCCTGGAGGCCCCCTCGGAGCGATGCCGGGCGGCGGACCTC